TGAATAATAATTTTAGAACAGTTAGAGAGAGTATATTAACTCGATTTGTATCACTAGTTTTCATGCAGAGGTTCCTCACAAATGATGATAAATAAGTTCATGATCAATTGCATTGGGTGTGTGTTTATAAGGTGTAGAAGAGGAACGGTGGGAACTCCAAAACTCGTGCAAGAAAAAAATGAGAAGCAATTAAACATGAAAATAAAAGCAGGCACCGTGTATCTTTGACTTTGTTAGTAGGGGGTGTGAGATTGACAATTTCTTTTTCTTTTTTTTTCTTTTTTTCTTGGAAGCATTGACTTCTGAAATCAACACAGTCCTGTTATCTACTTATCTTTTTTCTGTTAAATGAATCATCATGATCGCTACAACGATGTAAATTAATCAAAAGGGGTAGACTTCATAACTGATTTCGTACTAGGAACGGATCCAAGTCGATCTACTTAATTACACTTAATAGTTAATAAACAATTAGTTGTGACAATATTTAATCTAAAAAAGAAAATGTGTATAAAAAAAAAGAGCATTATTAACTAAATCCGGCCATTTCCACCAACAAAAAGAAGGCAAAGAAAAACGAGTAAAGTTTGTCACTCCCAAAGCCAAAAAAGATTTGTTATGAGTGTACTCATTTGGCAATGTCTCCATGAAACCGAAAGCTCGCTGGTTTTCCAAAGGGAGGAATACGTAAAGAAGATGCACGGGAGAACTTTTTTGGTTCAATTATCACTTAATTGTTTGTTTAAGTTTCACGTGTGGATCCATTCCCCAAGTAATTGATCTTGTTAACTTACAACAAAACTTAAAAGTTAAAACTTCTAGCTAGGAACAAACTTAGTATATAAGAGTTGTATCAACATTTCTTTATTTTTGTAATTTACTTCATCAATCGTTTCAAAATACAAATATATTCAACTAACATAAGATTTAATTATTTGAGTACCAGGAGTAATTTGTTGACTTTATTACAACAATTAATAATATATATATATATATATATATATTCTTCAAGAAAAATGCGGGCAGGGTTTTTCTTTTTTCCTGCAGAATAAATAAAAAAAAATTCGCCTCCCTCCAAGCTGAAGACATATATCGATCACAATTCATTGCATGTTATGCAAAATGTGCAAATCATCTTTGAAGAAAAATGTGGTTCAATGGATGGGGGAAATAGTGAATGGGGGATAACATAGACTCGGACGTTCAATCAAGAATTTTAAAATAAAAAAAAAAAAAGAAAAGAAAAATCAGTCAGTCAACCCGGGAAAAACTAGGAAAATGACGAGAAAGCGTTTTGTGAGATCCACAGAGATATTATACGCGACTAACAATATTAGGAATAATGATCCATTTTCATTTTCGCCACAAATATAATTAAACTTGTGAACGCTGGTGGAGACACGAACCCCCTAATGCTTTGCTTAGCTAGCTGGCATCAGCCTTTCCCTTTCCTTTCAATTCAAGAGGGTCAAAGTTCTTATCATTTATTGTGGCGTATACATTTTTTTATTTTTGGGATGGTTCAACCCTTGGGATGGATCATGGATATGGATTTATAGTTGGGTGTTTTTTTTCCCAGGAAATTATTTTAACGAGTATTTTAATTATTGTTATATATCTAATATTATTGTCGAGATTAATTAAAATAATAATCATCTAATTTGTGCAATAAACTACCCCTTAAAAAAGCTATCTTACCCTGAACCAATATGTCAACTTTTCAACGGAAAAAATATATCGATCTTGCTAAGAAAAATCATAAATATATATAAATAGTGAAAATTCAAATTGGAGAATTATTTTGCAACAATGAGAATATGATTTTACATTCATATAATGAAATTTTATAATTTAAACTCACGAAGTGTTTATATATATTTAGGATTTTTGTTTTTGTTTTTTTTTTTTAACAGGATTGATATATTTTCTCGCTGAAAGTTTCATACACACACACACACACGTAGCTAAAAGCTAGGTTTTTGGTTTGGGGAGTAATACTAATATCCAAATCTCCAATATCAATCAACCCAGTCGATCTGTAGTGAATGTCTCCGACAGGAAGAATCCGCAGGGCACTTATTATGTGTTGGACTTCGGATTTTCAACTTTCAAGTTTTATGGTCTCATTTTCATGAACCGTGGACGGTGAAAAACTACAAATTGTTTTCAACAACATTCGGACTGATCATTTATCATGCAGTACTTAATGGTGTAGGAGTATACGACTTGCAATAAGTCAGGAGCTTTGAGAACATTATTTCAGTACCTAAACTATGTTCAAACTTCAACTGGTGTTGTCAAATTAAGGGCATAATTTTTTGGCTTCTTCATTTTTTTTTTTATAAAAATCTATCATTTTATACTGTATCTGAGTATCTCTATTGTTCCATTTTAATAATTGACTTTCTTTTCTATTTATTATAATAAGAAAAACATAAACTTAAGGCTCATATCAACACATTACCACCTCCTATTAATGTCATCCACCAAGGTTAAGCTTACATAGAGGAACCGTAGTGTAAAATTATAGGTCCCCTCCGCAGCTATTGGTATTAATTTGTCTATACAATTCTTATAATTCAGGTTTTTTAAAATTAAATTAGTAAAATAACTTAATAAAATAACAACAATGACACATCCAGTGACTAAGTACAGTGAAAATATATAGTGACAAATGAAAACACAAATACACCATTCACTTATTAAACATGTCTATTTATTAACTAAGGGTAAAAATGTAATTTTAAGAGAAAAATAAAACTTCAACGGGAAAGTAACAAAAAATTAAGAACCATGCTTAATCCACATTAGTCACTATATTTTGTCACTATTTTTGTTCACTATATATATCATTAATTATTAAAATATGACAGGGAATTTTTCTTTCTTTCTTTTTTTTTTTTTGAGAAGAGAGGGACTTTGTCAAGTCATTATGTTGTTTATCGTTCAAATTGCCAGTAGAGGGGGATAAATATTAATAGCAGCGCAATTATTAAAAATTGCAGCATTTCACCATTTAGTCAAGAGCAACCATACGCAATAATCAAACAAGGAGTGGGAAGGATGATTAGAGGTTAGTACTGGAGATTGTTATTACAAAAAGGTCGATCGTTTGATTTTCGGGTACCAATTTTTCTTTTTTCGGTTAGAAAAAGGAAACCATACAGGGGTTAATTTCATCCAAAATTCCAAATTCATGACGAATTTATTTGTTCATTTTTTTTTTCGGGTGAAATACTCCTGCAGTGTTTCTTGAATCTTGATCTTATATCCATTTCACTTATTTCTCTCACTCGACTTACTTTCAGTAATCTCCAATGTATCATTGTAGTTTTTTGGAAACAGATTATGTTTTTGTAATGTGTACAAATACCGAAAATATGAAACAAATTTTGTGTACTTCGTCTAGTGTTTTTTTTTAGGCCGCACTTATTGATATTTTAGAGGTACCTAAACTATTACAACGAGAGTAGAGTCTACTGGGGAAGGGGATAATATTATTAGGGGGAGACTCTACTCGCGTGCGCCTCTTGCTCGGACTATTCAGTCCTCCATGGCCGATGATGACAGGCCTCCTGCCTGTTTAAGCTGGCTGCTGGTCAACTACCGGTTTCTTCCTTCAGCTACTTGCTTCCCACGTCCGCGGTAGGAATTGAACCCTTAACCTCGCGGTTAAAGGTACAATCACTAAGACAAGACTCGATTCCTGTCTACTGTTTAATTAACTCATAAACATATATAGGCTTCAAAATATCTCAATAAAAATATTCTCTCACCCAAAGGGTGATAGTCATAGGTAGCGGCACAAAAAATACATTTCAAAGTCAATGTGAGGGGTCATTGCAATGGAAGAAAGAGCTTCATATGCTTACATTTGGAATTGTTTTGCGTTTCCACCTTGTTTACAAATATTGTATATACTCCGTATATAAAAAAAAAAAAAGACGAAAAATAAGGTCTAAGATGACGAAATTAAATTTGCAGTGGTGCTTTCTGATTCAATTTCCATATACTATATACTTGTAATAAAACTCCCTCCTCTAGTTTTGTTACATCCAATAGTTTTTTTGTTTGGGAACGCAGTTTTTATTATATCTCCAAAGTCCAGTTATTACGCATATTTAAATACTCCTTCTGGTCCTTAATATAAGACATTTGATTTGTCATAAGTTTCACTTAATATGTATTTTACGTTCGTTGTGTTTTATTTATTGTTTGGAAATATTTTTCAGATTTTTTTGTCAATGAAAAATACTTATTAGGTGAAACTTAAAACAAATCAAAATTATTTATATTAAGGATCGAAGGAGTATATAGTTACTGCTACGGGCTTAATTTTCTTTTTCCCTGAAAAACAAATGAAGGATAGAGGTCGTGGTAAATTATCATTTTCCCCCCTCTCTTTTTTTTTTTTTCCGATCTAACTTACTTCCAACCTTGGCTTGACATAATAAAAAAAGTGTTTAAGTTCCACCAAATGCATTTTTTTAACCCTTGAAATTTGAAATAACAGTAGTAGTGAATAGATTTGTCGTATCAATTGTTACAGTTTATAAATTACAATAAAAAAAAATCACTTCACATAAGTCTTGTACAAATCCAAATGTCCCCATGCAAAAGTGTATTCAACCGATCGCATACGGGGAAGCAATTTCGTGAAGAAGTAAAAACATCATGATCAATTCCTTATTTTCACTTTCCAAAATTTACTTACAAATTGAGAAATTGATAAAAAATAAATTTGTACGTCAGATTGGTGTTTTTTTTTTTTTTGCCACCCTCAAAATAAAAAAGTCTTCATATTTTTTTGCAAGTTTTCTGAGACGTGAAATTCTTGTTTTCTCTCACATAAAAAGTTGTAAAAATGCAAAAATAGAACAAAGAAAATGCTACTAAAACATCCATACATATACAATCACTTATTAATTATTTCCCCTTAATTTAAATTTGACGCGTAAATAAAACAGGAGCCAGAAATGATGTGTTACGCCAACGTTGACATCTATGTAATGGAAAAAAAAAAAAAACAGAGAAACAACATCATCTCTTCCTAGAAATAACCAAACTGTTAAAAAATCCTATAAAAGTCTAACTAAAAAGACAACATTAAAGGATACTACTTTGAGTTGGAGGTTTTCACTAACGAACGAAAAAGCACCGAAGACTTCATCGCTTTTGCTTCTGTTTCGTTCTTCCTTTTTCCTAGCCCACTTGTATTATTAAATTAATCATCTTTTTTTGGTCAAGTGCCCAACAAGAACAACTCAAAGACGGATAAATTATGCATCTGTTGGTAGTGTTATAGAGGAAAAATTTGGGGAATCATAGTTTTTAATTTTGCCGTGCTTAATGGGAAATTGCTTTGGATCCAACTCTATTTGTTCAAGCCCTAGTGCTGTTGATCTCGGTCACTCAACTAAGCCTTCCTTTGGTAAATGACCCGTGAATTTTTTTGCTTTTATGATCTTTACTCTTTCTGGGCTTTTGTCATTTCACGCGTTTCTTGGTTTTTTCCTTGCTTTTTGTCTGAAGTTGGCTTCAATTTTATGTGTGTTGTGATGGTTGGGATACTTTTTTTTGTTGGTGTTTAAATAATGAGTTTGTCCTCCTGCCTTTTGGCTTTTGAGTGACAGTTTTTGGTTTAGAATTTTGATTTTGTGGCCCATTTTTTTGTGAATTTCATTGAAGGTCTTGTGGCCATTTTTGCTTATGGGTTGTTGACTCTGTTCTTTCCGTACCATTTCGTGTATAGGGAATTCTACTAATAATTATAGCAGCAATGGTTGTGGTATTTCGGGTACTACTAATAGTAGTGCCGGCCACAGCCAGTTCTCTTCAATTAGCGAGGAGCCGATATCTCCTGGTGAGATTTTGCCTACGCCGAATTTGAAGATGTACAGCTTCTCTGATATGAAGAGTGCCACGAAGAATTTCAAGTCCGACACGGTGTTGGGAGTTGGTGGTTTTGGAACTGTATTTAAGGGATGGGTTGACGAGAAGACTCTTGCACCATCTAAATTTGGCTCTGGGATGATGGTTGCTATTAAGAAGCTAAACTCTGAAAGTATGCAAGGCTTTGAAGAATGGCAGGTATTTTTGTTGATATTTTTTTATTTGTGCTAAAATGTTGAAGTGGCATTGCTATAGTTAACATTGTTGGAGTTCATTAGGCTAGGAATTGATTAAGTTAAGAGATTTTAGATGGGATCATGGGTCCGTGATGTTCTGGCAACGGCTGATTATCAGCATCCCTGTTGGTGTTAGATTTGGCCCTTATTTCGAAGATGTGTGGACATTAGGGAAAGCTAAAAGTAGCTTAATTTAGGTGCCATAAGAATGTCAAAGCTCTTTGGTGATTTCACTGGACATTGATTAATGATTATCAAGTTAGTGTTGATCTGCACCAGAGTAGAAAAAAAAATTGATTGTTCTTTGTCCAATTTGAGTTTCATCATACCTTTGTGTAGTACTCCACATTTAGTAGCATATAGCATAGAATATCTTGTTATGCATATAATCATTGCTATCTCACATTTTTCTGCATGCTTTTTAAGTTTCCAACAACCATGTCGATGAATGCTTACAATTATCAATAGTTTGAGTTGGTGATCTCTTGAGGAATATTTACTAGGTTAAGCATAAATAGTAACTGATGGATTTGGTTGCTTTAAAAGAAGCAGAATGGTTCATTTTAATATGTCGCACACGTCGTGTCACCTGTCAATGTCATGGATTCTTACCTGGTAGACCATGGGGTGACTTGTAAATGACTACTGATGTTGCCTGACATAACTTTTTATGCTTAATTTGCTCGTTTTAATCTTAATACTCAAAGAAAAATGAGAAAACTTAAAACCTTTTGCTCATCGATATTCACCTTTTGAATTTTTATTCTCTTTTCCAGGAATTCTTTTTCTCCATTTTCTTTCTTTTGAAAATCTTTTCCTTTCGGCTAACATATTCTCTTTACTTGAAAGCGCAGTCAGAAGTTAACTTCTTGGGAAGGCTTTCACATCCTAATTTGGTTAAACTCCTGGGATACTGCTGGGAAGATAAAGAACTGCTTCTTGTATACGAGTTCATGCCAAAAGGGAGTTTGGAAAACCACCTTTTCAGACGTAAGCTATCAGCCTGAAAGAAAATTTACAAAAAAGTGGTATTGAAAAATTCATGAGATTAGCTGTGGAGGATTAATCTTTGGATTCATCTATCATGCAGGAACCTCTGCTGTTGAACCATTGTCATGGGAAACAAGGTTGAAAATTGCTTTAGGTGCTGCACGTGGCCTAGCTTTCCTGCATGGTTCAGAAAAGAAAATTATTTATCGAGACTTCAAGGCTTCTAACATATTACTTGATGCGGTACTTATTTGCAACTCTATCGTTAACAATGTGTTTGAAAGATTAATTATTGTATGAAAGAGCTCTTTCATTGATAAAGTTCTTTATTATTTGGTGAGTTGCAGAGTTATAATGCAAAAATATCCGATTTTGGCTTAGCAAAACTTGGGCCATCAGCTGGAAACTCCCATGTAACGACAAGAGTCATGGGGACATATGGTTATGCTGCTCCTGAATATATTGCTACAGGTAGGCATTTCTTTTAAGATCATAAAGATGCCTAGTTAGTGAGGACTAATTATGGATATAGTTAAGTGGATTTTCGAGTAGGATACGGTATGCTTGAGGATGAATGCTTAGATGAGATGAGAAGAATGTACGTGATTGGGTAGAAAAACTAACCCTTCCCTTCAATTGAAATGAGCAGGAAATTTAGATAAAGGGAGGATGCGTATTTGTGTGTGTTAAGCATGTGGACAGCCTACGATAGGTGAAATTGATGGAACACTCTAGAGTTGAAGATTAGAAAACTGCTACATCTCGATAATTTCTTTTTGGCAGTTTCTGTTTATGTAAAAGAAAAATGTGTGAAAAGATATGAATCCGTATTGTGTATGTTTGTTCAACCTAGAAAGCCATCTTCACTGCTTCAGTGATTATCCATGAACATGCTATGACTGACATAACTCATGTCCCCGAGGTTTCAAAACTGTTAGAATATGATTGGCTGTAGAAAGAAGTCAGGCGGTTTTCAATACCATGGAGGTTCAATTTAGCCGGGAAACATGATTGCTGTAACATAAGTGATTTTTCCTGCTGTAGATTGGCTGTTTGAGTGACCTCAGGGAAATTTCTTGTTGCATACTCGGTACTTGACTATTAGGGCTTTTAATAGTAGGCTTCATGGTCATTTGGGTCAAATGATATGATGTTTCTAATATTTCTCATTTTGAAACCAGGTCATTTATATGTGAAGAGTGATGTATATGGCTTTGGCGTTGTGTTGCTTGAGATGCTGACAGGCCTGCGAGCGCTGGATACAAAACGACCTACTGGGCAGCATAATCTCGTGGATTATGCAAAGCCCCTAATTTCTCATAAACGAAAGCTGAAGTCGATCATGGACTCCAGGATTGAAGGCCAGTATCCGTCCAAAGCAGCTCAACAGGCTGCTCAACTCACTCTAAGATGCCTAGAAGCAGAGCCCAAGAAGAGGCCATCAATGAGTGAAGTTGTGGAAACATTGGAACAGATCATTGTGATCTCCCATAAGGAGAAGCCAAAAGAATCCAAAAGCGGATCTACACATTCTCAATCGACGCATTCTTCATCATCTCATCGGGAACTACTTTCGGGTCATCGACGCTCTCCTTATCACCCGAGTCACCATGGTACAGGAGTCAACAGGGCTATAAGATGATGGCCACAATGTAGGACTAGTGTAAGTTAATTAATCACATTTGATTAGTTTTACCTCCGTCATGTGAAATATGTAGCAATTCACTCATCAACTCTAAATTCATTATTTTTGCAATCTACTAAATTTTTCCGGCCTTATCATTATCCCCTTGCCTTTCTTTTGGCCCCTTCTGTATGTGTTGTAATACTAGAGAGTTGTTGTATACTGTAAATTGAGAAAGCAGGAGCTTGATTTTTGTATATTTGTGCAATTGACTTTTAGAAGGTCAATTCCTAGTAAAGTAAGAATAGAAGAAACTTGAGAACATGTCACATGATAATGAATCAAGTGTTCCACTGAATATTGGCATTGTATCCTTTAATTGCAGTATGTGTTGGATTCACTGTCTATTAGCACTTCACATGTATATCAACATGGGGAAGAAAATAAAGTGCCAGGAAGTTTTTGGCATATTGTAATATCTGCTTAAATTCTTTACTAGATTAAGCACTTAAAGGTGTTTACCAGAGACTTGTTTTTTGTGTACTTGCTCCGTTTGGTAATTTTAATGTGTCTCATAAGAAGACACGAGGAAGGACAATACAACAAAAAATCCGCCATTGTGGGGCGTTGAAAGTGATGGTAATAACTTCGTTTGGGGATCTAAATTTTTTATTTCACTTGTTTTTGGACAGTAATAATGTACCTTTTTGTTTCCAGGAGCTTGGTAAATTTTTGTATGGCTTTTATGGGGGGAAAAAACAACAACGATAGAGAGTTTTAAACATTCACTGAAATGGTTCACCAGCTTATTCGTGAAAACACAAGATAACTTTAATTTTCTTCAGCAGTTATTGTCCAAATCATATAGAGAGAAGTTGAATGCCCTGTTAAAGGTTTTTTTTTTTTTTTTTGAAAACGCCCTGTTAAAGGTTGTCTTAGCAGGAAACTTAAAGTTTGACTGAACAAAAAGATTAGTTTATTTTGTTGATTTTGATGGATATATAGTTGGAGCAGATTCACTTTTTGGTTGTAAATACGTTCTTGCAAGTTACTCCATTCGGTTCTTAATATAAGACATTTTAATATTTGTCTTAGATTTCATATATTATACTCCCCCCGTCCCATAATTATTGTCCAGTTTTACTAAAATGAAAGATTTTATTTTGGTCAAACTTAACTATATTTTACCTTAAATAACCGAATATACCCCTACATAAGTAATTGTTTAACCACTAAGATTTTATGGATAATGTTTTTTACTAAGGACAAATGTGTAACTTGATCCATAAAAAGTCAAATTGGACAATAATTTTGGGACAAAATTTTTTGGACAATTATGAGACAAAGGGAGTACATTTTTAATTGACGAAAAAACTTTAAAAATATATTTTCACATTCGTTGTATTCTCTTGATTGTTATGAGGTTTTTTAAAGGTTTTTTAGTCAATTAAAAATACGTACTAGGTTAAACATAGGACAAATCAAAATGTCTCTATTAAGGACAGGAGGAGTATTGATTTATAAAAGTATTTTACATTTTCAAAAGAAAAAAAAAACTAAATTTCTTCATTGTAAAGGTGTAATGATATTGGGCGTTTGTCTTTTCATGGGTGTCGTATGTTCATCGAGTAAATTTTCTGGATATTTTCTTTCTTCTTCTATTTTTTTTTCCCATTACCGTTATCATTTTTCTTTGTGGAAGTATCAAATTAAGGGCAAAATTTCCTAGCGACCGTGTTTGGCACGTTATTAAATTTAGGTGAGAAAATCTTTGTAATATTCTTTTCTGATCCATCTCCTGCATATATTGAGTAATTGAGAACGAAATTGTTTTTCAATTATTGGTGCCACACGTAACGTCATTATAGTAGTATAACATTTGCTATAGAGATTTTCCCCTTGTGTCTAATTCAGTGGCTGGAAATATTTATCATTTTTGCTCAAGAAATGCGTTTTCTGATTTTATTTTTTATATATACTCAAATATATTTCTGGGTGAAGTTTACACAAATTCTTACGCCACAATTAAGCAAAAAGTGAAGGGGAAAAAAAAAGGAAGAAAACCAACTAGAAACTTCTAGATGATGAGCCTCCTCCTTCCAAAAAGACAAAAAAAAAAAAAAATGAGACCAAATTGAAGCCTAAAATTTCCAACACCACCAAAAGAAAGAAAAAATTAACAAAAATCTCTTGATTCCAATTCAGATTCCGCCTTTTCTTAATATTTTTTCTTACCAAAGAAAATATCAAAATAGACAAAAAAGTTTTTTAATAAAAGGAAAAAATTATAAGCGACATACATAATTTTTTCTTTTCTTATTTTGGTTAAAAAAAAATAGGCCATAAGATGAACATGACAGCTCAAAGCGTTAGTAATCTCAAATAAAATTCAGTGACAGTGATAACAATATTCGTTTTGTGAAATTCATATGTGTGGTTTGAGGTTTCCCTGAAATGAGATTAACACTAATGATAATTAAAGTGAACACATACGACACATTTTGAGACCATCATCTAAGTTATTCATGACTAATTAATTTACAGTATCAATGTTCATAAACTGAACAAAATGCAATGGACAAATTCCGTCCCGTCAAATAGTAGACAAGATCGAAAAGTACGTTTGAGGTTTGGAAAAAGCCCCACCAAATAATCTTGTTCATGCATAAAGACGTAGCTAGAAACGATATAATCTCATAAGGGCTACCGTAGGAAATCCAACACCCATAAAAAAAAAAAAGAAAAAAAGCTCAAGAACTAAATCAGCTCATCGTGATTCTTATATGGCGATTAACGTGATAATCAGTTATTAAACAAACAATTACAAAATCATAAAAAAAATTAAATAATGACTGATTGTCGAGCTACTCACTTTAAAAATATTATTTCGGTTTATTATAATATAGTTTTGAGTTCTTGCTGATATATCTTTTCTTTTTCTTTATTTTCTTTCATTTTCTGATTTTTCAATTTAAAAATTGAAGGGAAAATAAAAACAGAAAGACCATTTTATCATCAAAGTAAGTCCAATATTACATATTTTTAGAGAGGAAATGATAACACTCAATACGATTCACAAAAAATAATAAACCAAAATCGGGCATTTCCAGAAGGGTCGACTTCGAAATTCTTTTGGACCATTCCATGGTTACTACGTGTGTGTGTGTGTGTGTGTGCATGATCATCTACATATACATGGAACTCAATCAGAAGAATCCCACGAACCAAAAACAAAAAAGAAAAAGAAAAAAGGGTTAGAAGCAAAATTTTCAAACCCTTGAGAACACACACAAATTCTGTGCTCACTAACAACCTTGTAGTTTCAGTTTCAATATCTGTTTTGAAAATACTTCTTTCCTACGTTTGTATCTCCTCACTTATAACACCGTTGGTTTGAGTGAGTGACCTGTGACCCTAAGTCGATCGTCAGTTTCGTTACTTCGACTTGTTGAGCTAGCATCTTCTTCTCCCTTCTATAGGTGAGCAAATTAAACGTACGATTTTTTTTTTTTTAATTTTTATTTTATCTTTATCTCTGATTCTCATATGTATAGTTCCATGATGCTATGGAGGGTCCTCAACAATGATTTTTTCCTTAAATTTAAAGACGAAAATGAGATATATTCCCTGCGATCTTATTATAAAACGCAAATTTTAACTAAATTTAGTTTCAAGTTGACCAAGAGGATAATTATACAAGTAGTTATCTAGTTTTATTAGCGATTTTTGCTGGCTTTTTGGTCAGTTTTTGTCGGAGTTTGTAAGTTTGTCCTAATGTTGTAGATTTATTTTCTTTCACGTGATTTGCATGGCTATTTCTGTTTTTCACTACTGCGTGTGTAGCCAAACCAATTGTAAGGACAATATCAATGAGACTACATATATAGCGGAAAAAAAAAAGGTCACTGATGTTTTGCAGTCGAAAATTTTGAGAGATTTTTAAAGGAAGCAATTCAAACTGATTGATAGGAACGGGAACATTAAAGATTTCTCTTCAAATGTCACTTTTTGGGTCTGGAAAAAAATTTCTCCTGTTAGATCATAAATGTGTCTTTTGACCTGCATATAGTAGTACATTTGTAAATAATAATTGGATGCAAGTTAGGTGTAATTTAGTACCTCGTCTATTTATCAATCACTTCTACAGGATTCTGTATGTTAATGTCACTTATATTTCATCTACAAGTGTACTTCCGTAGTTTGATTGGTTGTTTTTTTCACTGTACATGAAGGTTCTGAGTACTCAAAATCTTCAAAAAAAAATTGCAGGAATTTCCATTTGATTTGGGTTCAGAAATCCAATGGAGAACCAGAATCAGAGCCTTGTTGGGAAGTTATGCGGGAATTCGATCTCCTACATGAGGAGATTTCTGTTTGATGTTCTATCTGTTGGTCCAATTCCAAATCACATTGCCTTCATATTGGATGGAAACAGAAGGTATGCAAGGAAGTACAAATTGGGAGAAGGGATGGGACACAGAGCTGGATTTCTGTCTCTCATGTCCTTAATGAAGTATTGTTATGAATTGGGAATCAAATACATCACACTCTATGCATTCAGCATTGATAACTTCAGAAGAAAGCCTCATGAGGTTCAGTATGTGATGGATTTGATGCTGGAAAAGATTGAAGGGATGCTTAAGGAAGAAAGCATTGTGGAGCAGTATGGTGTGAGGGTGTATTTCATTGGGAATTTGAAGCTTCTGGATGATACTGTTAGGAATGCAGCCGAAAAGGCGATGAAAGCCACTGCAAAGAACAATAAGGCTATTCTTCTAATCTGTGTGGCTTATACTTCAACTGATGAAATTGTTCATGCTGCTCAAGAATCCTGTGAACAGCTTGAGCATGAGATTGGGCAGCTGCCTGGTGGGGCGATAGTCAACAAGATAACTGAGATAATCGAAGAAAAGGATGAGAAACCTGAAGAAAAGAAGCAGGGGGAAGGGAATGGTGAAAAGGCTGGGGAGGACAAGGGCGAAGAGAAGCCGGGATCCCTTATCAAGGGGGGCATCCTTCAGAACGTAAGCGAAGGGATCAAGGAGGGATTGAACAAAAGTGTTGTTGGAGAGGTGAAGGATGGAATTCTAGATGTTATGAGCAAAGAAACAAAAGGGATTCGACCACCGGTCATTAAGCTGTCGGATATTGAGACAAACATGTACATGGGGGTGGCTCCTGATGTTGACATTTTGGTGAGATCTTCAGGTGAGACTCGGCTGAGCAACTTCCTGCTCTGGCAGACATGGAATGGTCTGTTGTATTCGCCAAAAGCGCTGTGGCCGGAGGTTGGTTTGAAGCACTTGGTCTGGGCAATACTCAACTTCCAGAGAGCATATCCAATCTTTGAGAAGAGAAAGAAGCAATTCTGAGATGGTTCATGCTGCCTATGGAAAGTTGTTAACTGCTCTAAGTATGCAGGTATCATCATCAGTTTAAAAAGAAGCAATTTCACATGTTATCTGAATAACTTTGACAATAAGATTGCCATGTTTGATGAAAGTCAAGATCAAATTCTCCTTATCAGCTTGTTCTTAACTTTTTTACTGTCAATAGTTGTATTTTATCCAGTCTTGACATGTTTTTTCAATAGAAGTTGGAGTTCAAAATTCACATATTTACTACTCCATCTACCCAAGAATAGGAGTCATGTTGTTATCAACAAACAAGACTATTATTTAGAATAATGAAATGCTTTTATATTCTGTGAATTTAAGAAGCAAAAAGGTTAAAAAGAAATTAAGAAGCAAAATGGCATTTGCAAGGCTGCCATTGATATATAATAACATCAAAGATACAGCAGTTTCAACAGTTACCCATCTCACGGGAAAAACGTATCTCATTTACAAAGCATTTGGTGTGAGACCTGTTCCAAGTGTTTAGGGTGGTCAAATTTTGACGAAAATCATCAAGCAGTTAACTAAATGGAGAAAAAGCATCACTGAATAGGGGAAAAGAAATCAATGCAGACGAACAAGGAAGGAATTTCTAGCACAAAACCAGTGGCCAGGGGGGAAACTACATGGCTAATATACTTGACAAAAATATCTGCACCAGCAAAATCTCCAACTTGTCTGAAGGTAGCAATTGGCAAAGCAGTACGGACCCGGAATCATCGTCGAGGTTGGTGCAGACGTGGCCGATTGCAGAAAAGTCGACCATTTGCCTTCACAAAAGCTGCTATCCCCAAACTTAAGCTTGCCCACAAAATTGAGAACAACAATTGCCAGAAATCATTTCGGACTGTAGATAAGCAGTAAAACAAAGAGGCAGTCATGAGCATGCTTACTATAGCAAGAATCAAATGAACTGATAAATCGGCTAAATTCGTATGAGGTATCTCTACAACTGAAAAATCACCAAAATTTCTCCAACTCCTAAACAGATGTTCAGCGACATCCGTGACATTCATTAACTTTTAGTGCTGGAGACAAGAACTCAATAAACTCCTCTGTCCTGATTCTTGTGCTATTGTTAAAAGTGACAGAACAGGCAATCTCATTCTCAAACAATTTCTGTGCACTATTTCTCTTTTAATTAGCACCTAACTACTTCACAAGATTCGGGAAACAAATAAGTATTAGATAGACTTCCAGAAACAAATTAGGACAAACATTTTCACTACGAACTAGAACCATTTTTTGTCTAGAACTTGAAAAGAATTCAAAATTGGAAAAAGTATGACAAGCAATCTTTTTTTTCCGATAAACCAGACAAGCAAACTTCAAGTACTGAAGTAAACTCACCTCGACGAAGAGACATGATTGCAAAAAAGAAACCAGTCATAATCAGCAGAAAAGCCACTGGGAAGGACTGCATGAATAAAAAGATAGAATAAATATTGTCCAGTACAACCGTTCACAAATTGTTAGGGATCAGACAAAACAATTACTCTGGAAATATAAAATTTTACTGACCGCGATAGCTTCAATGCCCCCCTTCTGAGCAGGGGGAGTCATATCTCGTGGGACAGAAACAATGAAATGTCCTTGTAGTAGATCAATTGCATCCTGAAAAGGAAATGAAAAGCAAGGTTTATCCAAACTACTAGTCAGACAAAAGGAAAGAAAGAAGGTACAATATGAGATTTACTACAACTTGAAGAACATTATAATTCATACTCCCAAGATGACCCAACTGCAAAATTACTAGCATGCTATCCTCCAAGAAAGAAAACGACACTCCAACAACATGCTCAGAAACTTGTCATTTCTGGACGCTCAACACACACAGGGCCAGAACAAGAGGCATAAATGTTGAAAATAGACGACTTCCCGATCAAATGTAGAACCAGAGACAACTGTTTAGACCTATTTCTACATACAGAGTCAAAGTTAAGATTGGAGATGAAAAGCGAACCTGTTTTGTACCATCACGGAAGTTGTTTAAGTAATAGCGCATGAGAGCATTCCAGCCATCTTTGAGAATCCCCTGAACGGTGCGATGACCGTATCTGCAAGGTTAACAAAAATCTCCTTCATGACTTGACTTTATTAATATAATTAATCAAAGCAAAAAAGCTAACACCATGTCCAAAGAAAATAGCCAAAGACGACTCATAAAAATTTACCTGACAAAGTCTCCCTTTAGAGCTGGAGTACCAGAATACTGGATGCTTATGTCATCACCATGGTCAGCCCACACTAGAAAAGAGAAAAAGGGTTCAAGAACAAAAATAGTTGCAAAGAAAAGGGATGAAAAGAAACTGAAGAAATCGGAAAAGAGATATCAAACAACACAAGAAGCATAAGCAAAGTGAAAAACTCCACTGACAGTTCAGAATAAGAGCTAACCGATAACATAACACTTACAAATTTTGAAACTCTCGTCAAAATTTGGATGTGAGCTAATAGTTTCATCAGCATCAAAAATACCAAGCCTTCTAAGTTGAAATTCCAACATTTTTCGACCAAGCATACTCTGGAAACATAATATTGAAAAGATAAGAAGAGGACCAAAGAAAAGATTTATTTAGTCACGGAACATATACTCCAAGACCTTAAAAATGGTATAGTATCTGCTTTTGAGAACCTAAATCTATTTAGGATTATTACCCTGAAATACAATAATGAGACTAAAATGACAAGGAACATTCATTTTGCAACATAGTAATAGCTTAACAAGTTTACTAGACATCATGCAGCGTAAACAATATGCTCTAACAAGTATCAAGAAGTCAGATAGCACAGGCAATGACAACATAATTCTTCTCAAAACTATATGATGTCCAATCACATAATAACACATCAGGAAGAATTTGAGATCAAGTTCGTCAATAACTTTATTATCATTAGAATTTAGGAATTTATGTAAAAGATATAACTATTAAGCAATGTATACATTGCAGTTGGTAATGTACACATGAAATAAACACTAAAATCAGTAATTTCACCAAATTTATGCCGGAAAAGAGCAGCCTGGCGCATTAAAAGCCCATCTTAAGACTTATCGCATGTTGCATTAATATTCACATAAAACCCTCTATGTGCACAGAAAACTCATGACATTCATGCGCATGACAACAACCCTAATCGCTGCGCCAATGGCCTTCCCCAAGCATACTCGAGAACAAGAGAGAGATATACAGAAATTCTGAAAGCAATGGTGATTCCCTTGTGCATTTTCAGCAGTTACATATATCCGCAAACATAATGTAGGAAAATAAACAGAATGTAAGTGTAAAATTGAAGACAATTAGCAAAACAAATGTCTACCCCGTATGGCAACATAAAAAATCACCTGAAACTTATCATTATTAAAGTTGAGCATATACCTGGGTAACATTGGTACGATCCAAACAGTCGATGCAATTTGTCCTCACAACTCCAAGTTGCACCTCAACTTTCTCACCTTTCTCATTCAATAAAAAGTATCTGAGAACCAAACATACGGGACGATGTCAGCTTCCAATGGATACAATCATCTTTTATTGCAACTTCAATAGAGGATCAAATTATATAGGAGAAAGAGAGAGATTCCATGCCTATTTTTGATGAGGAAATTTTCAATTTGATCATAGAGGATAGAGAGGCGCTCAAAATGAACATGCCCGCATATTTGGTGAAAATCAAAGTGCACGTACCTATAAAATCAACAGAAATTAACCAATTGAAGTAACTAAAGTTTTACCAAACCGATGCTTAAATAAGTTTCTACCTCACATCATCACTAACAACATGCTGCATTGCATTTCCAAACTTTTCGCACAAGCGCCCCTCGCCTCCATGCTGATAAAATCATTAATTGAGCAGAAAATAAAAGCTTCAGAGATCAATGCATATCTAATTCTCATGCATGTAGACTTGTTTGCTTTCTTAACATCCAAAGAAAAATGAAGCGATACTGAAGCAGAACAATAGGACATGGCACTAAATCACTTCAACAAAAAGAAAGCAATAAATTAGATAACACACAACCTAGAGACCTCCTTACTTTCTACGGTTCCATCTTGGTTTTAGTTTTCGCACTGGTAAAAATTGGGGGAAGTTGCATGAGCTTTTTATTAAGCATTCATGTTCATGCACTACTATAACCATTACAGTTTCCCCAGTCACAGAAACTTCCATTTCTTCTTTCAGAAGCCTTCAACCTAAATCCATCTGGAAAAAACCCGTGCCTTGACTAAGTGGATACGTAGTTAACTGAATTCTATGCATACTAAAATCGATCACGATGTAATTTAACCGGTCACGGAACTTTTCATTAACAAGAAATTAGATAAATGATATCTTAAAGATTATATCACAGGTAACAGGATAGATGCGATATGCAAAGCAACTTTCAGTTTAGTTTCAACTAGTCACAAAATCTAGAATATTAGGTTTTTGTGTGAACAATTATTAAGTAAAAAAATCCTAACCTTATTTACAAGATCTACAGCCAAAACATTTCCATATTTCTTTCTCAGGTCCAAGATGTGGCGTTCAACCACTCGAGGCTGCAAAATTTTACACAATCAATCAGATTGAAGAGCTCTACATATCACAAAAACAAATCTGGAAAGTTAAAAGTGTAATCCACTTACAGCTTCTTCGAGTCTCACAAGCTCAAATTTAGGCTTGTATTTCAAATCAACAATTTGGTCCCATAGTAATGGAATTGATCCTCGGACCTAAAAACATACAGAGAAACGAAAATATATATATTACTAAAAAAGAAGATAGAGCCCTACGTTTACATTTTCAGAAAAAAATCATTCTCATTCTAGTGGTTAACTATGCTACCTGATGCCGCCCAAATGACCAGAACAGAACTGATAGGAATAATTGACACATAGCCAGGAGACCTCAAGCTCAGAGGCCTCCTACTTTTGCCAACCCAAATAAAGAGAGAAAAAAAACATTTGATGTAGGGAAAAAACAGAGATTAAAATAAAGACTTGCACCTGAACGAAAGATGCTGTGTGCCCATTCAACTGCACTATCTGTTCAGTTTCCACAAAGTTGGCTACAAAACCATCAGAATCAGCTCCTCTTCTCCACATTCTTGTTCCTTCAGAAGTAAAGAGAATTGAGTTAAAACAAAAGGAAAACAAGAAGCAAGCACATACGGCATAAGAGCATTTCTTCAGGCAGAATATTTTCTTTTATTTCAACATATGTATTTAAGAAACAGACACAATCTCTATGTATTTAATTAACTGGGTATGCTGTTGCTCTTGTGGGTTTAATATTTTTTTTTTGTTGATTGCATCTGCTTCTACGTTACCTCCTCAATAAGGGATACTAAGTATTACACAAAAAATCTTCTATCCATACACCCCTCTTAGTGATTGTAAAATCCTATCCACATATCATGTTTCTCATCGTCAATAGTCTGGTTTAGCGAAGTCAAATAAGAGCAAGACACCATGAATTCTCGAATCAAGGAGTCGCTTCACACTTAAAACTGAGATAGAGTTTTCTCCATTTCTTTCTAGCGTAAAGTAGTTAAAAAGTAGATATGTCCTTTCGAAGTAGATTTTCATTTTTCAAGGCTTTAACTACCAAAATACACGTCCATTGGTTTAAATCAGCTGGAAAGCAACATTGTAAGATTGATTTCAATTATCCAGAAGGCACACACAGGACACGGTTCACTCTGGCTTAATATATGGGGGATCACTCTTTATTTTTTTGAGTATCTGTTACTGAAACTCTAAATAACAAGACAAAAAGAAATGAAGGCACCAAAGGAAATATGGAACTGATACCTGTTCTCCTATTGCATCTCCGAGCAATAAGTGTGACATCAACAATGTCTTTTCCAATGGCAGTTTGGAAGTGATTAAAGCCTGATAGTCAGTTAAGGTCTAAACAAAGAGTTGATGCCGTTTTTTAAGCCACAAGATAAATTAGGCAAAGTTAAAATAAAGCTCAAACAGCCATAAACTAATGTAAGGATACTCCCCTGGAGAACAGGAAGCAAGAAAGGATCAAGCTGCATGAAACAGAACAAGACAAAATCATGAGAGAAGTTGCAGATAGAATAGATATCATACCATCTAGGGATAAAATTCTAACCTTGCTGTCTATAAGTATTTCCAGCATATAGTTGTTCCAAAGGAATCGAGGGTCTGCCTGGAGAATGCAAAGTCACAATTCTGGAGTTAAAAGTCACACTTCCTTGATCTCAACTTTCAGCTAATTAAGAAAATGCTATCCAACATTGAAAGAATGTACAAATAAAATCAACTTTGCACTAGAGTAAAGATAAGAAAGCATAGTTGAGATAAGATGTCTCACTTGTCTCCAAAGGGGAAGTAGCTTTGATTCATCACCTAAATCATTTAATCTTTGTGCACTGCAGGATGAATGTAATGAGTTTGTAATTAATCTTAACAGTAACACCATAGAAACAATCAAACTATAAAGCGCTTGCAAACTAGTATATAGTTATGTGGTCTCTAAATCTAAAACGTGACATTCAAAACATATTTCCTCCCAAATTTAACAATTAAAACATGCTTTAAAGTTGGTGAAACAACAAAAGCATAAGAACTTGATCTCTTTCGGAAAAAAATAAAAAACCAATAATCAATCATTGCAGTTGCTGTTCCCTGAACAAGATGTAACATAAAAAGAAAAACAACAATTACCTCAATGTGATGTTGACATCATATGAGAAATACAGACCAGAAGTCTGTTCTGCAACATTTAAAAGCCCAGAAAACTCAGCTTCCATCTTCTTCTGTAAAAAAAATACAATTCATTCTCAAAGACCAACACTATCCGAATCAGAAAAGGAGCGAAAGGAAGATCAAAGAAGTACCTGTTCAACTGGTGTGTTTTTTAGAGAATGATCACAAGGAAAAACTTGCATCGATGAAACTTTGAAAATTGGGTGTCCCAGATAAGATCCAACACACTCACGTTCAGTTATAACCAATAGATACGACCCTAAAACAATACAGAATTATGAAAATATTATTAACAAGTTCCACCATGCTTAATGATTGCATGAGTCCAAGATTATTGAACTATGAAGGCATATAATATCCATGTGCTCTTGGCATGAAATTTCCAAAATATTTGGAGAGGAAACTCCCAATTAAAGGTCACAAAAAAGGGGGCAAATACTAAAGAATTGGCAGTTTTCAGTTCTTGCTTTATCAGCCAATTGTCAGCTAAGTGTAACAATATAAGATTGATCAGATCTGCGCATGATTTTCTATTATAACTGTCACCGTATAATGTACATTAGTTCAATTTCAATAAGACAACCTTGCACCAGCCACCTCCTATTTCAGATAGAGATCGAAAGATATCAATCTATTAGATTATAAATAATGTTTCTGCTGTAGCTTCCAGACCACTAATTGCAGTGGTGAAGGGAGGGGGGACCAGTAGGGGCAGTCCCTGGGGCGGGGAAAATTTCAATGCGAGAACACTTAAATTTTTAGTACAAATTTATCAAAAAATAAATTTTGCCCCTGCAAAAAAGAGAAATTTATACCTTTTAGTCGATGACAAAATATTTTTACATTTTCTCGCCCCTACTTTGATAAAATCCTAGTTTCACCATGAGTTACAATTTGGAAATGGCAAAGGAGAGGTAAGGGTCCTGATGACTTATAACTAAATTTTCTCATCTGATATCCAAATTTTAGAGGGTCCTTTAAACTGAATAAGACCAACAATTAACCAGAGCACAACTAAATAAAGAAAATAAAAAAAGGAGCCATAATTCAGGATCTGAATAAGACAAACTTGCCTGCTAGAAGCTTTAACAACCCAACGACACCAAAAATGGCCCGAATTTTAGGAACACGAAGGTTACTGCAATGTGGAACTTCATCTGAAAGAGACAAGTTACACTTCTTGAAATGTCTACTTCGCACAATATATACATCAAATCAAAAGATAAAAGCAATTCTATGGAACTCAAGATAAAGATGCCAACCAATGGGCTTTATAGATCCATCCACGCGACTGATGGACAAACAGAAACCCGGAGACCCATCTGTAGGCTCAATAACATATTCATCAGGAAACTCCCAGAGCCGCATCCGCGTGTAGAGCTTCTGTGAAGGTTCTGCTTTCTCCATTGTCACCGAAAACTATCAATCACAATGACATAAACAAATATTTCAAAGTCAGATTTTTAGCCTATCTAATAGCAGACAAATGCTTGAGCACTAGATAAAATCAGACACATGAATCAAACATCACAACTCAAGGGAGAAATATCAGGTAAATTAGAAGATGAAGAGCCCACTACAGTAAGCATCCAAAACTATTGATATATATACATCACTTAAGAGCGTTGAACTTAGTAGAAGTAAAAGTTTGTGGGGGATTAATCAATGAACAGGAAACTACACTGTGGCTGTAGGAAAATGACAAACCACACGGTTTTTTATTTATCCAAGAAAATAGGTAAACAACCTGTAATTTCACCGGAAGATATTTTGTAGATATCTTTGAAACAAGCTAGCCAAACTTTCAACAAAATATTGTTGACCCTTTGAAGCTATCCCAGAATGACATGATAAAGTTCATTATGCTGCTGCAAGGTCCACCGGACAACATCGAATGGTTTCAAATTCAGAAGAATCAGCAAACTAATTCTAACGCTTCAAGTCATTCAAATGAATAATTTACAAATCCTAGTAAAACATGAAAACTGACAAACCTAAAATCACCACATACAACCTCCACGGTGATCAGCAAGAAATACAAGTCCATACTACTTTAACCAGGGAAAACTATTTGCCATATGAAGCCTAGTCACACTCTACAATTAACACCGCAGTTTATCCTCAATAGGAGTAAACCGAAGCTTCCGGTACAAACAGATCGACGAATAAGCGAACAATCATGCAATTGTAAGATTGAGAAAGTGAGGCCCCCTCTCAACATCGAATCATTCATCAACATTATCGATCAGCATTTGAATTTCAAAACTATCATACAAAAGTTCAGTTTTCCACTATTCCATTATCATGCATCCACCATAGAAATCAATATTAATGACAAACAGGAAGACAGATTTAATAAATGCATTAAGAGAAAGCCAAATTGATCACAAAAATACAGTACCTGAGTGTGAGGCTTGAACACTGCGTAAAGGAGAGGAACAGAGAAGGAAGGATGGATAGGGAGGAAGAGATCCAATCCAGCAAAAAATCTCGAAGTTGGAATTAGTCAAAAATCAAGAAAACGAGAGAGCGAAATGGGAGAAACTACAAAAGAGCGCGGGTGAGAAAATCCTTTTGCGCAGAAAAAGAAACGGAAATTAGTTACGGTATGAGCGAAACAGAATGTCGGCCCACTATACCATTCTGCGTTGATCTCGGAAATGGGCCAATTACAACAACAGACCAGCAGCGCAGAGATTTCTTTCTATACTAAATTTTATTATTGGATCGACAGAATCGTCAGGTTTTCTCTGCTGTTTTGTTGATGCTGATTCGAGATTATCTAAAAGCCGGCTGGAAAGTGCATTCTTTTGCTAGCAGTGGGCCCGATTCATTTATTTATTTATTTATTTTAAATCATTTTTGAATTGGAAAATGGAAATAAAGGTCTCTTTTTCATTACTATTATTCGATGGATTTTGGTTATTTTCCAATGAAAATGGAGGCACGCAGCCGCGTTCGTGTGTGTGTGTGTGTTTTTTTTTTTCCTGTTTTCTCATAATTTTGATTTTTGATGACTCTTTCTCATCTTCAAGAAAAGAAAAGAGACTTTTTTGCGGTAACTTTTTTTCTTTTTTGTTAATTGCACTTGAAAAATGTCCAATTGTGAAAAATGTTCTATATAGGTGAACTCCTCTTCTTTGGTTTATTTTGGATACATAAGACCAAAAATGTAATAGCTTATGATAGCTAAAAAAAATAGTAGCAACGATCACATTGTGATGAGTCCGGATTGAACCCTAGTTCTGTTAGGCCTATGGTTTAATTACTTAAAAACTAAGTCACCACTTAAACCTATTCCGCTAGAGTTTCAGGAAACAGGTAACAACATCTTTATGGTGTCTCTCTCATAATACAGATCTTCTGCACCTTCTACATACGATACACGTCCCTCTCTCTCTTTATTCTCTTTATTCCTTCATTGACTTAAGTATCGAAGAGTCTATACTCGGGAGACATTCGAGGCTCTGTCTTACAGGTTTTAGGCCGTTCGCCGCCGCCTAGGTCATCATCGCCGCCCATCCTAAGCACCGTACAAGTCCAGATTTCGTCACATTGTTGATCAAGGCTGCCAAATACAATTTTTCATTCGCAATTGAACAACTTCTAACACACATGAAGTAAAATTATTTTCTTTCTCAAAAAGTATAATATAGATGTGAGACAACTACTCAATGTTTGTTTTGACGAAAAGGATACTATATGAATCGTATTACATTCGTCCCAAAAAAATAGTCCACTTTAAGTTTTAGAATTTGTACTATATCTAAATTATGATCAAGCGCCACACTTAAGATTTAGTGTTTTTGCAAACAAAAGTTAGGAAATTAAATACCCTTAGCACTTTGTAATATGTTATTCTGCATAGGATTAATGTACCCATTCCTAGTACCTGTTTTTTAAGTAAAACGAAAACAAAAAATATCAGCATATTCAATCAAAGTTGTGGTGCGATATCACGAAAAATGAACTGTGAATTTGTCAAAAAAAAAAAAAAATTCTATGGATATTGAATGGTAATATTATTTTAAGGTCTTTTAACATTTTCGGAATTTGTAAGTATAAGTAAATACAATCCAAATTTTAAATTAATATTTGGATATTTGGGAGATAATAGTATACTACGTACTAGTTGTTGGTCATTTTGACTAGTCAGACACTAAAAATTGAAAACCTCGGCCTAAACCCTCCTCCATTCTCCGACGACTGTTTATCTCCGCAACCGCCACTATCGATGCGGTGGGGTTGCACTTCTCATTTCTGGTGATTTACTAACATAATTTTCGATTTATCTCGTCGAAAAAGTTAGCCTGTTCCTCTTGAGCGAATTAGGTATATCCGATCTTGTACTTTCTCAGGGACATTTCATCAAATGGCTTACTATGCCAAAAATGTACTGCGCGTTGGCTCCGGTGCGGGGCTTCCAAACCCATTATTTTTTGCTGCTCAGGGTGTTCGGTATCGAAAAGTGGAAGTTATCCTCACCTCAGTAAGTTAACAATTTTATTTTTGTTCTCTGGAATGAATCTTGGAATTAAATTCTGGGAAGTCTGCAATTCATGTTTGTCTCCTTTGATGATTGAATTTTTGGTGCTCAATTAGATTTATTGTGTTTTTAGAACATACACAAGCTGGGTAAACCAGGAGATACGGTGAAGGTCAGAGCGGGATTTTTCCGGAACCATTTGATGCCTAAGTTACTCGCAGTTCCAAATATTGACAAATTTGCAGACCTTGTTAGGGAGCAGCGGAAGGTTCTTCTGCTTCTCTTTCTTTTGCATCGTTTATAATTCAGAATAATCATTTCTTTCCTTCTAATTATGAGAATCTGCATTTTTCAGCTTTATGAACCTAAGGAAGTTGAAGAGATTCAGGTGGTTGTCCCCAAAACTCGGGAAGACAGGATGAGAGAATATCAGATGGCAGCACGACGCCTTGATAGTGCTTTGCTGGTGAGTATTTCCTGTTGCTTCCTTTTTGTATTCTGAAGGTATCATATGAGTCATATTAAGAAGTTCTGCTTGCTGATATCTTCAAGCAAGTTGTTTCATATATCTACTCATACATGTTATCCGTTCCCATATTAGTGGAATATCTCCGTAATTTGTTCCTGGAATGTGAAATGCTAACAATTGAATGAGTACCTGATATCTCAACTTGTTTTATTACGAAGAATATATGAATGAGAAGCTTGCAATGTAGTTTCTATCTTTTTCGTATGAATTAATTCTATTGATCACTTCCAGGTTCTGCGTAAGTTCACTTTGGCGGAAGATGAAGTGCGTGAACCTGTGACAAAGGATGAAATAGTAGCTGAGGTATAATTTTGCCCCCCTCTCATATTTTCATTTTTCCTTGGCTCTTTTTCTGGTTTTTAAATGTGAATTTTTATGTTATCATTCTGCTTTAGTTATGTTAGTAATTAATGTGTGAACTTTGCTCTACTAATGTTATTTATAAACCCGGTACTATGCCAGTCATTTCGTTTACAATGCCTAAATTTTCCATCAATTGGTTCCTTCCATGTATGATTATTCTTTTCTCATGATGTTTGTGATGATGACTTAGCCTTACATCATAAGTTCTTGACTTATATATACCATCGATTTGATGGGATAGTAAAGACGTTGGAGTACCTTTTTTCCTCTGTTTTAAGACCTATCGTTATTCACTGAAATTGCCATTTGTTGTTAGTGGGATAAACACTGTAGATTAGAGAACGGAAGTGTAGACTAGATGTAACTCTGATTGTTGCTTAATTTAGATGCAAGTTGCATTGCCCTTGGGCTTCTCTGATTTTGCCATTAGTTACTAGAAGAATGGAGACCTAAAGTTCTGAAGTTGGGTTTTGATGTTGTCCGGGAAACATTGCTACATGAATCTACCTTGATGACAAAATGATATGATTCAACTGCAGACTCATTGAGATGTAGTAGTTGATTATTTGGAAGATTCTGTCTTTTTGGAACCTAATGCTCTTGTGAAGATGAGATGCTATTCATGATTGGTTTCATATGTTTAGGCAAGATTCCAAATTTCAAAGCTTGTGAAGTTCTTTGGTTTTCATGGAGATGAGCAAAAATTGAATAAAAGTTCAATTTCATCTTTCATCTTAATAGATAGCTGCTTTTCCTCGTGACTGTTTTCCCCTCCACCATGCCCTTATCTCCTTGTGACTGTCGAACACTAATGTTCTCATGTTGACCATGAACTTGAAGCTCATCTAGAGCATCTGGTAGTTTCTGCAGTCATAATCTCTTTTTGGAGTCATGATAATACTTCATAAAGGTGACATCTTTCTGTCATGCACATCCTTCCTAGCGATCACCAGCACAATATTTGCTAAACTGAAATATGTCAGAATTGATGAAGGTTTGCAAGATATATTGGATGCTAAATGATATGGAATTTCGAAAGTTAAATTGCTTTTTGTGAGCTGCACGTGATGTAAGATTATTGCATGATAATCCTCACTACACCTTGAACTGAAATTACTGATTCTTTATGATGCTGTACTAGGTTGCAAGACAGCTTTCAGTGCGCATAGAACCTGAAAATTTGTATCTTCCAACTCCATTATCAACTTTTGGAGAGTTTGAGGTTCCACTTCGTCTACCAAGATCCATTCCTTTGCCAGACGGGAAGTTGCAATGGGGTCTAAAGATCAAAATTCGCAGAAAATGAATGGAGTTTTTTCTTTTTACAATGGTGGGTCTATCTGTACTTCCTTTTTGTAAGAAAAGTAGGTTTACAACCTGATTTTGCAATCAATTCTCCCCGGCTGAGTTAGCATTCAAGTTTGAATACTTGAAGGTCTGCCTATGTTGGACGGGGAATAGCAATGTGGTTTCAAGATCAAATTGGCGGGAAGTGAGATTTTGATTATGTGTTTGTTTTTTCTTTCCTTTTTTGTTCACAGTGAAGGAACTATTTGTACTTCATTTCTGTAAGAAAAATAAGTTATTTGCCTAATTAAGCAATCAATACACACTGAATTAGCATCCTAGTTTGAGTACTTAATTTACATTCCCGTCGACTTCCTTACGAGTTTTATTTTTCTGAATCTTAGTACTGTCTGGCATCTTTTCATAATCTATCCCAAACATATGAATGCCTCTTACAACTAAAATGGCGTCAAAATTTTTACACAACTTATCTGGGTCAATCCTGCGGCAACAGCCATAAACCTTTTTGATGTATACTTCCTAGTCCACTTAGTAGTACAGATCAGATAGGAAGGAGAGTATACTTTTCTCAAGTACGTTCAGGGGGACAGAAATAATAATAATGAGAAAAGCCGTAACTAAGACACAAAACCTCCTAATTTCACACAAATTTGGAAAAGAATCTGATCATTGTACGTGCTGATAATCAGCATAGAGTATGATCTTATTCAGTATAATTTAGTCAAGCACAGTAATCCGAGAGATCAAACGGCACAAAAATATGTCGGGTTCAAAACACTCCTAGGACAGGATCCAATATAATAACTATAAAACTGTATACTTCCATGATGAATTCTCAGGATCTGGTGTAGCAGCAAAATTAATCATTTCACCGCTGATGACTATATAACCTGAACGAGCTCCCCCAACCAACATCTTCATTATCACATGATATTTCTTCCCCTTTTAGCATTGTGTTCAGATGCTTGGCCTCATATTGAGGTGAGAAGCGAGCTTCTGACCAAGTGATTTGTCAGCCTGCAGCATGCATTTAAAACCACAGTTAAACTTTATTGCTTTTCCATTGAAAGGGAGACAGGAACTACTAAAAATTCATTATAGACCTTAATAGGACATCTCAGAAGAAGTGTTTAACACTAAGAGATTGAAGATTTACAAGAACAACAAGACAGTAAAAGAAAGAGAACTTCATTTGTACTGGCAAGGGGATCTATGTCTCACCTGAGACCAGTAAGAGATCCATATACTGCGGATCTCGTATGTGACTTTTGGGTCAGATAAGGCATCAACCCAACGACGGATGAAACGCTCTTGCCTGCAGAGGTCAACAAAGTTACTCAAATATCAAAAGCAGAAACTACATGCAACACACCTATTTGAAATGGCAAAAGAACATACCTGTCTGGTGAAAATGAACGGTAGCGTTCGCCAGGTTGCTTGAAATTGTTCTCTTTTGCAATTATAGCCTGAGATAAAAGACACTTTTCAGAAAACAGTAGCTGCATGCATCTAAAAAGGAAATGTTTGCAAAACTGTGGTTGGTACAAACATGGTTAATTAATTCAAATATAGAGATTCCGCTTCTAGTGCAAATTACTCTACATTTCAGCTTTTAGTCATGTAAGAACATACCCGCTCACGCTTGCCAGTACAGATTGCAGGAGGAATGGGGTATTTTTCAGCATGCCTGACAGGATCATACCTTGATGGGAAGTAGTCGATCTGCATTACCAGCCACATTTCTGTTATCAGATAGTTTACCACTAATGTGCGGAAGATCAAAACATGGAATCTACAAGCTCCAGGGTGACAGTTCTCCTTTTGTTAAAGAAATAAAAATGCAGTTTTTTTACTGGCAAGTAGAACTATTTATATGAGAGAGAGAGAGAGAGAGAAAGAGAACCTCATCATCTCTGTGCATGAAATTCATGGCACCATCATAATGGTTGTTGTGGTGAGCGCACTTGGGAGCATTTGCAGGAAGCTGCAAATAATTGGGTCCAAGCCGATGCCTTTGCGTATCGGAGTAGGAAAAGATACGGGTCTGGAGTAGCTTATCATCTGAGTAATAAATGCCTGGCACCACAATAGCAGGGCAGAAAGCCAGCTGCTCATTCTCATTGAAGAAATTATCAATGTTCTTGTTCAAAACCAAGCGCCCAACTGGCTGCAAGGGCAATATGTCCTCAGGCCAAGTTTTAGTCACATCAAGCGGATCAAAGTCGTATTGGTCTTCAAAATCTGGATCAATTGTCTGAATGAAAAGTTTCCACTCAGGATAGTTCCCAGCTGCAATTGAGTCATAGAGGTCCTGAGTGGCATGGCTATGGTTAGCTCCCCCAACCTTGATGGCGTCTTCTTCCAGCAAACTCTTAACTCCACAGGTGGGCTTCCAGTGGAACTTAACATAAAGTGCTTTCCCAGCCTTATTGACTAGGGTATAAGTGTTGACACCAGATCCATCCATGTGCCTGTAATCTTGTGGAATACCAATATCATCAAAGAGAAAAGTGAACATGTGCAAACTTTCAGGATGGTGCGAAAAGAAGTCTACGATTCTCCAGTTTTCCTGAATATGGGATTTGGGATTGGGTTTCAGGGCATGGACCATGTCTGGGAACTTCATTCCATCACGGATGAAGAAGACTGGGAAATTGTTGCCCACCATATCAAAGTTACCCTGATAAACAAATGGATAATTAGCTAACTATAATGATGGCGGACTCATTTAGCAGTGAATGTGTATGTAAAATACATATGCTAGACTTAAGGACTACCAAACATGAATGTGATGAATGCTTATCCGTGAGAAAAAGAAAAAGCGAAAAACTGCAAGTCTTTTAACAAGTTAGTAGCAGCATGCCAAAAGCATCTACTACTCACAAAATAAGAAATGCACCACATTTAAGCTTAGGCGAGTTGATATGATGGGAAAATATAACTGTAAGTCTCATGCATTTAGAGAAGGCGAGAATACAAGGTTTCCTTTTGACAATCATTCACAACTGCTACAAAAAGAAACCGAAAAAACAAGGTACACACGACGACAGGAGCCTAGGCACATCAAGGTAACCACGTCAAAGCATCATAAATACCTCATTTCAGCATGCCTTTTAATGAAAGTAAATCTCTTATTTCTAAAAACCAACACTTCCTTGTGCTGACTGGAGATAAATCAATCATTTACGTCACACATACTGCAAACGAGCCATCAATGCATGTCTAATGCCTTTCTGCCTAGAGTCCATAAACAGAAAGATGAAAGGTTCATGCAGAGTGGAGAGGAAAACCAAGAGAAGAAAACCTAATTCTGCTCATGACATCCTACTAAAAGAAGCACAAGCAACCTAATTTAGAAGGAAGAACAGATGACCTAAGTGCCACGGATATAACTTAAACCATTTTTCACCACTAAATAAACACTGATTTAACCTGGAAGATGATAGAATTTTACACCAGAACTTAACATATCATACAACAGAACTCGACTATTCAACCAACCAAAGCAACGAACAAGTGAAAAATGCATCAATAAGAAAATTGGCAACTACTTAAAACAAAAACAAAAAAAAAAAGGGAAAAAGAAAAAGGAAAGAAAGGAATAAACGTGATAATCAGTATCTAGGATTTTAGCATGCACCAAATGTCCCATACCTCTCTGGTGTAAAACTTGACAGCAAAACCGCGAGGGTCCCTAAGAGTTTCAGGACTACCCCTTTCATGAATGACAGTGGAAAACCTCACGATGACAGGGGTCTGGACACCCGGGGCACGGAGGAAATCAGCACATGTGAGGTGAGATATGTCATGAGTGACCTCAAAAAAACCTTTGGCACTGGCTCCCCTGGCATGCACAACACGTTCCGGAATCCTTTCCCTGTCAAAATTGGCAAGTTTCTCCACCAAATGGTAATCCTCCAGCAAAATTGGACCTATCGAATTTTTCAAAACTTCAAACTTGGGAAAGAAAACAGAACTTGATGCTGTTCAATGGGCTAATAATTGTCAGGAAATCTTAATCTATATGCTCTCAATTCACATGTTTTAGCCAGTATCCAGTAGAAGACAATTAATTCTTCCAGATATCAATGTTTCCTATCTTTAAAGAATATCAACTAAAATGGTGTTATTTCCATTCAAACATACACAAACCAGTGAACAAACAAATCAAATGACCCCAAACAAAAAGAAAGGGCGAGGGCGAAATCCAAATGGATATGAAGTTCATCAGGGATGAATGAAACCAACCTCTTGATCCAACAGTGAGAGATGAGTTATTGTTGTAGACAGGAGCACCAGAATTTGTGGTAAAGAATGGAGAGTTGTAAGAACTCGATGGACGGTACTGAACCACAGTAACAAAAGAAATGAATGTTAAAAAAAAAAAAGAAAAGAGCACAATCAATGGTACAAAAACATTAGAACAGGGTAGAAGAGGCAATTGCAAACTGAGGTTTAGCTTTGTACCTTGTAAGGATCCATTTGGAGACCCTTAATTGTCTCCCTGAAGATAGGCTAGAAGAAAGTATAAGAAACCCACAGAGAGAGTGACACTGACTCACTGAGTAGTGTCTTGGGAGTTGAGATAACAACAAGTGTATGGAGAAAAATAAGGAGGGAAGGAATGAATATGTGGGCTTCTTATATTTCTGTCGGATGTTAAGCCGAATTCCAGTAGAACACAATCTACGTCCACCTATTATAAATCTTCACCGTTTGATAATACTCCTACTAATTATTATTAAGGACTCGCTGAAATTCTACTGTTTAGTGATAGAAAAAATTCCCCGTGTTACCAATATTAATTAACATGATGATTCAATATTATGATACTTATCTTGACGGCTAACCTTTTTTGTAATGTTTTTGATAGTTTTTTTAGATTAATAAAATAATAACTGTCCCATCTAAACATATCTTTTTACATTTTCAACGCACTTTTTTACATTCAAAATACAAAAAATATCTAAAAACACAATTTAAAAAAACGAAACAAACATCTGTAACCTTCAAACACATTTTGAACAGTACTCTATTTTCACTTTTAGTTCATTTTGTATTAGAAATGAAAATTTAAAAATAATAATTTCGATACGTAGGAATATTACGAAGTATATATAAACGGCAGTGTATAATTAACAATTGTTTGTGGGAGATTACTTTTTGAGTTTTTACTAGGGCCCTTCGCGAGAACAATGATTTGAGTCATGGACATATTGGTTGGGAATTGGATAACAAAATTGGAGCTTGAGGCCAGCAGATCACTGGACCAAAATGGCATGCAGTATAAGGCTGGGGTTTTTCTGCCATATAAAATTTCCGAGGATTATTAATAATTTATTAGGGCCTCAAACATTTCGGGTATTTTTTGTGAATATCATGAATATGGATGATGATAAATCGTATAAATTTTATGTGAGCGGCATGTGTATCTTGTTCTTGTCTTCTAGTATTTTTTTTTTCCTGTCAACATCGACCACACTGCTGAAGCATTTGTGATAAACAAAAAATGCATGGCTTTTTTTTTTATTCGTGTTAAATTGATCATCATAATAAAGAATACATTTTCGACCTCTTATAATCAAGAAATGTTTTGATAAGGTTGGACCCTTTGAAGTCCCACAGGTTGACCATCTTGCGGCTTCAGATGGTCAAATAAACGGGAATTAGCCTACTGCGTTCGCCAACCTCTTTAGAAGTATGTTTAGTTAATTATGTGGTTACACTTCAAGAAAAAAAAAAAAGGTGATTAAATTTTGCTTAAAAAATACGACCAGAAGAAAGAGTACTTTAAAAAAAAAATTATGAAAGAGTCTAAAATCTAATTATAAGAAATCATAATATTACGTAAATATGAAACTCTAATGAGATCGTATTTCAACCATTATCTCACTTCTACTGGTGGACTATGAAAGGGTTGATAACCCCATGCTCCAAGAAGCGATGACCGTCGTAATAATCTGCAGGAAAATTAGTCTCTCTACACATGATTTAATCGAACCACCAAGACCTCCCCCAACAACTCCCGAATCCCTCTCACCATACAACCATCGATACCAAGCTCAACTTTTCGTCCTAACACCATGTTAAAAACACTATCCATCCATCTCAGCAATGACATTTCTATCTTCAATCTCCTATGCCAGCATAAGTTCTTTAAATAAACCCTGAAATACCACACCTATTTCTTATAATAAAAGAAATGAATAACTTATTGCTTAGTGCTTAAGAAGTAATGAAATTACTTCTTTATTGCTTTACCTTTTTCTTTTCTTTTTTTTTTTTCTCAAAATGAATTTATCGCTTTCTCATCCGGTTTAGTCAAATCATTTTGACGTACGTACGGAGACTATCCCCCAAATCGTAGTATCGGGTGGATTTCAATATTTTATTATCTTAATTTGTTGATGATAATTCCTGTCATATAAATACTTGGAATATTTTGATTGATTAAATGGAACATAGGCTGTTAGCCACGGGAATGAACATTACTTTCTCGTTTCTGTCAAAAACAAAAACGTTATTCGCACATGCATGTCAGGGAAATTCTGAGAGGCCCCGTCTCAATGCATGCAGGTGGCTAGCTAGTTTCTAAAACCACCATTTTAAGATAGAAACAACTTCATCAGCCTAATTCTTGCGAACACCAGGCGGTCGTAATCAAACTAAAACCACACATAAACATATGCAAAACTCTTCAATTTAATTATTGTGTTCCAAATTTCAATGATGCAGCTCAGATCACGGAATATATATATTTTAGTTGTATTATAAATGAAAATCTAAACTGGACAAACATTTTGAGCCGATAGGGTACTTAACTATTTATCAATTATGAAAAAATTGATATTGAAAATATTTGTGAGAATGTTGATTAGGTTTTCTCGTCAAGAGCTGAGACTTTCCAGGCGGAGAAAATTCCTTTATATATATATATATATATATTTGCAGGGTGTCTACCGTCGACAATAGTAACTAATCCCCCTCGCTGAATTGTAGACACCTCCACAACTCCACAACTCCAGAATCTAAGAAACTACTAATTCAAAGTTGAAAAGCATAATTGAATGTCATTCTGAACCGTCGAGAGAGGATTCATCACAGAAAATTAAAGAAGAGGGAAATTAAACGACGGAACCAAAACATGGATGCATGGGTTACCAAAGCCCTTTTTTCTATAGTTCCATTAGCTAGAGAGGTTGTTTATGCTCCTGTAGAATGAATCCTAGTTGTTGACTTGGACCCGTTTAGGTGATCAAGCAACTCAAGTTCAATTTAGATAAAATGAATTTGTACTATGTGTGTGTTTTGTTTTTTTTTTTTTTTCTTTTTTGGTTTTGGACTGTAAATTTACGAATACAGACTATAATCTCCTTCTTTGTACTAAAAAAAAAGTAAAAGAAATAGATTAAATACGATAAGTAAAAGGAGACGCTTTCATTATTATTATTATTATTTTTCGTCGTTTGAAAATAAATCAATAAAATGAACTACTAAGTAGTACGTATTGCATCAAAGTTTTGTCGGAACCTATTCATCTGTAACATTTTGTTAGTGTGACATTTTTACACCAGCAACAACGTGAAAAATGTACTAATTAACACAGTAAAATCCCAAGATGTGTAAAAATATTAAACAAATGTTGGTACAAACTATACAAAATATGTTTCGTACGTCTTTCGCCTGCATTCTCATTTCTTTTGTTACAAATAAAGATTGGTCATGTCACCATTCTCAATCCAACTTGCCTTCTAGAATTTTCCAACGTCTTTTTCCTTTCTTCTTCTTCTTTTTTTTGTTTTCATTTTATCCGTAGGCTTGATTCAATTAATATAAACGGCTCATCAGAGCCTCTTTGTTTGATTCGTTTCAAAATATATAAACCTTTTGTAAATGACGTTGTAGGATATGTAAATATAATCGTAAAAAGATATTGTTCCATTAATAATTAATTAAGAGATATGAACGTACGTTGACTATAAAGGAGAAAAAAAACACATAGTATTTCTTTCAAGTTACGTATATTTGTGCCCTCAAAAGAAAATTTCTTTTTCTTCAACTCGCTTCAATGACAAAAAATCTGAACTCATAAAGGCGCGACAAATGAATAGACACCAACCAAGGAGATAAGTGCACAGTATATAATTCACCATAAATGAAATATCTGAAATTAATACAGAGAGATCTCAAAATTATTACTTACGAATGAGTATGATATTTTAGCTAATGAGAGTTTTTAAAATCCGGTCAAAATTAGATTAATTAGGTAAATACTCATAAATAGAAAAATCCAAGGAACGTTTAATGAGTTTGAATGACTAATAAAGTAATAACTTACCGTTACAATGAACCGAGCAGCGCCTACAATATCATTCGCAATTTCGCATCATTTCAATTTTCAACACCTAGAACTAAATACGAGAGAGAACCATAGATACAAAATTTAATTCGGACAGAACATACATGAATTCGTATCACTTAATAAGTGAGTTTTATAGTACTACGAATTAATTTATCAAATCCAGTGCGGAGTGTGGTGCAATATTCTGTAAGATTATGCATGTCTGTCTCTTTCTTTGTACCAAAAGGAATTAAAAATCAATAAGGCTCGTTTTATAAAAGTGAATCACCCATTTGATTTGAACTCTCGACAAAGGAATAAGGCTTTTACTTTGTAGGGCTGCATACGTTAATAAGAAGAATGTGTTGGGAGCGTTTTGTTTTCTAAAATAACCTATTCAGTTCGAAATTCGGATTGGTTGGTAGAATAATTTTGAACAATGAATGTGTAACACACTAATATAATTCAATGATGGATTAATCTAAGCTTGAAATTGGGTTGGAAAAGAAGCAAAAATAACATAATAAAATTGATATTTCATTCAAGTATCCATTGAAGGGCAAAATGCCAGTACATAAACTTATAACACTAATAATCAAATCAAAGCACCTCAATCCCCCTACCAGAGTGAGTACTAAGTGATTTGAAACTTGAAATAATTAAAGTTATGAATTAAAAAGGACACACGCACACATCAAACCAAACACATAACATAAGAATACAATGATTCCAAAAACATCCAGGTCCTCCATCTCTCTCGGGTCTTAAATCCATCCGGGGATGTATTCCGGGGGGAACACATTGAGGTCAAGGATGGAGAAGGGCTCCGCGCGGTGGCGGAGGCGGGTGTGGGACCTTCGAACGTGCTCGATATAGTCCCGTTGCGTGAGGCAGTATTGTCCGCAGCCTTGGCGGGTGCACCTGATCAGCGTCACGTTCGGCGGCTCTTCCTCGGAGCTGTCGAGCGACATATCGCTCAAGGTCGCGTCGCTGTCGCCACCTTGATCACCTTCAGCCGCCTCCTGCATCTCGTCGTCATCAGATGGTGGTGGCCTTTCGTTCAGGTTAAGGCCGCCGCGGGCCTGATATGGACGGACCACCACCGAAGGCTCGCCCTTAATCGGGCCGCCTTCAGCGTCTTCACCGTCCACGGAAGGCTGCTTTTCCGTTACCACAGGCGCCACCACAACATCAATAGGGATTTCTTCGCCCTTTTGTGGGCCGTTGACTGGAACTTCAGTGACGATGGGGCTGGCTGGGGTGGTGTTGTTCTTCTCCATTGTTGTTGAAAGGAAATGATGAAAGGGGTTTTTTTTTTTCTTTTATTTTTTTGGGTGAGGAGTGATTCGGGTGTCAACTGTTGCGCTGGTTTATAATGTTTTTTGACGACCTAAAATGGGAACCATTTACCCTGATTTCCTTTTACTCCTACATTTGCACACCTTCATTGTTCCTGCCATTTTCCCGCGCTATTATTTGAGATATACATTTCAATTTTAATTATATTAATTTTGTTTCTTTTTTTTATTTCCCCCCCTGTCAATAACTACGTACAAGAAGCCATAAAAAGAAAAGGAGAAGGCTATTTATTTCCTTCTAGTGGTGCTGAAATTAAAAAATAACGCGGGAAAACAAATAGGCATTTTGGGGAATTTTGGTGTCCATCCCCGATTTAATCACTGCCTATTAGGTATGGTTGACTAGACACGGACTCAGTGATTTGGTGTGATCCAACTATGATTTTAACCTGTAATGGGAGTTTTTTACCCTAAGAATGTATGCCTCTTTTTATTATAACCAAAAAAAATACAATTTAATTAACGGACTCATTGTATGGTTTTACATTTTGACTCAAGAGAGGATAACTGGAACAATCAACTCCAATTAAATCAATTGGGACTCTAAATTTTGTACAGTTGCAAAGAGTTTGAAAAGGGACTTCCCCAAACTTATTGAAAAAAAAAAGAACCTTATGGTGTGAGGAGAATGTTCGTCATGTATAAGCCCAACTAATTAATTTTACTAGTTTTACTCCCGCACGTTGTGAGAATTTTTAAATATTCTAGTTACAATTTTAAATATAATAATTCTGTAGATTTTTTAAAAGAAATTTAAGTATGAGTAGGAAGGGATATTAATTAGTATTTTGAATTAAGAAAATACTCGAGAATTAATAATCAGATCACTTTCAATAACAAAGATTGGCATGTTTAATGCGTATTACCTATTAATTATTGTTATTTTGTTGGAATATATTGTATAAAATTCATGAATACGCATCATGGTTAAAATTAATAGTAGATAAGATTTATTGGATGTTTTAACTAATTAATTTTTACGTTTTCTTGAATGATTGATGATAAATAAACGTGTCGATTGAGTCTATTGATGACTTACTGAATGTAACATGTCGTTACATCAAGTCTCCTTTAATATATACTAGCTAAATTTAACGCGCATGCCTTATATTTATATAATGTAAAATTATTTAATGGGTTTAAATATAACATGGAGAGTAAAATGGATGCAAATAATATTGAAAGAAAGTTCGAAATTACTATGAAAAAATATTAAAGTTAACAATTACAACGTGAATCGTAATAGTACCATCATCAATATGAGAATTAGTAAGCATCTACATATTAAACATTTGTGTTTATCTTTCCTTGCTCCATTGAAGCTGTGCTCTGAGTCGACCGGGCATGGATATATAGGAACATCACCATGCTTGAAAAATATATAAGGAACTTTACATGCCGTTGAAGCCAAATAAGAGTGTTTATCTCTATGTAGTGGCATATTAACTGAAGATTCAACAATGATGGTGTGTTTAGTTGTTTTACTGGATATTCGTAAATCTTGCTTAAAACTATCTCTTACAACAATTTCTAGAATGCCATTGTCCACCGCAATTTAACTTAGTCAAGTGTCTCGTGATCTTGTCTGCACCCCTTTCCCTTCCATCAGAAAATTCACATATACTCATTAATCAAGGAATTCTAAGAATCAAACCTTTACAACTTTCACCATATACTTTATGAGAATATACTGAGTATGTTGTTATTCTTTCTCTCCAATCAGGAAAATAATTTCATCAATGTGCACAATGACATTTTAAATCTCATTTTTACCACAAGAACAAGCATCTGAAGTCCTAAGATTCAACACAGAAAAAAGAAAAAAAAAATAGAAACTCAAGTCTAAACAGAACGAAATTTCAGGTGACAAAAAAGGTACATAACACAAACGAATTAGCAACAAAATTTACTTTCAAAACTGAATGCTTTCTTTTCAACTTTCTATCTGCAATCCTAGATCCCACAATAATTTAAACAACATAGATAATAATCGTTGCAGAAATGGTCACAAACCTATGAACAATAAGGAAATATGATAAATTTATGGGTGAGATCAAACTTCTTGAATATATTTGATTATTGTACCTGTTCTTACCCATCACTTCTTCAAACTTACTTGGCGTAGATGACAATTTGACCGTGATAATTGACCATCAAAACTTTCACAAATGTTTTCCTTGCATTTACTCATTATACATCTTCTTCTCTAATCTAAAGAAAAATAAAACAAGAACAACTGCACTTCCTTTGTAGTCGCATGTCTTTGTATTTGTAATTAATCTTCTATCCCATTCAAGCTTTCCAAATAATATTTATGGTCAACATAGACTCCGATTTATTCAATCCATGTTAGTACAAAAGCCACATTACATTGTGATGATTATTTATGAATTAATCATAAATCTTCAAGAACTGTATCTAAAAATTCAACAAACGTTGCACATGCATAACATATATAGCAATAAAGTCTCTTATGCAAACATCCATATCACAAAGTAGGTTAATCTAATATTTGAGGAGCAGGTTGCCTGCCTGCTGTTGGTACGGCGGGAGCATGTGCTTGTCCAGAATGTTTAGCGATTGGAGGTGGAATGATCTCTTCTTCCAAAACTGCTCTAGGTTATCAGACCGGAACTAAATCACCTAATTGTCAAGCAATAAGATTCAGTGTATTAAGTGTAAATGACCTCCCTCTTCTCCTCGGCCACCTTTCTCTCTCCCAGCCCTTCAAACCCTAAAATAAAAATGACAATAAGTTATTTCATTTTTCCACTATGAAAGAATGTGGGAGATAATTTTGTTCCAATTTTGTTCGCCTAGACCCTGATATAAGAAGTATTCAGGAGCTTTTGACTTGTAGCTTGAAAGTCTGTTTTGTAAAGATCCTTCGAGACAACTATAGTTGTGCGTATATTTCAGCAAAGGCGGCACTAGATGTAGATACATACAGGGCAATATTTCTTTCATGTAGCCCCAGGGTGTATTTCTCTGCTACTTGAGCATGAGACTGAGAATTAGCATTTGTATTTTGCTAGGGCTCATTCCTAAACCCCAGTTCTCATTAACCAAAAACCCCAAACAAAAGAAAAATGCTTTTTAATTTGATTTCAACAGTGAGATTATAATCTCCTGTAGTAGTTTGGTATGGTGGCGGTTTCTTTAATGATGTTCACTAATATAGTGGCGGTTTCATTGATGATGCTTGATAGTGTGGCGGGTGGCATCCCTAGTGATGTTCGCTCATATAGCGGCGGTTCTGCCAATAATGCTTGTAGGTATGACGGTGGTTTCGTTAGAGTTTACCGGTATAGTCTTAAGTATTCAGGTATAATTAACTATTAAATCACGATTCGGGAGTTTCAACTGATTTATACTATTGTACCATTAACCAACTGACACGTAGTATAACTATTGTTTGATATAGTAGATATATAAAATATTATCCATATGAAACACAACAATGACATTATGATTATGACTTGATCGTAAGTTTTATTTTTCTGTATCTTTTTCTCATCAGTCATTGTTAGACACATTCTAATAAATTAAGAAACTTTTATTTCTAAAGAAAAAAAAAAGTTGTCAAACAATATTGTAGTTTTTAGGATTTTGTGACAACCATTAGCGAGTTTTATCTTCAAAAGCTCCAACACTTTTCCCATTTGACAAAAAGTAAATGTCGTATCTATACAAAAATCTCCTTCCTTTTTTTCATTTGGAAAAGATTAGTTCACGAATTGCATGAAAATCTATCACATATAATCATAGAGTTGTGGTTTTGCCAAAACAAATTCTATATTTAAAGTGAAATGACATAATTATTCACCTTAAATATACTAGCACTTTTTCAGTAACTTTCACCTCTCACCGGCACTTCGCTCCTCCGCCCCTCGCGGCTGCAGGAGGAGAAAATGACAAATCTAAAAACAATCAATCTTCATTCTCTGACTTTTCGCATAATTCAGTGAAAGCCCATATTCTCAAACCCCGTCAGCCGGACTATTTCTTCCTTTTCCCCTTTCCTGATTTTCAGCCACCAACTAGCGGTAGAAACTCGAAACAAGAATACACAAAAACTAGAAAAAATCGAGTTGAAATAAATATGAAAATTAATAATAGATCATTTTACACTAAAAAAATAATAACAGAATCAGTTAAGACAAGTCATTTCTTCTTGATTATTTTGAGCATTAAATTTTGATCAAAAATTATTTTTCACATACTTTTGGGTCTTGGGGTAGTTTAGTTATTTTGTATTTTTTCTTTAAAAAATTTCATTTTAATTTTTGTCTTTTTTTTTTACATTTCTTGTTCTTATACTTACTAACTTATATATGTTGGTACTAGTATAATTATTAAATTTCAAAAACTAATTTAAATTTTTTGTTTAAGTTATAGATTATAAATTTTTTAAAAAAAATAAAAAGAAAGAAGAAGAAAAATTCAAATTTAAGTAAACATGAAAAAAATAAAATATTAAAACAAGTGGAAAATAATCAAATAATCTAGAAAAAACAATTTTTCTTAGCTAATCTTTTAGTTTTTTTAATTTAAAATGGTAAATTATTAATTTTCATGTTATTTCAACCCAAATTTTTCTTCTTTTTTTAAAAAAAATTGAAAAAATAATTATAATCTAAAGTTAAAATGAAAAATGTAAATTAATTTTTAAAATTTAGTAATTATACTTGTACCAATATATACAAGTTATGAAGAATTCGAAGATAAAAAGAAAAATTGTAAAAAATAAATAAATAACAAATAGCGAAAATACCCTTGAACCAAAAAACATGTGAAAATAGTTTTCCGTCACTATTTAACGGCTAAAATTACCAGAATGACTTCAAATGGATTTTTTTGCTCAATACGGTGACCGATTTTAGAAACAAATTTGATTGATGACCTATGGTGAAATTACACAATATTTAAATGATTTATTTTATGGTTTACTCTATTCTTTTTTCATAATCAGAGATCATGCCATTTTTTCTCGATCTGATAAGCAATCCATATTATAAATTATATGGGTGTTGATCATAAATTTATTGGTGGGTTGTGGAATTAACATTACCCCATCTTCAAAATTTTTGTACTCTATTCCAAAGCTGAGCCCTCTTCACTGGATTTGGAGCTTCCCGCAACGAGTTAGAACAAATCGTATAGAACCAAAGTCATTACTAATCATGTTATAAATTGTAGAGGCAAGGGCGATGGAGTGCCGGCAGGAGATTGAATTGCAATGGCGGAGGCTTGGAGGACTGGCAACAAAGCCTGGCGAGAAAGACTGATAAATTTATAAGATGGATAATCTTGTCTTTTTGCACTAAATTTATTTTGAATGCTAAAATTTGTTTTGGCAGAATCACCTAATATAATCATATACTCTTTCCGCTCTAAAAAAATAATTCAGTTTCAAAATGTACAACTTTTTTATTATGGTCAATTCAATCAATGTATAACTCGTTTTATACTCTAAACTTCCATTTCTACCCATCATTTCTCAAACTTGTCCAAATTCCTAACCAAAAAAAAAAAAAAAAATCTGCTTCTTTACCGGAGAACTTCCCTGTCGTCGCTCAATTCAGCAACTACATAAACGACCACACTACACCCTACCTCCAAAAAGGTGTAGAGAATAAATAAGACATGAATCTGAAAAATAAACACACATGTGAGTAGTCGTGACCGTCGTAAACGGCGAAATAATGCATCTCAATGGTGGCGCGGTTTCATATTCTCTGTCGGAACAATATGAAGGGTGAATCACAACCGCATTTTCCATATTTCTCGCCGTCGTCCACAAACTGACGCCCTTCCGAACTTAGGAAATGGCTCCAATTCCGCCGCCGCCGGCTTCACCATCGACAAGGTCTTAAACATCGCCGGCTTCACCATCGTCAAGTTCACCATCTCCAGTTTCATGTAGGATAACCGGATGCTGCCGATGATGATGTTCTTTCTCCTTTGTGATAGATCCATTTTGATTATCTCCGCCATCGGGATTCTCCACAATGTTATCGCATCTCGGAATCACTCCGCTACCGGACAGACATCCAATCTCTGCCGTTTAGCACCAAAATTCAAATTCTTCGTCGTGTCCACTGGCTGCTTCCCAGAAACACCAAACTAGGTTAATTGTTACTGGCGGTAGCATCGGCAGCTGCACATGAAGGACTGTATAATGATTTTAAATCGGGTTAATTGTTGAAAGTCAGTTTTTTATTTAACCGTAGAAGTCTTGAAGGTATTTCAGTCATTTTCATTAAATTTAATTTTGATTTGTTAAAACTGAACTATTTTTGTAAAACAAAATTATTTAATAAATTAGATTATTTTTTGTAGGACAGGGAATTACTAATGAATACTAAACTTACACGGATAACAAAAACTTGGGTGCCATTACTCTATTTCCTCGGTCTCATATAAATAACCCATTCTATTTTATTTGTTAAATACATATTTCAACGAAGCATCTACAAAGAGAAAGTCTGCAATCTCTCAAGTTGAATAGGATGTTTGGCCAATGAGTCGGCCACTGGTGAGAGAAATAAGTGAGGGTGTAGTCAAATCAAGAGAGGGAGGGGCAAAGACAAATGGCCTCTAGTCACAACACATTTTACTCATCCAATCAAACTGTTTCAGCTACATAAATTTTCGAGGAAACCCTATTCTGGTAATCAAATTTCTGGCATTTTATCCATGCCTCAGACAAACAACATGCAGCGCATCCGATCCGATAATTGTACAAATAATTCTGAATTGCAATGATATTGTATGTACAAGGCACTCTGATCCTGTTCCTCTTTTTCCCACCAGGCCCAACAACAAAAAAGAGAAAAGGGGCAAGAAAGGGGGTGAAGGAATATCAAAATATTAAGATACTAAATTATTTATTTCCAAACAAATACCCCTCAGGTCTGAAATGGTTCCGGTCGTGTCTCTGGTACAGATTATATATAGTAGTCATTATCGTCTTCTACTGACCCAAATTTCCAAGGAGTCGCTCCACTGCAGCATGAACATTACCAGCAGTAGCAACTAGTGCTCTGATGTTTTCTTGAGTATCAAAAAACCCCATTTCTTGTAGCTGAGTCAGCTGTGTGGCATAGAGTTCTTCCGGTGGTACTGCAATTAAAGCATCAATGACGTGGTAAGCCGAATAGAAAGATGAAACAAAAAAGAAAAACAAAAAACAAAGAGATTCGGCAAAATGGCAACCATTAGATCGATTTGAGGCTGTCAAGCCTCCAGTGCCAAGCCCACCGAAAAGGTTCATCAACATATCTAATCCCATGCCATCACCTGTTCCCGTTGCTACCAAAAAATCATTTCATGAATATAAGTGAGACGAGAAACACTAGAGTTTACATAATAGTTTCACATACTATGTTTCCAAACCCAAACATAGCACTGTTTTCAATAATTTGCATTTATGGGATTCACTATGAAGCCATGCATAACAAATGTGCTTGCTCATTAAGAATGTCATTTGCAAAGGAGATAAGAGTGGAAGGGATTTAATCCTGCCACTAAATGAGGTACCATCCTAAGAATAAGAAACTTGCAATCAGGTTGTAACAGTCATCCAAATTGAATAACGTTCAGTTAGTCTTTTAGCAATGAAGTCATCATCAGTCATAATCTCAAGTCCAATTAAAGTGAAAACAGATTATGTTTGAGCAATAATTGATGCTGAAAGGGGGAAAAAGCCCAAAACAAAAAATACCTCCTCCACCAGCATTCTGGCCAGGTTGTCTGCACAACAAAAAACAACTGCATCAGCAAACATGAAGAAGGGAGAAAAGGCAAGCTACTCAATATTGTATCATAAAAGTAATAGGGTGAATAAGACACATATCGTGAAACCAGTCCGACAGAAATAAAAGGGACAATCACAAGGAAGAAAGAATATATGACCCACTCAGACTACAAAACAAGTAGACACGAGTAAGTTTATAATATGACAGGTCAGAAAAACATCAGGTGGCAGCGAAAAACTTACTGGGTTCCTTGTTGTCGACCAAGTTGAGAGAAAATTGACTGCTGAAATGTCATAAGTTGCTGAAAGCAAAGTAAGAGGTTACACATAATGAAACAACATATGCAAACAATCATGACTGAGCAGACAGACAGACAGACAGAGAGAGAGAGAGAGAGAGAGAGAGAGAGAGAAGGGGGTGTTTAAGAACTTACCTGCAAAAATTCTGGATTTTGTAACATCTCTCTCAGCTGAGGATTATCAAGCATAGTTCGGAGCTGTGGATTAAGTCCAAGAATCTGAAAATCGAGATGTACGAAGTATAAGAATCTTTGAAAGATGTAACATGTAGAAGAACAGCATATATCATAGACTTGATAGCAAACATGTGATTAACTAACAGCAAGAAGATACCTGGTTCATGTACTGAGGATCAGAGAGGAGGCTTTGCATCATCTGTGATACAGCTGGATTTTGCATCATTTGATTCAGAGAGTTTGGATCAGGCATACCGCCAAGCATGCGATCCAAATCGGGCAATCCCAATCCACTCAGACCACCAAGCGGTGACGGCCTGGCATCAGCAGTAGGAGTTTGTCTAGGAGCAGTGTTTGCTTGCCCAGCTCCACCTGCATCATTTAACAAGAGAAATCAAAATTTTGTCGGTATTGGCAAAATCATAGTCACTCCGTCCCGCCACTTTGTTGAACTAAAACAGTACAACAAAGAAATTTTTCCTTGGACGAGAGAGTAGCTTTTTCTTCCCAGTGACATTACATAATAATTACATGAATTCGCTAAATCACACTAAGGAAACCCTTGCGGCTAGCTGTACAAAAGTCAATCCATCTTTTTAAGCAAAAGTTAACTATTGCAACTCCCAGATATGATGATCCCATAACATGAAGTTCAAAAGGAGCCACAACTGAAAAACAAAAAATGCTCATGCACATTAAACAGCCTTCACCAAACATACAAGAAAATAGTATTGCGGGTTAAAAAATAGGTTGGGAACAAAGGATGAGTTTTAAAAGTCTTCTTAAAACTGCTTAAGTTCCAATTAGCACACTGAAGCAATGCCAAAGGACATATTTACTCGTATCCTTGGGTTCGTCTCGATTCATTAAGGGATAGAATGAGGCTAACTACTTTCTAGTTGATTTTCCCAACCACAAAAAGAGAGTTTTGATATTCTCGAAAGACAAAAAACTTCCTTATAATGGGGAGCACAAAGATTAACCAAACAAACATAAAGAAACCACACGATGAGGGAAAAAAATAAGTAAAAGCAATACTCACCACCTGTGGAGGCCCACGGATTAGGAAGGGGATTGGTGTTTGGCACAGGGGCATTTGGGTTTGACTCAGAAGTGGTGGTAGTAGCGTTAGTAGATGAATCCCTACCTTGGGCTCCACCCTGTGTGCCAAGAAGAGCTGCAAACGGGTTTGAACCCACCCCATTTCTGTTTTCTCCAGCCATAGTCGTAGCATTCAGAAAAGGCTCTTGGACATTTTCATACATACGTCTCAGCATATTAAACCCCTCAGGAGAAGACTCAATATTGCTCATTGCCCTGTCTGTATTACGCATCATCTCACGCATTAGCTCAGGGTTCCGTGCAGCTTCCATGGTTTGACGGAGAGTAGCGGGATCATTCAATACATGTGCAAGCTCGGGGTTTCGATCCATGATCTCACGCATCTGAGGGTTATTCATGATCATATTACGTATTATGTCTGGGTTATTCATTAGATTCTGAACAAGTGGCATATTCAAAATATCTCTCATCATGTTTGGATTCTGAGTTAACTGTTGCTGAACTTGTTCAAACTCTGGAAGTCCCGCTCCAAACAATCCTCCACCACCGCCAGCATTTCCTAATCCATTCAAACCAAGTCCAAGTCCAGGAAACAATGAAGCTCCAAGACCAGATCCACCAAATGGTCCACCTTCAGTAGAACCAGTATTTGCTGTGGCAGTAGGGCTAGCATTCGGAGCCGTGTTATTATTAGCAGCTGTAGCATTTGGAGTTGCAGCTGGCGCAAACCCACGAACCAAGTGAACAGTATGATCAGCTTCTAGACCTGACATCAACAAAAAGAATATATCAGAACTTGAGGCAAAAGAAAATGCACCACTGGTGAAAATATGTTATAACCAGTAAAGACATAAATTTTCTCATACTCTTTTATCTCACCAAATCATAACATATGATATTTCTAGAAACCTGTCTTTTGCAACAAATCAATCATGTTTTTGCCAAAATAATAGCTCCGAACAAAGGATTCCATATATAACTGCACAATCATCCAACTAAATCCATAAACACGGAGAAAACCAAAGCAAAAGGCTCTTGTGAAAAAAAAAAGATGAACACCAACAAATCTTCCGAAATCAACCCCAATTATTTAATTAGTAACCACCCAAACACTTTCAAAATAACATATTCATCATTTCTAAATCACAACAAGTTTCACAACCAGATTCTACACTGTCGTCCATGTATTAATCGGAGCAATCAAATCCCATGTGCGACAGCAATTAATTTTGATTGCGATACATACCGTAGCTTTGTAAGGTTTGATCGTCTTTCAAGATCCTGCCTTTATAGATCAGCCTCTGCTGTTCGACTGGGATTTCACAGTTCTGGGCTACAACCGACTTGAAAGTTGCGACGGTGGCCTCAAGGCTAACCTGCACCGAGAATTTCGTGCCATTGGAGCACCGGACGTTGACCGTCACTGCATCCCCACCGCCGCTGCCGGCGTTCTCCTCGTGCTTCTCCCCACTGCCGCTGCCGTCGTTGTTCGTCGTAACACTAGCATCTCCGCCGCCCATGGTGGTTTTCAATCCCCTCCCAGACAACCAATTCGGGAGGTCCCAATTACAGAAACTATAGTGCTTTTTCACCAATAAACAAACAAACAAAAAAAAGCAAAAAGAATAGTTACGAGAAATAAATTGGAGGATAATCGAATTAAAGATCTAATCGAAAAACCCTAGCTCAATTTATCTAGGTCTTCTTCCCAAAATTTTCACGGATTTTAATTATTATATAATAAGATATAGAAAAGACCAGGGAAAAAAGAAAGAGGAGGGAGGCGAGAGAGACAGGTGGGGTGTGTTGAAAGTAATTTCTTAAGGATGTGTGGCGAAATAGGTGGAAGATTTCTTTCTTTTCTTAATTTAATTGAAATTGAATTTACGACAAAAGGCTTTTTGAAGATAGGAATGTTTTATGAGGTTATTAAGCAAAAATTTTAACAAATCACCCTGCCTTTTTATTTATTAGTCCTTCTGTCCAAAATTAATTAAAAATAAAAATCTAAACGATAATAATTTGGAGACGGAAATAATATTATTTTGACATATAAGATTGCAATTTATGCCAAGAAATAAATTATTATACCGATAATAATAAAATTGTATGTGATATAACAACAACTCGATAACGATAATAATACACGGAAACCCTCAATAATTTCTCCCCCCTAAGTTAAAATTTAGTAAATATCAAATCAAAATGTTTATTACCACAAAAAAATAACATAAAAGTAATTTTTCAACTCTCCCATCGACTAGATCTTGGTTAAATATTGCTTGCATTTGATCGGAATTTGTCTTACAATTTTTGATATTCGGATATTGATAATATTATTGGATTTTAAAGTGATAATGTTGATTGACAATGACAAATAAAATCTTTGAGAAGTTGGATTTTGATTTGGTTTGCATTTGGCCAAAAGCCTAAGAGCTCACTCGCAAAAGGCATTGATCGTCGATCTTCTCAAATATAATCTCAATAGACAGTTGAGTTGCCGCCTGCATTTCGGTCATAATTCGTCATAAATTTTCAGTTTCAATAATCGTTGATCGAACAAAAAAAAAATTAAATTTAGTCTTCCCTTTTGTTTCACCTCTAATGTCTTTTTTTTGGTATTCCCGCGGAGGCACTGGCTGATTATCAAAGTTTCAGTGGTTCCGGAGGTATTATCTATTGTTTTGGTTAACTAAAATTTATTTAATTTCATGGTGCCTCTTGTCTGTGGTTAAGAATATCCTTTTTCCCATTTGTACGACTATTTTTATTAACTACTCCCTCTGTCCCAAAATTATTATTCAGTTTGAGATTTCACTTTTAGTATAATTTGAACTAGAAATGAAAACTCAAACTGGACAATAATTATGGGAATAAGAGAGTATTTATTTATTTTTCTTTTCCTTTTTTCTTTTTCAAATTGCAAGAGCTAATATTTTCTCAATCCATGAAAAATTTTCTTTTTTTTTTTTCCTGTTTTTAATAAATCATCTAAATTGCCTATTTGGGCAGCAAACGAAGTTCAAAAGAATTTTCTTCTTTAAACTATGTGTGTTCCTTTAAAGTTTAAAGGGGAGGGTTTTTATTGACGAGAAGTTTCCTATCGGCAAACTCCATGTGGTCCTGTGTTTTCATTTTGGCCTCTTGAAATCCAGTCGGCCATTAATGTTTTCTATCGAATAAGGATTTTAGTAAGGGTTGCTATTCAGTATATGTTGGAGAAATTTTGTAAGCTGGAGGGTTTTATTTTGTTTTTGCACAAAAATTGGACCAATGTTTATAATTAACAAATTATTATCATTCTAATTGTGTGTTTCACTTTCAAGTTTCACCCACTCCATCACGGTGTAATTTTTCACTAAAAACAAAATTATATTCTTATTTCTTTTTAATTGGTTTCATTAGCACCATAATGTCAGGAAGCCTTCAGGTATTAAATCATGATTATTAGAACTAGGTGTTAGACCCGTCCGATGGATGGGGAAGACATACACATTTAGACATTTTTATATAAATTTTGTATTTTTATAAAATATGTAATGATTTCAGTTTTAAACATGATTACCTCTGGGTTTACAGGAATTTGTTTTTTTTTAAATGACATTTTAAATTCACTGGTGACAAGGTTTATGCATATTTCTCTAAATTTTGTTAGGATCTGGTACTCTCTCCAATCAATCTCTGTGTTAGGATTTGGTTCATGAAAATAAGGGTTCGGTTTTTTTTATTTTATTTTTTAAAAAATTATTTTAGTTGTTTTTTTTTGGTTTTAATGTTTTGTTTTGTGCATTTTTAAGTCTAAGAAATTAAGAAAATACAATATAGGATTAAATCCTATGTGTCATGTGCTCCATGCCTTTAGTTTTCTCTCTCTGGTTTTTGCCTTAGTATAGTATATAGATAGATAGATATAAATAGATAGATAGATAGATAGATATAGATAAATATATAATGTGATTGGGATAGTACAAATTCATAATATTTTAATTTTATATTAGACATCTTGTCTATTTCATTATAGCTAAAAAATAAAAATAAATTAAAATAGAACAACATTGAATGATTCACTGTATTGTTTACAATCTAAGTACGTTTGATACCACGCCAACAGAGCCATGCAATAAATTATAGAAACCGATTTAGTAGAAATTATAACGTGAATTATCTTTTATGAAACGAGAATGGTGTATTAGTCGAATTGGCCCAAAGCTCCAAAGTACAAAACCCTAGCTTCGTTCTAAAGATCAACTAAATCCAGTTGGGTAATATACAACATGACAATAATGTGAAGTACAAGAACCAAAATCGACTATAAATCTAGACTTCTAGTTCCACCCCTCGATCAGTCGACCTCAAAATCAATGGCGGGTTTCCTCCTCATTTTCTAGGTTCCTTGTCCGACCAAAGTTATCTCTAGTTGACCTAGAAACAAGGTTGCAAGCTTGAATAGTTCTTGTAGTTTTGATTTGGTTTTTTGTACCTAGTGATGGTTTTCTACGTCAAGTTCTTGACTTCCTGTCCAATTACATTATCGTTTACCATATAAATTATTTTTTTGGAACATAAAGTGAAAATCTCAAACGATTTAAAATTTATTAGAATTGTAACCTTGTGTTATATAAAGAATAAAGCATATAATTTCAAACAGATAGAATGTCTCAATGTCAACTGACACATTTATCGCTTATCGTTATAGTATTCCATTCATCCCATAATTATTATCCAGTTTTGGTTTACATTTTTAGTTCAAATTGTACTAATTGAACTAAAAATAAAATCTAAAACTGAACAATAATTTTGGTACACAAGGAGTATTAATTTTTGGGTTTTACAAGTTAACAGTTTCCACATCTCCTGTTCATTCGATAAGTCATTTCTCCAGGCGGGATGTATTACATTAGTTAGGTAACAAATACTCTATGCACGTCGCATAAATAGTTTAGTTATTTATATTGTAAATTATACATACTATAAATTTTAGTACTATAATATTTATAAAACAATATAATTTACTTTGTAATGTAAATATTTTTGCGATCAGTATTAATTAAGTGAGTTAGTGTCCTGTGTGTATCATATTATTACACAAGCGGCCCATATTTTACATGGTAAATAGGTTAAAAAAAATTTCCTAGCTTTTCTGCAACGGAGAGCAATGTCGCGAGCGCGCCTCCTTTGAGTAAGCGAATGGACTTGGCGCCTGACCAGGGTCATAAACTCCAGAGATCACCATGTTTTCACTTGCGGCATGCCAGAAAAAATCTATTATCTCGAAGCTCAAATGCCTTCTAACCTACCAGGTAATTCCTTCTTGCCTTAGACTCGAACAACCCTCTTTTGCTTTTATGCATTTTTGTAAGAAATTCTCTTCCAGCACACGTTGAGGCATTTCGTCGAACATTATTCTGATAGACTGACATTTACTATTTACCTGGCTATGGAACTTGTTTTTTTTTTTTTTTTTTTTCCAGAATTTCAATCATACTATTGTGGGAGATGGACTGATGGCTGAACATTTTGCTGACATGGGTCGTGGTATGTTTAGTTTTTTTTTTCTTTTTTTCAGAGAATCATCTTTTTGTTTTCATTTGTGGAAAGCAAGTACAGTGGTTTTTTAAGGTTCTGAATAGAGAACCTGAGTACGGGGCAACTCTTTGAATCTTGATATGTCCTGGAAAACTATGACAACAGCACACTAGCACAGTAAAAGCATTGAGCTCATTAGGTATTTTCGTTGGAGGCCTCCTTTTGTTAATGATACGTTATGGATTTAACTATGTGCTTTTGCTTTTCGAGAAAAATGTTACTCCAACTGGGGAAATGTATGGTTAATTTTTTCTTCTAAGTTTGGCAATGAACTGTCCCAGCGGTACTTAATTGGTGCACTTTTGGCCTTTATTCTCCTCCAAACCCGTCAAATGGACACTGCTAAGACATTTCTCTCAATTGGCTTAAGAAATGTTCAACTTATGTTGATTTTGTTCATCATTCTGCTTCCTCAGTGCGATCATAGACTTCCATACCTTTGCATGAGTGTAAAGCTTTATAGCAGTTGAAATTTGAAAAGTTGCAGTAAAACAAAGAGGTTGTAAATGGACTCTCTACAACTCTCATTTTATTTTTATTACTTGGTATTAAGGCATCGTAACAAATTTAATAATGTGATGATAGCATGCTCTGCAACAAAATGATATAACCATACGAGATTAGCCAGGATGCTGTACCTCTAGCACTTGAGAGTTGCCTTGTTGCAGACTTCATAGTGAAGTCCCCTTAACTCCGTAGAATCAAGCTGCATATATTTTTGAACTTTTTAACAATGGTTGTCAACAATTGGTTATTCTTCCAATTTCATCAAGCCTTTTGAGTTGTGAGTATCAATATGTGGGTCCTATTTCTTTGTGTTCTGAATATCAAAATATTGCTAAGGAGTAGTGATGTTTAAGAATAAGAATCACTAGTGTGGAACAATTACCCATAGTGAGGCCTTTTCACCTTTACCATCCATCATTTTGATGCAAAGCCTGCCAATGTCTCGCCGTTTGGTTGTGGTTTTTATTTTACTATTTTTGTTAGTATGTGTCTGTTTCAATTTCTTATCATTTTATGCAGTGCATTTCTTGCTGGTGCTAACTTTGCAGACATGATTAACTTTGGAACTTCACCAGAAAGGAAAATCAAATTCAAATAAATTCGATTTCTTTTGTTTAGCTTTCAAGCATGCAGAGCATAAGGATGTATGACTGATTTAGCATTGTATGAAATGGGCGCTTTGAGCGCAGTTCTTATCTTGCAATTATAATAAGTTTTAACAAAAGTATAAAACGTTTCGATTGTGAAGTTTTTCTTGCTAGTGAAAGTAAAAAACAGGACAAGGTGATTGAAGCTTATATAAGCTTGTTCGTGTACTACCTTGACGACATGACCCTTCCCAATGTGAATGCATATGGATGTCCTTTCACTGGAAAGTAAATAGTTCTACCCATCTGTGATATTTTGCCTTCGCTCTGTGTGGCTAGAGATTGACCCTGCACAGTGAGATATAGATCCCATGTCATTATGTTGTGTATGCCAATGGATGGAGTGATTGATTGTTATTTTATGTTTCTCAACTGAGTACGTACTTGTTCCTTTTTTACGTTTCAGATTTCAGTCATTGTTAAATTATTCAAACAAGTTCTGGAGACATTTTACAGTTTTGTGGCATTCTAAGTTTTTTCTGGTGCAATTGGTTGAGGCCTTTTTGTTCTCTACTCAATCTTATTCTTTAACATGTAAATTATACTTCAGGAGTTTAAATCTTGCTTATATCTGGTTTAGGAGGGATCAAATTTTCAAAATGGAGGAAGCTGGATTCGAGAGAGTTGGGGATACACCAATCAATGATATCACATTCCGCATGGACTGTTATCAAAATTCTTCAAAATGCAGGTAATAATTTTCAAATTCATCAACAAGATGTTGTATCTATCTAAAATTTGCTCAGCTGTAGTCACAAACTTAACCAACTCATACTGCCTAAGAATATAGATAACTAGTTAGTAGGCGGAACAAATTCGGATGTAGGAATAGATTGTTTTAAGATTACTATATCACTTCTTAGGGATTAGCGACTAACTGCATTTAATGGCCTCTGTGGTTTACGTTACTGCACAAGTGGTATAACATTAATTTTTGAAACTTTTTGTTTACATTTTTTCTGAAAGAATGCGGCCTTGGTCCATAAATACTGTTATGAGTTATCAAGCAGATAAGGTTAAACATGGAGCTACTATTCCCTTAAAGAAAATTCACCATAAGAGGTAATACGTAAACTCGAGATTTTGCATATGTTATGTAGAGAATCAATTCTTATATCACAAAAGGAGGAGGGGGATGAGAAAGGATGGGCTTGTGTTTTGGGCTGAAAGGAGATGAACTAGTGAGGTCATTCCATATGGCTAAAGTCATGATGAAAATTGTGACACTTCTGACAATTGTTTCTTAGACTTGATACACTACAAGTCCTTTTCTCTCTAAAGTGACTTATCCAGTTTCTTCTTGTTCTTATGGGTAAAAACGTTACTAGGTTTTGAAGCCTACTTGGTTGGAGGCTGTGTTAGAGATCTTGTACTGAATAGAATACCCAAAGATTTTGATGTGATCACAACGGCTGCACTTTCTCAGGTTCTTTTCTTACTAGGTTCATCTTTAGGCAGGTTGTGTATGTCTTAGTTCATCTGCACTGGATTGGTACATACGCTTTTTGGCAAGACTTCTCCTGATAGTTAGATCAAATGTATGTTTTTGAATAACAGATAAAGAAGCAGTTCCACAATTGCATAATTATCGGAAAAAGATTTCCTATTTGTCACGTGAAGATAAAAGGATGTACGGTAGAGGTATGTTATACATTTACTTTTAGTTTGCTCCTGCTTTGTCTTGTAATTTTCTATTTTTCTGAAGTAGTGTCCATTGCAGCTGTTGTTCCAGAAAATGGCTATAAGTCCCGTCATAGAAGTTAGTTAGATCCATTGTCTAAACAGTAGTTTTATGAGTTACAGAATGTGGTTTTCGATTACTCACCAGTCTTCTAAGTGGCCCATAATTATTGATCCTATTTGATTGAATTCCAGGTGTCGAGTTTTGACACAGTGACTGAACTTCATGAAGGTAGAGAGGATTTTCCAGTATATCGGCTGCCTAAAGGCTGTAATGAAAAAGACCTTATTCGTTGGAAGAATTGCATGCATCGAGACTTCACGGTTAACAGGTACATAAATTGGGCATAATGTCTGTATTATCAGCTAATCTTCAGATACATTTGGCCACTAGGTCACAGTGATCATTGAGTAATCTGCATCATGTGCAATTTGTTCATTATGTTAAATCAAAGCATGGAATGAGTTATTTTCTCCAATATTGAGGCTCGAGGGTGCGCATAATTGAATCATAACTTAAAGAAGAGCACCATTATTTTCTTTTTGCTCCTTTTTTTTTTTTTCGTTTGTGAAACTTAGAAATGAAAGAGGACATCACAATCACGAAAACATACTCAACTTGCAAAATTTTGATTTTCCCTACGGTGCTTGCTGTATATAAATGCTGCTATGCATTTGGAAAAGAAAAGACAAAACATTAAAATTAGCAATTAAGACCAGAATATTATCTGTAGGAAACAGAAGATATGTCATCCTTTAGGGTTAAAGATTGACTTCATATCATTTGATCTTTAGAGATTTATGATATCTCTTTCCAAATGTAAGAGATATTTTTAGCCACGAAAGCTAGTCCAGTCTCCAGAGGATTTCAGTGTCAGTTCTTGGAGATTTATATCCCATTTATTGGTTGTCCTTTTTCTTTCTTCTCGTTAATCATTTTTTATATTTTCATTGATGTATTCTTTAAGATTATTGTGTGTTTGGAAAAAAAAAAAAAAACCTCTTTCATGTAAGAAAAGTACTGCCCTACTGAAGAATTTAGATTTCTTTACTTTAATGGCTAATTATATTAAGCAGTTTACGAGTTCTGAGTAATTTTATGTAAGATTTATGGAAATTCTGAAGTCTTCAGGCTGCCCTAAGACAAATTCTGGCACATGCGATTTCCGTCGGCTTACATTACCCTTTTTTCTATCTCCAGAGCTTTTTACATGATTCACGAAGATGCAAATTAAGAGCAACTTTTTCAGTTTTTCAAAAGCATTCTTTTCTGTCCTCTAACACTTTATTCTCCTTATATATGCAATGGATCTCTTTTCTTCCTCAAAGGTTCTTACATTTTCAGCTTTTTAAAGCATTCTTTTGTGTCAGCTAACTCCTCATATTCCATTTATTTGCAATGGAGCAGCTTGTTCTATGATCCTTTCACCCACAAAATCTATGATTATGTCAACGCTCTTTCAGATCTAATGTCATCAAAGGTGAGTGATTATCTTTGTTATTTTTATAGTCTTTGAATTGAAGTTATTTTGCTAAGTTGCAACATAATTGTATTTCATAAACCCCCTTTTGAATGGATCTCAGCTGCGGACTTTAATACCAGCTCAAGTGTCATTTGAAGAAGACTCTGGTTAGTAAATCTTTCTCTCAGTCTCAGATATTGTGTTCTACGTAGAAAATGCAGTAGTATCAGAAAATTGTGAGCGCTCTTACTAACTAATCTTTATTCAGCAAGGATATTACGTGGCTTGAGACTGGCAGCTCGTCTTAATTTGACTTTTTCTGAGGAAACTGAAACTGCAATACATGAGCAATCTCCATCTATTCTTAGTTTACCAAAGGTTTGTACTAAGAAGTGCATGAAAGTAGCAATTACTCTATCCAAAAGCCTTTGATTATATTTATGCATATCTCAAAGTGACATTAATTTTAACTTAATAAAGGAGTCTCCTCTTCTAAAATCGTACTGTTTTGCTTTCTAGTCTAGGATAATGATGGAGCTTGACTACATGCTATCATATGGAGCTGCTGCCCCTTCTCTATCTATACTTCATAGATTCCGCCTGCTTGAAATTCTGCTGCCGATTCAGGTATACAGTTTTTTCTTAGCCTCAGGTTATGCTTTGTTTCTTTATTGTGGTCTTTGATCCTACGAAGAAAGTAGCTCATGTATGAAATCACAGGCAGGGTACCTTATTGAACAGTCTCGGGAAAACTCTGATCAAAGTACCCTTATGCTGATGGTAATTTTTGTTGTTAATGATTACTTAATTTCTTAGCATCATCAAACTTCTGTTTTTATTTAGCTTTTCATTGAAATGAAACTGCAACGTATTGTCTAAACTGCTAACACAATAGCTTTATTCTGTTTCAGAAGTTATTTTCCAGTTTGGATCAGTTGTGTAGCTGTGATCGGCCTGCTCATCATATCTTGTGGTGAGTTAAGTATTTAACGAACCAATCGACTACTTATCTTGGTTGCTTTCCTTTCTCTTATTAATCTGAGTCATTCTACCTATGTAGTCTAAGCTTGCTTACTACCGATGTCATTGATATGATCTCACTACCGTTGCTCTTTGTTGACTATTACAGACAAGAAATCTTTCTTTCCTGTATTTCTTGTCTATAAAATGGTTAACTATATACTTGATAGGAAAAAAAAGAGGATGAAACCTTTCATCCTGCTTCTCTTACTAGGAATTGTTGAGTTTCTTTTCTTTATTGAGAGGAAAACCTTGATACGATTTGTTTAAGAGTTGAGTCCATTTTCTGTTGATAAAAATCAGAATTTCTGGCTTCCAGCCATGGCTTAGTGTAGTGCGTCCATTTCAGGATTCTCATATTAAACTTTAATATTTGAATATTTGTATGTGGGCTGTGGTTTTCTGAAATTTATGTAGACATTTTCTGATTTTTTATCAGTTCCTTTAGCATGGACGAGGTTTGTATATGTCATCTTCTCCCCTATAATTTTTGCTTGACAGGGCTGCAATTTTAGCATTTCACCTGGGATTAGTTAATGATCCTGAGCAGGCCCTTGTTGTCTTGACCTTTGGCTCAGTTCTTTATCATGGGAAGTGGATTCGAGGTGTTGAGTTCGCAAGAGAACATGTTCAAGAAGTACATCACTACGTGCCTGAAATTTCAAATTCTTCTGACGCTATTTCAGATGACGAACTTGCTGAAAGAGTTACTGAGTTGGCTGTGCAAGTGCAGAATTCTATAAGTATTTTTACTGAAACAACGAGCCTTCTTGAAGAAATGGAGAAGTACCCAGAACTTGAAAAACATGGTTTTGTAAGTAGCATGATTTTTTTGTCAATATTGATTCCCTTTATTCCTTAAGTTAAGGGAAATTGCATTGCTCGAGCTGTTTTGCACTCTCATTTTTCTTGAGCTTTCTCATATTTGTGTAGCTTTGTGCTACTTAAGTAATGCATAAAACCATGTGAAAAAACCCCGTCCAGCAGGTCGACCCCCACCCCCCAGGGCCGCATATTTCTTGTGATGACTAAATTGTTTTGGCTGATCCGACATGTTTTTGTTTTTCGCTTCCCTTTGTGCAACTGCTGGCTACTGTGTTTATGCAAAGCAATAGGTTTTATGGGGTAAGAGGGGAAAATAACCACGCTTCTGGTCTGATGTTGGACCTTTTCCGCGGTTGTTGATATTCATGGATACTGTAAGATGAGCAATGAGCTACTGAGTGTATATTTTGTGGTTAAGGTCAATAGGAAATCTGTTTTTTCTTCTTTCATGTGGGTATCTGACTACTGTCTTCTCATAGATACTTTGTTGCTCTTTTTTCGTCAAAGTTGTGATTTTCTTATTGTAAAATAGTATTGTCCCAAAGGAAAGTATTGAAATAAATGTGGAAAGGACTGTTCCTCGCATGTTCAGGGAAGATAATGGTTAAGCTATACAATTTTGATGCATTGGACTGGTTGTAAATAATCATACCTAGACATAAACTATGATCTCCGCTTATCTTTGCAGCGATATTTTACGGAAAGTAACTTTCAGGCGCAACATCAAAATTTAAATTCACTTGTTTTTCCTGTGATGCTTTTGATTCATTTTGTTTTCCATTTCTCTTCCTTCTAGATACTTGGCAGTTCCACTTAATATTGAACACGGTTTCAAATTTGTGTTAATCAGGTTTTTATGCCCAAGTTCACTGCTGTGGTAGCTGGTATTTTTAAAGTGTTTGTGACAGAGTTGACAGCTTTAGATACAAATAGGAGGAGTTTAGAGATAGACTATGTTGGACTTAAGAAAGGCAACCTCCGGGAATTAAGGTTTGTGCTTGGCACGATCATTCTACATACACTGGGTATGAGAACTGTTACTCAAGGTGGTAATCAATTGCTTGGAGACAACAAACTTGATATTTATGCACTTGGTGGCCGGAAAAGATCGCATGAATTTGTGGAAACTCGCCATGATGTAGATGAGGTAAAGGTTGATTTATTGAATAACAAGTTGCGTAAAGCATATCGTCGGAAAGAGTCAATGATTGATAAGAAGCAGGTTTTCAGTCGGAAGAGTAGTAATTATATTGATCGAGGAAAGCATAAGAATCACAAGGCCGCTGCCGACTCATGCGTTGGGAATGAACCGGAAAAGAAGGAAAATGCGATGAAGGATGGTGCACGTTTAGAGGTGACTAGGAACCATAAGGAAGTGATAAGTGAAGGAATTGGTTGTGTACTACAGAGTTATACCAACAAAATGCAGATATCATCCGATGGCCTCAAAGAACCTCGCAACGAGATACAACCACTTCTGGAAACTTTGAAATTCCAAAGAGTAGAGCAGAAGTCAGTTAATGATAAAGAGGGGAAAGATGGTGCTGAGAAACGCTTGAAGCTCATCGAGCAAGTGAATAATGGCATTTCAAAGAAGCTGCAAAGATCTGCTAAAGCGAAATCTTGCTTGCAACGGAAGCCTGATTCTGCAAAAGCTGTAAAAGACCATATCAAAGGTGATGCTAAACCTGAAAACCTAAAAAGCGGGCTTGCCAGACTTTCGAGTATGTTCAGGTGATTAACATAGTATACTAGATTTAGTTATGTGAGTTAGAAGGTAAGCAGTAGTTTTCGCGCTTATTTATTTGTTAGGCAAAGGCAATAACACACCACAGTATTTATGTACGTTATATGGCAGCTCCAACCAGCTTTTTGCATTGCTGTTGTCTGTCCATTGTAGAATGTTATTATCATCTTCTAACCTGAAAAGGTTTGAGGCCAGTTGGGTAGTATCCTCGTGAAAATTTGGCAATTTTCTGGCAGAAGCTTCGATCGTTTTCATTTTTTCCGGCCATACTGGATTTTGCACATTACATTGCAGAATTTTTTGGATAGAACTCAGTCATTGACGCACTATTTTCTAAATATTTTTTTTTAAATAACTCAACATCGTGGTTGAAAATCTGTCAATGTGAGTCGCTTGATGTTTTGAATGCAATTTAATTCCAAGAACAAAGAAGAAGCAGCAATTCAAAAATAAGGTTTAACCAAGTTGGAAATTTAAGTGCATTAATCTTGAATAGATCTGGTTTCATTTCTTCCAGCCGGCAAAAGTTGACTAAAGAGGTCAACCAGATAAAATGGTGCACACTTAAAACTTGAATTTTGAAACGATGCTGTCCAGAGTGTCCAAATCCTCGGATCGATAATAGTGTGTCCAAGGTTTATAAAAGTGGTTCATAAATAGTAGTACTAGTAGTATTACTAATTCAATTATAATTACACCAACGTAATTAACACATTTCATTTATTAGTCTCCAAAAAAGTTGAACAAATGGGAGATTAAATTCAGATATGCCATTTGATTATTGTCATTTATAACTATCATTTATGGTTACGAAATTCAACACATAAAGATTTTACTATAACAAATGTTATTGAATGTGTCCTGACTTGAATAAATAACGAAAATTCTTATTCATAATACAACATTTTTATGTCAGAAGAATATATATAACATGAAATTTATAAATTCGAATACAATTTCCGTCTCCATAAGCAAAACTGTTTTTTTATTTTTTTTGAGATGTAAGCGAATAACATCATTAAGTGAGACAAATGCTTAATACGCTCGAACCCACCAAGTCACAAACATCATCCTTCCATTTTGGTCTTTTTGATGTCTAATAACTTATTTTTAAACAAGAACTTTTTACACAAAATACACTTGTTTAAACACGATTGGGTGTGTTCTTAATCTCTCTAATAGGTGCATGTGTTTTCTGAAAATGGGTTTGGATACCACAGGAGCCATAAAAAAGTAGGGCAAGAGCGCCCTTAAAAGTTATTAAAAAAGAAAACCCTATATATATATATTTTTTTTTTTTCTTTAATGTTTCAGCAAACTTCCTAAAAGTGCAAACACCAATCAATTGCTCCATGAATATATACACAGTACATACCTCCAATAATTATTGAAAAAAAAAAAAAATCAAATGCCATGACTCAAAAAAGAAAACAATAAAGAAAAAAAAAGGCAAACAAAAAAAAAATGATAAGAAGATTTGAAAGGAACGTGTCCACATGCAGGCAGGATGACACAAATGCCAACTCTAAATCCCAACACACACACACACTGAGAGAGGTGACCGTTAGTAAGGCAGCGGGCCGTAAAGGTTTATAGTAAGTTCTACGCCAAAAATATATTAATCCAACGGCCATTTTTTTTCACTAGCCGTTGAATTTGAAAAGGCCCCGCCCCTGCTGTCTCCTCCTCTCCAAGACAAATACCCGTTTAATTCTCTCTCCCTTTTCACTACAACCAAGTCAAGGAGGAGGAAGAACTTTGTGAATTAAATGTGACATTCTTGGATTGGGGTTTTCTTGAAGGGAGAGGAAAAACAGAGCAAGAAATAAAGATAGATACTTGAAGCTTTTTTTTTTCTCTTCTTTTCTGGGGTTGGTGTTTTTGATTGTTCTGACTCGATATCAAGATGGTTATTTCAAATCAGAACAATCCTACACTGATTAAACCCGGACATTTACAAGGTAAGGATTTTTTAGATTCTTGGTGGGTCTGTTTTTGGTAAAAAACTTTTACATAACTGCCAACCGGTTTGGATCTTGTAATCAGTTTTTATATGGATTGTTGAAATTTTGAGAAGGCTACTGATATTTTACGATTGTTTTTCATTGATGGGTCGGGCCAAAGATTGGATTTTTTATTGATTTTCTTGTTGTTGTTGTTGTTGTTTGAAATCAAAGGTGGTGGGGCTACTGAGATGGTTGGCAGGAAGTTCGGGATGGAGACGAGGCAAACTAGAAGAGCTTTAGGTGTGATTAGTCAGAATGTGGTTTCAGGCCAATGCCATCAATATCCCAGTGTTGCTGTTAAAAGAGGATTATCAGAGTAAAGACTCAAAAGCTCTATGAAATTTGATTTCAGATTGAATTTTGCCTTTTCCCTTTCCAGTTTCCGGGCTTCATCTTACATTGATTTTGAACTTGTTTTTATCAGAGACAATGTGGGTTGTGGGAAGAACGCGCTGAATCCAGTACATAGGCCAATCACCAGGTTAGTTTGTGGCCCTTTGATTCAGAGATTTTTATTTTCTAGAATAAAGCACCTGATTATCAAGTTACTAATGGGCATTTATTTTGCTGGTGTTTGAAGAAAACTTGCTGCTCAAATTGCAACCTCAAAGCAATCTGGTTTGGAGGTAATGCACGTTTGCAACTGTAGATGCCCTTTTTGTGAAAGAACTGATATTGATTATCAATATATTAATGGGGTGGTACTACTGATATGACATTGAACAGGAAGCTAAGAAGCCGAAATTATCAGCCCCGGAGGACTTCAGTATATGGGAAGATATCCCTTTGAAAGATGAAGATCAACCTGTGCCAATGACTTTGGAACAAACAGAAGTAGTATCTAATGACAAAGATCAGATGGTAAATTGCACTAATCTAGATGGGATTTTTTTTTCTTTCACCCAGCAGCATTGTTCTCATTTTTTCGGAATGGTTTTATAGGAGATTGAAATGGAAGATATATTTGAAGACACAGTTGAAGATATTGACCGTGGTGATGCAAAGAATCAATTGGCAGTTCCTGATTATGTGGATGATCTTTATGCTTATTACAGAAGAATGGAGGTACTTCAAACTTGAATAAAATCTGACAGACTACCCATTGTGCATCAGTACTCATTCAACCCAGAATTTTGATTAGTCTATAAAGATAAGGGAAACTGGAAAGCATTTTCAGTGTTAGTCAATTGGATTAAAAATTTAATCTTTGGCAGAGGGAAACCTGGGACCCAGGTATTTGTGAGGTCACTTAAACCTCTTGCATATTTTAAAGCATGAATTTTAGGGAAGATCTACTTTATCAATGCGATTTGTTTAGGTGGGTTTCACATTTGAGTAGAAGACAAGTTAGCATATTTTTCAAACTATTGGTTGTTTGAACTCATTTGAAATGTTCGATCCAAAGACATTATTTATATATAGCTCCTTTGAAAATATAATATTTTGTTGTTTGATTCGTTTGCACATCTGTTATTCGTTTTGACCAGCATCATATGGGATGCATATGGGGCATGCATGAGTTTGAATTTTGGTGCTTTTATCACATTGCATTGTCTAAATGATTTTGATAATTTGATGTTTTCTATGATCAAATTTGTGCATTTTCTTGAACGTTACATTAAGCAAAAGTTATTGATGATTATTGCAGGGTTGTAGCTGCATTTCACCAAATTACATGTCTCAGCAATTTGACATAAATGAGAAAATGAGAGCCATTCTAATGGACTGGCTTATTGAGGTCAGTTCAGTTCTCGGCTTTAACAGTGCCTTAATCTAAATCAAGTGCAGACTTTCGTTAGGTTCAAAAATTTATTCACTGCAATCCCAAGTTTTCAATGGATGATTTGACTTGATTATGAATTGTTTTTTGCAGGTGCATTACAAATTTGAACTGAGGGAAGAGACACTATTTCTAACAGTTAACATAATAGACAGATTCTTAGAGAAACAAGGTGTAGTAAGAAAGAAGTTGCAGCTGGTTGGTTTGGTAGCTATGCTCTTGGCATGCAAATACGAGGAAGTTTCGGTCCCAGTTGTGGATGACTTGATTTTTATATCAGACAAAGCTTATACTAGGAAAGAAGTCCTCGAAATGGTAAATTAATCTCCAAATAAAAACTGAACCCTCATTTCCTTTGACTCCTTTTCACGTGCATCAGTTTCTTGACCAAAAAAAATTGACACTTGGATTGTTGGAACTCTTTTTTTTTTTTTGTTTTGTTGCAGGAGAGTTTGATGCTTAACACTATACACTTCAACATGTCAGTGCCAACTGCTTATGTATTCCTTAGAAGATTCCTCAAGGCTGCTCAATCTGATCAGAAGGTGAAGTTAGTTTTGCATTAGTACTGTTTATCAGGGAATTTGACAGAAATCTGATTCTGGGGTGTTGTTTTGTTTTGGTGATTTTAAAAACAGCTTGAGCTATTGTCATTCTTCTTGATCGAACTCTGCCTTGTGGAGTATGAAATGCTGAAATATCCACCATCATTTCTGGCTGCTGCTGCAATCTACACAGCCCAGTGTACCATTTATGGTGTGGGGCAATGGAGCAAGACTTGTGAATGGCACAGCCAATACTCTGAAAATCAACTTCTGTAAGTACAAACAAAACTCTTTATACTGACTGATTTTTCCCTTCACAATTTTCATTTGCCCTTAAAATATGGTATTGAGGTCTAATGTGATGATGCTCATCATGAGCAACAGGGAATGCTCCACATTGATTGTGGGATTTCACCAGAGAGCAGCAACAGGGAAACTGACTGGAGTGCACAGGAAGTACAGCACATCAAAGTTTGGTTATGCAGCAAAGTGTGAACCTGCACATTTTCTTGTGGAAACAACAACAACATCATCACAGACATGATTTTTCAACAGGGGGCCATGTATAGTTTTACTCTAACTTCCATGTGACTTCTGTAAGAAGAAGAGGAGTTAGGAAAGAAAAAATAACTCCAGCAACTTGTGTTGCTATTACACACCCTCTTCCTTAGCATTGATTTTTTCCCCTTTACAATTTACAGTGACTGCAAGCAACCATGGTTGTTAAAACTGTGCAGACAACTTTGGTGGTTGTTCATTTTGTTAATCTTGGTTACTATTCTTTTTTCACTCCATTGAACATTTAATGAAAATAAGTTGTATCAATCTCGGGCTTCAATTGAGATCCTTCTATTTCATTTCATACTGTTTTTTTTTTAAGAATAAGTCCTTGTATACAAAAAAAAAAAACTATGCTAAATATGAATCAGATTGGAAAATATGGTATTTATTATCGGACTAAAGTGTTGCACACAGTAGTGGACCACTATCAGTGGTTAGGATGTTTGATTCTGATAAAACTTACTATACTACTAGTAATTAATTTGAAGAAAGAAAGTTAATTTATTTAATTAATACTCTTTTCTTCACAAATCAATTGAATATATTGAAAATAAAAATCTAAACTTGATAATCATTTTGAGCCAACATTAACTTGTGCCATTTCCCCAAAAAAAAAAACAAAAAAAAAACTCGTGAGTTGCTACACAGCTCCAGCCTCCAAGCCCTTCACCCTCACCTACTTCCAATTCCTTGGCCTACCACACCACCAACCCCTCATCATAGTACACGACAATTTCAACTTGCCTCGCCAAACGTTTTCTTTTTTTTAACTATATACTTCTTGTCTACCCTTTGATTGAAAATCAAACATATAGGAGTAAATTATTGGGTTTTGTTGCACATTTCAATTTGGATTCCAAATTGATCTTTTCTCAGTAAACTGTTAATCATTATAATAATAGGAAAGAGAAAAATGATTTGGTGAAATGTGTTATAATGTTACTCTAAAGGTATCACATACAATATTACTCTCTCCGTACCATAAATATTCCACATTAAATTTTAAAGTTTGTACTGAGAATTTTAATACAAATCTCAAAACTGTAGAATATAGATTACTTTTATGAGACAGATTTAATATTAACATTAATGCATTGTTCACTTCAACTAACCAAACAATCTTTTGGTAACCAAAAAGAATTTTTTTCGTTAAAATGAAAATGAAAAGAAATGTTAAAATGAAACATTCGAACATTAATCTTAGAAAAGGCACAGTACTCCCTCTATTTTGAAATATATGTCGTTTTAGAATTTGATGAATTTTTTTTAAATATATGTCGTTTTTATAAATCGAGGCATATTTGACAACTTTTTATTAATATTACCATTACATTAGAAATGAAACAGTATTTATAATGAATTTTTATTGGTTTGTAATGAATTATGTAGACAATAAATAAGTGTATTTTTGTATTTTAACTACATTAATTAATATTTTTTTAATTTTGATAATTTCTCTAGAAAGAGTATATAAAAAAGACGGTGAGAGTATATAATAAAATGCACAAGGGGAAAGGAGTAGTAGAATATTCCCATAGTTTTTGCTCCAAGAATAATTAATTTTGGCGTGACATTCAAGTGTTTTTTGACCAGCACCAACGTTTCACAAAGATTTCTTTTTCTTTCTTACTGAAAATACTTACAAAAGAAAGATTTTTTTTCCAGACGAGTTGTCCAGTACGCAATACGTAAATTGCAAAAGCCCAGATTCCAATACGACCAAAAAAGGTACTCAAATCTGTCACCAACTCCCTAGATCTCATTTCTGCGAAGAAAAAACACGAGCAGACAACCCCCCAAAAAAACACAAACTCCGCCTTCCTCCGCCGCCCGTCACCGCTACCATGTCGGCCACCGTTCCTCATTCCCTCCTCCTCAAGAACCCGACCAACTCCCTCAAACCCACCTCTCTCGCCACCCAATTTGGCAGCTTCCCCACCAACCTCTCCCTTCCCACCACCACTCCAAAACCATTTGCCATAACATGTTCATCCGCCGCCGCCACCACCACCACCCCAATCCCGGCCGCCGCATCGACCTCCGCATCCTCAAATCGCGTTTTCAATTTCGCCGCGGGCCCCGCTACCCTTCCTGAAAACGTTCTTCTCAAAGCTCAATCGGAGCTCTACGACTGGCGTGGGTCTGGTATGTCGGTGATGGAGATGAGCCACCGTGGTAAGGAGTTCCTCTCCATTATTCAAAAGGCCGAATCAGATCTGAGGGAACTTCTCAACATTCCTTCAGATTACGATGTCCTCTTCCTCCAAGGTGGCGCCACCACCCAATTCGCCGCCATCCCGCTTAACATTTGCCAGCCGGACGACGTCGTGGATTACGTTGTTACCGGTTCCTGGGGAGACAAGGCTTATAAGGAAGCCGCGAAATTCTGCAAGCCCAAGGTGATCTGGACCGGAAAGCCCGACAAGTACACCAACATTCCCGGCTTTGATTCGTTGGAACAGAGCCCGGATGCTAAGTATTTGCATATATGCGCCAATGAAACCATTCACGGTGTTGAGTTCAAGGATTATCCCACACCCAAAAGTTCCAACGCCATTTTGGTTGCGGATATGTCATCAAACTTCTGTTCGAAGCCAGTGGATGTTTCCAAGTTTGGAGTGATCTATGCTGGGGCTCAGAAGAATGTTGGCCCATCTGGAGTTACCATTGTGATTATAAGGAAAGATTTGATTGGAAATGCTCAGCCAATTACTCCAGTTATGTTGGATTACAAGATCCATTCGGAGAATAAATCGCTGTATAACACCCCTCCTTGCTATGGAATTTATATGTGCGGGTTAGTGTTTGAGGATTTGTTGGCTCAGGGTGGATTAGGTGAGGTTGAGAAGAAGAACAAGAAGAAAGCCCAGATCCTGTATGATACCATTGATGGCAGTAATGGATTTTACAGATGCCCTGTTGAGAAATCCGTGAGGTCATTGATGAATGTGCCGTTTACTTTGGAGAAATCTGAGCTTGAAGCTGAGTTTATCAAGGAGGCTGCTAAGGAGAAGATGGTTCAGCTCAAGGGGCATAGGTCGGTTGGTGGAATGAGGGCTTCTATATACAATGCTATGCCCTATGATGGAGTTGAGAAGTTGGTTGCTTTCATGAAGGATTTCCAGGCCAGGCATGGTTGATATTATGGATTTGGTTTCAGGGAATTGTAGCACTACTTCATTGTTTTTGGTTTTTCGGATCATTTCGGGATTTTGCTTTAGATTGTTTTAGTAATTCTGTTTAAGAACACTAGAGTTTGGTTTACTTTTGGAGTAAAATAAACCCATGCATGGAACTGTTTACCTGTACCGTAATACCTATCAGTAATGATCAGCATCACTGAAGAATCCAGTGAGAGCTTCTGCTTTTTTTTTTTTTTTGTTACTTACTAATGTCTGCAATTGTATATCAAGCATTATTGTGATCAATGGATGATAGCGTATTGGTGGCATGACCATGAAAACAATGGTAAAGAAACTGATACTCACGGTTAATATACAGATGACAGTTTGTGAAATTTGGAACATTGATAAACTTTCAAAATACGAAACGCTCGAAACAATCTGGAAGTAACATTTTTCAGAAGGGTTTCACAAGATTTGAACAGTAACACTAAGCAACCGTTAGGATACACATACAGGAGGCTGTTACTTGGTCATGTGTAAATTTACGGCAGCTTCGGGTGTGAAGATGATTTGCCTTGCCTAGTCGTGTTGGTGATGTTTGGATTTGTAAACCATGTTGTGTACAGAAATTGTTTCTGTGGTCCGACATGATTGCATATGATCCGAAGCCTCTGCCTTTCTCTCATCCATCTCAGAATTATTTTCATGTGCCTTTTGCTGCTCAACCCTCTCAGTCCTACTTCCTGCTCGTAAAATAGGTTACATACAAGAACCATCAGCAAAGTATTGACTGGACTCTGGAGCGAAAGAAAGTAAGCCAAATGTTACCGGAAAGCCTTAAATTCGACTACTTGAAATACCTTAACACGATCCCAGGTTTCATTGACTGTAAGGGGTCCATGTTCCTTGAGGATATCAAAGATAGCTCTTGTGATGGTTTGAGTTTGCTCAGGCGGCGTATTCAGTTCGATTGGTTTCATCTTTGGCTTGGGTTTCTTGGCAAAATATCTCACAGCTGTTGAAAATATGGTGGACAATCGAATAAGTTGGCAATTCCTGGCTCCCATCGCCATTGAAGTTTCTACTACAAAAGCTTGATTACCGTTGAAACAAAACTAGTTCACTGCTGCAATAGCAAGCATCCGTCAATTACATTTCAATGACCAGTGCAAACACTGTTAATCATCAGTCGAAACATGGGTAAGCAAACAGTAGGTTCTGCTAGATCACTACACGTTTAGCGATGTTTTTCATACACCAGGCTTGAAGCATCCTACCTTCATTTTTTTCTTTGTGAAAATGAAAAGTTTCGGTTCAACCAACATTCGACTGGGATATGTTGACAAGAACCTAGAATCCGTGAAATACCTATTCAAGCATTTTGTCGAGCAACTCATATGCACAGAAATCATCCTACTTAAAATGCAATGAAACTTGAGAACTTACATACTAGAAACGTCTGCCAGATTGTGAGATTGAATCTGCTGTTGCGAAGAGGTTTAAAGAATTGGAAAATTTTAATTTATTTGTAGCAGACTGCAGAGTATGCGCTCAGGGGAGAAACCTCCTTTATCAAATCCGGGGCTTGGAAGCTTTAAGTTGAGCACTGGAAGCAAGTTCCTAGATTCAAAAGAAGACCAAGGGGTTCCAACTACAATGATTGTTTCTCATACAAGATTTGATCCTTAAACCTCGTTTCCAATGTTTCCAAAAAACAAAAATTCCAAAAATTTTGGGGAAAAAAAACCCTTCACTTGTTTTCCTGATTTGAAATGTACTTTATCCTCATTATCTTGAAGTTTGAATTTAAGGTTTAGTTGCTATTAATTCCAACATTGCAATGTGCACCACAGCTTCCTATAAAGTAGTAGTAACAGTTTCATGATTCCAGCTTCGATCAACAAAAATAACTTGTAATGACCAAAAGCTTTTTCACCCGGATTCGAGGAAAAACATGTACAAAAGGATCCATCTATTTCATAGAGCCTACATTATACAGTTAGTGACTGTGATAAAGGCGTTCAGCAAGATTAGACGTCTCTGTCTTTAAAATCTGATGTAAATATACAAAATCTATAGACATCAGTTTTGCTTTGGAAAAGATTGTTGCCGACTTCTGTTGTCCCAGAAGAAAAAGAATGCAAGAATAGGTATTATTTGTGGTATTTCCTTCTTCATTTACAAGAAACATCAGATCCCGGTAGCAACTTTTAACCCAAAATGCCATTTGTCCTCCGCATCAAAATAATACATCTTCAGCAAGTATTCCTCTATCGTCATGAAAATGAGAATCTGGAAAAGAGTGACAACCCAGACGTTGCTCCATCACTCGCTGGGCTAGGTGGAGCTGCGTTTAAAGTTCGATAAGCTTGCTGACACTTTTGCACCTGCGTATATACATTCCAAGTCTTAGAAGGAAATAGATGACAAATTTGGTTACTTGTCGTATTACTGATACAGGCAAGAAGTTCACCTCGTCAGGGCTAAATTGGAGGAGCATTGCAACTACCGGCAACAGTGCTTCAACTTCACCTATTTAAAATTGAAAACAGTGTCTCAATCCCCTGGAGGGGGTACAGAGAATATCATCCATATAAGCACAAAGAATAAGTTACCTGTCTCTAAAAGTTTCAAGATGACGTTTTTAAGGTATGTCAAATCCACTCCTTCACGCTTTTCCTTTCTGTCCATGTTTCTCAGTTCTTCCTTCAACATGGTCACCTGAAATGATGTTGATAATCAATTCAACCGTAAAAACTTGGAATCAGAAGAAAAGTCACAATGGTATGCCTCCCATCCCAACAAAAAGGAAAAAATACTGCAAAATACTAGCAAAAAATAAGGGGGAACATGGAGCACCTCATATTCATTTTGAACATATGCACTAGTATCTACTGCAAAGTGCAAACATATTCTAATTTTGTAAACCCTCCCAACAAGCAAATAATAAAGAGAGAAATCCTAACACCATCATCTACCTGCTGGCTATGGAGACGATTTTCACGTTCAAGCTCTTCAATTTCTTCCTACAAAAACATTCCAGGTTACCATTTTTTTCCCAAAAGCTACGGGGAAAAAGAAATGCCAACAGAAATTATTTGTTAACGGTTAACTTACTTGAAGTGCAAGAATGTGCCGGTGTGACTGGGAAAGTTCCTCCTCTCTTTGTGCTTGTTGCCTAGCCAAAATCTGGAGTTTAATGAACCATCAGAATGTTAGTACACATGGACCAGCAATAAGCAATATTTCTGTTTCAGCAGAAAAATTTGCACTAGTTCACCAATATTAGAATGTCTAGAAAACAGTTTTACATCTCAAATTATGCCCTATCGTGCCACTCAATTAGTGAGAAACTAGGTTTCCTTATCCATAGTATTACCATCTGAGGTACAAATGTAGTCAATTTCTCAAATTTTTTAAAAGATTTGTACACACTCAATCTTCCATGATGAGATGACCTACCATCCTTCTGAAACTTTTCATTCATTAATATCTGTTTGAAGAAGCTACAAAAACTTCTCTTTTCCAGAATTATTCAACTAGTTTTGCAGGCGACCATGTATTTAGGAATCACAGGGAGAGGGTTGGCTAGTAATCAAAGCTTTCCAGCTATCTAGATAGTTGTAAGAGTAAAATGTGAGCTTACTAGAATTTGTTGTTCAGCGGCAGAAGGACTAGAATCTAGGGCATCCTGCTTCTGAAAGGCTGCAATTAAAAACCAGAAGAGAAATACATACTCATCAAGTCAATGCATACAGGTGAGTTAACAAACTGATATTTAATACTGAACTCATTGGTCCACTAGATGTTATAACCAAAGAGCAAAGATAGTACCTGAATCATCGGAATAATGGTAGCCAGCCTGAAAGAAAAAGCAAGGACACACTTAATATTTCTTGCTCAAATAAGTAAAACACCAGTTTCCAAGACGACGTTGCCGGAAGGAAAAGGCTTGGCAAGTTAGAAGATTGACAGGCTCAAACGAACTAGGACAGAGAATGATAATTGTGTATATATTGTATATATTGAACTAGGACTAGAATATTGTGTATATTTATAGAAATGGTAAATGACCAACAGAGAGACACACTCAAACTATGTCAAACTTTGTTAACAAGAGGAAATAGGATACAAACAAGAAAATTGTCCCCTTCTTGGCACATGATTGCTTATCCAGTATTCTCCAGTTTTACAAAAATTTAAAAGCATAAAATTAACAGAATATAAAAGCAAACAAGTTACTCAACTTCGGCCATGTGCGACTGCAGACAGATATTAATTGTGGCTCAAGCATACATGTACATGTAATCACGGAGCATTACTAACATAAAATCAACTACATAAGTTTACCAATGGATTTGACTCAAGCATTTGCCGAAGGTTCTCGTTGTCATTTAAGAGCCTGGAAATCTCTTTATCTTTCTCCTCAATCATCCTATCAGCTAGTTCGCGGAAAGAGAAATGCTCATCCTGCATGGGAAAGAGTATCTTTGTGAAGAGAGACTCACCTTATAGAAATGTAAAATAGCATCTCTGTGACGAGATAATGAGGGAAAATACCTTCAACTTTTCATGTCGGAGTTTAATGTCCCCAAACTCCTTTTCATGAATTTGGCTAGAAGACACCTCAGTTTCAGCCTTCAATGCTTCACATCTCACTATCAGATGAAAATAATGTTAAAATACAGAAGTATGAAACTAGAAGTAGGTTGAAATGGGGCAGATTCATATCTACTAAACTTACATCGCCATGTTTCTTCAACATTTTTAAGGTTTACTTCCCACGACTCCTTTTCTGACTGGTGGCTGGATAGAGCAGTATTTAAATTCATCTCCAAGTTCTTTATCTGTTGCTCAGCAGCACTCAGAGCTTCATCTCTGCCAGAAATGTGATTCTTCAGTATTATACTTTCCACACAACAGACAAAATATACTCCCTTCGTCCAAAAGAAGAGTCACGTTCGTTGTATATAGTTTTAGAATCTAACGCCAATGCAATTGGAATTTAACCACCAAAAGTTGAATTTATAGACAAGCACCAACAGATAATGTCATATTTACCTTGAAGCTAGTTCTTTAGCATGAACAACTAAAGCATGCTGCAGATCCTGGACAGCTTTATCCCTTTCGGTAGATAATAGCATCAATTCTTTCTCAGCATCCTACATCAATACACGTATTAATTGAGCAAAAATAGTGATGATGTGAGGACTTTTCAATGAGAATAAACAGCAAAATAATTTACTTTAAAAGCTTCCTCCATAGCTTTGAGCTGATCATTTTCCCTCGCAGCTGCCAGCTCAGAATCTTTTTTCTGAAGAAGGGCATGTGCTCGGATCTTGTAAGCAGCGAATTCACTCTCAAGACGCTTAATCTACAATAGGTTCAATTCAGATCAGCACACGAAATGAGACTGGAAACAGAACTGGAGCCCCCAAAAAAAAAAAAAAATGGGGCGTGCAGGAAATACAGGGAAGATGAGAGCCTCTTTATTACATTGTGGGGAAAAACCCAAAACCAAATGGCTCCACATTGTGGCTACCACCCTATTCCCCGCAAACCACATGAATTACAGATAGAGCTTCATCAACAAAAAGCAGGCAACAAGCTTTTATACGGTGTAATCTCAAATAAACAAGCTGTTGTATAAAATTTCGTAAAATTGTTCGAGATGATTTAAAAGATTGCACAAATACCAAGACTAATTTCATAAGAATCAAAAGTACATCTTTAAATATTTCATATTACCTCCTCTCTCAGACCCAGAATTTCAGAATCTTTTGAGTTTATCAGCTGAGCTTGCACAGATAATTCTGACTCCAGTTGACCTGACAAGAGGAAAAGAGCCATAATTTTAATTTACATACATATGCACCGAAAGAGGGGGAGAGAAAGAAAAAAGAAAAAAAAAAAAAGAAGAGTAAAACTCTTAAAAATACTTTTCGACTTGGCCAGTTCAACTTCTGCACGTATACAGTTACTTTCAGCCTTCTCCAGCTTCATTTTGAGAGACTGCGAGATGACTTCCCAACTTTCTTTCTCCTTTTCCTGCATTACATTCATAAACAAAAATATCATTTACAACTAAAGAAAAGGAGCCGCAGATCTGAATGCATTAACTATTCATGTCAATGCAAGACTGCGCATATAACCGTAATTAGGATCTCACTGAATTAAAGACTATAAGGTCAGATATACATAACAAAGGAAATTTTTTAGCAGTAAGAATGAGAAAGGATCACTCAGAGCAACTTAGTGATAATCAAATTGGAAATCTTGCATCAAAAGAAAACCAAGCTGTATCAGATGCTCACATGCTCGCTTTTCACGTGTGCAAGCTCCCCTTTAACAGTTTCAATAGCAGCTTTAAGACGCACTGCCTCACCAGTTGAAGCAGCATCTATCTCTGCAATTTTAGATTCTTTCTCAGCAACCAAAGCCTAGAAATAGAAAATCCAAAAATAACAACTTGGATCAGATTCCATTGCATTATTTATGGGCCAGAAGATAACACTCCATTTATACTACAAAGTTGTGACATGAAAGAGAAGCAGCAAGACACTTTAGCAGAAAGCAAAGATGAAACAACCTTGACTAAATAAAAGATACATACATCATAACAGTAAAGTCACCCCTCTCATCAGTCTATATTGGAAGTTAAAATTCTTTTTTATTTACAGAACCCTTTCTTATGGCAGCTTTAGCACTCACATAATTTGCAGTATCAATTATGAGGCTCTTCGTTAGTTTATACAACAAAACCTCTTACTAAACCCTTGCACCACCATGCTGGTTCTAATTGGCTTAGACGATGAAATCGAGGTTTTTTCAAAGAAAAATATAGTTCTTACCCTGAGTGACGAGATTATTTCAGTTGCTTTACTACTTTCAGCTGATACATCTGCAATTTGGGCTTCCAAATTTTCTCTTTCCTGATGTAAAACACATAATAGTATGCAAAGAGTGATTTTCAGGAAAAACAAACACGAGCAAATGGATTTAACAGAAAGAAATTAATCGATTTAATCCGTCGAACACAGGCCACCACAACCATGAGTATTCATTCACCTTCTGGTGTTTTGCAGAGAGTTCTGACATTGAAGCAAGTCTTTTCTCCTCCGCTCCTTGTAATAGTTGCCGTGTTTCTTCCAACATCTGCAAATGTAGAAAAACAAACAACTTTTAGGTGTAGGATGGCACAAAGCACCATTTAACATATTCTCCAAAACAAAGGGGCAGTCAACTCAATGCAGCAAGAGGTTTTTTGGCTGTTCTCCTACCCAGTATAAGTAAAAAAAAAAATGGATTTCAGTTGTCAATCTCAGTAAAGCCATTTCCTGATCCAGGTAGAAACTCTTATAAAATTTTGAAATTTGAAAGTTGGGCAAAGCTCTAAGTTTGACAAGTAATCAAAATTAGCAGTTGTGCAACTATAAGTGGACACTGCATACCTGCTCCTTCTCCAAAAGCGACTGCTGTAGTGTCTCGACAGCATTCTCTTTGGGTGCCAATGAACGACGTAATTCTTCAATGTTATCACGAAGCCTATATATGAAATCCACAGAACAAAAGCATTACACAGCTAGAATCATAGAATACCAGAAAAAAGATATTAAAAAAAGTGTGGTTCCAGGAAAGTAACACACTCCCATCGTAACATTAGCAAATACATTCTGTACAAGGATGTCTGCATGATATTTTTACTCCATGGACTAGGGAAAGGGGAAAGGGGAAAGGGGCACTCATATTCATTGAAGATGTCAATACCTAAGTATGCTACAATTACAAACTGCAGCCCATCTTACAGAAATTGATTTTGCCCAAAAGTACAGAAACCCAAATAAAAGTTAGCAGGAAATTTGAAAAAATAAGGTGATGCCAAAACAATCCTGATTTTGAGGTCATCGGGGACTTACTTGTTGTTTGCACTTCGTAGTTGTTGCCTATCTGCATCAATTGCTTTCAGTGCCTCATTCGCTTGCTGCCGCGTGCGCTCCAACTCTTGCTGCAATGCAGACAACTGAGTTGCTGCTCTCTCAGCCTTCTCATTGACCTCATTAAATTGAGCCTGAAGGTCATCCTTTTCCTGTAAACAAGAATCCCAAACACACTAAAATTAAAACCTGGAAAGAAAATGATATGCAAACTGTCTCTAGTGTATACAAGTGCTCCAAAAAAGAACGAAGCCAGCAAAAATTTTGGTCAGTAAGCCGTTCCAGTAAGCTTTCTCCTTATGCAAAGAAACAAGTTCCAACACCATAAGCCATAAAAAGCAAACCCAAAGAAAGAAAGAAAAGAAAACTGAAAAGAAAACAAAAATGAAAATAAAAAGGAACTAGAGAGTAAATTGCGTAGCAGCGACGTTCACTTTACCTTCTGAACCTCTTGAATCCGCTGTTTTGCGCGTTTATGAAGCCTGTTCAATTTTGAATCAAGCTCGGAATTCTTTTCATCACGTTCTTTAATTTCTTGGTCCATCTTCTGTTGAGCTACGCCAAATAAACGAGTAAATGAGTTTGGATTAATAAAGTTCAACATGAACTTTAAAAAAAAAAAAAGTTCAACATGAACTAAGGATTAGACATCATAAGAGAGATAGTTCAATTAATTCAACAAGGCAAGAAGGATCAGAAAATTCAGATCAGCATTCAACATAAACATCAGGAAAAATGTGGAGAAGAAACTGTTAAAAAGACTTATACAACCTTCAGCAAGTTTAGTAGTAAGCTCTTGGGATTTCGCATCAGCCTCTGTATATACTTCTCGAAGATGCTTCAGGGCTTCCTCCGCAGCGCAGCGTGTTTGCCTTTCTTCCAGAAGTTCCCTTCTCAAGGATTCCATTTGCTCCTGGAGCTCTTTCACAGCATCGTGACCCCCATTCTCTTGAACCTCGGCTTCTTTTAGTTGGGTGTGTTCATCAGAATCGAAATGGAGATCTTTCATCCCAGCCATTTGGGACTTCAAATATTCATTCTGAAAATTTAGCTCTACAACCATTTGCACAAGTTTATCGTGGCCATTGCTACCATGTATCTCCTCATCGTGCGACCCATTTATCATCACAAGTTTTCCTGCAACCCCATTGCTCATGTCAGTGGACTGTTCCTCAACTGCCACAGCATCTGGTTCCTCTTTTTCCTGTTGTCCCACTAGTTCACTGCTCTCTGTTCCATCAGAGGACATCCTTACAGGAACTTGATAGCTTTGTGTTTTATTTCCCTCTATCTATATGTTTATAGAAATGAATGTGGATACAGCAGTCCTACCAACACCTACAAACGATAAAAATGAAATTAACAAAATAACTATGAGTCAAATACGGAAGGATTCCATCACAGCACTCAGCAATCTGAAGCAATAAGCAAACACTCAAGAGTTGCAAAATCATAACTACATGAAACAATTCAAGCAAAGCAGAGGTTACAAAAGCTTGGAAAATCAACAAAGGAACTTCCAAAGGCTAAGATGATCATCAAATGGATGTTCTCCTCACATATAACGTCAAAAAAAAAAAAAAAACCTCAATTCCAAAACGCATCCAATCTCAACTAAATCAATCTCTAGTTAAACATATCACGATTGCAAAACTGTAGCATTCAATGTCTGTCTGTCCAGGTGATCAAATCCACATTCTTAACCAGCAACTTTGGGAAAAGATTTGAGAGTGGAAGGTTGACTGACCTTTTGAAATAACAGAGAATCCAATCCCAAGGGGAAAACCTTGGATCTAATCAGTGCCCCCTTTGGACTAGTTGGCAAGCGCCATTATCAACGATTCGATTTGGATCCAAAGATTGAAAGCTCCTAAACAGTAATTCTCTGACACTAGTTCGTTAGTTTCAATTGTATGATGCGGCGATTACTGACTTCACAGTTAATTCAAGTGTATTGATGGCTGAGATTGGCTAATTGATAGATTTGCTGCGAGTGTGTGAGTGCGTGTGGGAGAAATTCTGGTAAATTTGGGAACCAAAGAACAACGCCCCTCGCTCGACGTTAGGCGATTAAAGTCATTGCGATTTCACTAATTTCGTCGCACGAGTTTTAGCCAAAAACGTTTTTGTTTAAAGTTCCTTTGATTAAATCTCACTTAAAACTTTCTTTTTACTGGGAAAAATGAATATGGTATCTATATTTTACCTGCGCTGTAACACCTATATAGCTTAGGTGTATGAGGAAGGGAGGATTAATTTGAGAGAAATAATAAACAATTATGCCTATTATTGAGACTTATTAAATACAATTAAACTTGACCAACACGAAAGTAATATGAATAGAGAAATAAGCGTCGTCAACAGAAATCGAACCATAATTTTTGTTATGTATAGTTATGGCATTGAGAGGCGTCGTATGTTTTGAATGCTTTGTGCCTATTATAGAGAGGACTTCATTCAAAAGCTTCAACATACAAATATGAGGTTCATTTTTTGGTTAATTTTTTTTTAATTTTAAATAAATATCTATCTCAGCCCAGCATACCTTTTTACATTCCCAATGCATTTTTTTACATTTTCAATACACTTTTTTATATTCCCAATACAAAAAAACACACTTAAAAAACCTTCCAAACATAGCCTTAGGGTAACTGAAGTCAAAGGGCTAGAGCTAGACCAAATGGATAATTTACTAATGCTTCATTAGTCAAATAATTAGGATGATTAAATGTTATATGTATTTAGGAGGAAAAGATTACTTATAAATGAAGTGAATGCTTATCCTGCATCTGTAGTTGACACAATTTTTTCCAGAAGAAATAAGTTGTTTCTAATATCATGAAGGAAATTACAGTCGGGTAGCGGTAGGAAACTAACACGAAAGAGGAACTCTGATAGTAGTTCCTCATCGAACTTACAACGCCTGGCCAAAAAACTACAAGTAATTTTACATGACGACATGCCCAATCTAAGATTCTAAACCAACTTTATTTTCTATCAATCTTCAGCTTAAAGAGGTGAAAACCTAACTCATTTTCACCCCAACTGAAAGTGAATAGGGGACCAATCCAGTCAAAATCAAGGGGGTTCTACTTGCGGGAATCTCCTGAAGTGCATCCACAGTCATGACGACCAAGCATTTCTGGAAACACAAGATGATCATTTTTATTAACCCCCAATGAGCAAAGAAAAAACAAAGGCCGTGAGGCGTTTTAGATCAAGTAAAACTAATAAGCAACCAGGTAATGCAGATGCATGAACTGGTCCTTTCCATGCCACAGGATCAGGAAGCAAAATTCTGATATTTGACAAAAAAAAAAAAAAACATCTCTAATTTGCAATGTAAGCAAAACTGATGAGCACCATCTTTGAGTGATGAACTATCACTGCCTTATGGACGTTGTACTTTTGAGGTTACAAAGGACAAGAGCATATAAAAAAGTAGGGAAATAGACTCAATGAAAAGACCCAATATATGATCAAGGTGCCCTTGATGTTCTTCTCTTCAACCATGAGGAACCCAACTCTTACATAAAATGGCACTAAAATGAATGTATTGTTCAACGAGAAATGAAAATGTACAGCACGCTTACCAGAAGATCTACTTCCATCGGAGCTATCAGCAACAAATTCAAAAAATTCTTTAGTTGCATCTGCATATAATGGTTAGGAACGAAATAGTTAAAAATTTGGATAGTGGGGAAAAGATGAAAATGTAAAAGGAAAACACACAATCAGACAAACATTTAAGATCTGTAAATCTTCTCATCTAACCGCAAAAGGAAATTACTAAATTGACTAATAACATGACTGCAACAAGGAAAATAAAACAAAAGAAACATAAAGAAATTCAGAAACTGCACACTGCAGGAGAATGTTAATAGGGTTTTATTCTTATATTGACATAGTTTACTAATCATTCTCTGGATGAAATGTGAATGAAAATATTGACGCCAAGTAAAATAATTCACCTTTATGTCAAGAAAGGTATAGACGGAGAGCAAATCAATTCTGGGAGTGTATAAAAAGAAGAAAAAAATGAAAAAGAAAAAAAGCAAAAATTGCATATATGAACATTTCAATATTTCATGCTTAAGAAAAAGTGTAGGAACTCGAGATGAAACAGAGATTGATTGCAGTTCATATCCTTGAATGTAAGGAGAGCAAGAAAAGCTTATACGTTATCCAAGAGACTTTAGCATTAAAAGAGGAAGAAGCAACATGGAATTCTTTTTAGTGCTTAGTGAAATACCCCAAATAGCAGATACAGCTATTCAGCCAGCAAAGAATTATAAAGACCAAATTATAACAATGAAAGTAACAAGTACGGAATACATACCATGCTTCATCGTTAAAGAGGGATCTTGATCATCAACAAAGCCAATCACCTCGGCCGGAATCCCAGCAACCATGCTTCAAAATTACAAGAAAATATTAGAATCTATGTCTAGATGAAACCATAAAACAATGGCCTCTGTAAAAATATAGTATCCGGATAAACAAATCAAACATAAAACCATGTAGTACCTGTGTGGAGGGACATCCTTTAATACCAGAGAACCTGCAGCTACCATTGCACCTTCACCTACTTTAATGTTTCCCAAAATAGTGGCACTGGCTCCAATAAGTGCACCTTGACCTATCTTTGGATGCCGATCGCCAGTTCCTTTTCCGGTGCCTCCCAAGGTTACACCCTGTCATATATAATTGAGGAGTAACAATGAGATCGGAAATTACTAGAATAATGCTAAGGTCGAAGTTTATCAAGGAGAACATTAGTAAATCGCATTTATAGAACATTGCAATTACAGCACCCTTCATTTATCAGACAATAAAATCACTCAGATCATGGAAAAGGCACATTGGTTTCATTTAATAGTTCCATCCTAGTCAGAAACAGTAAGAAGAGACCAAAGGCTCCATTTGATATTTGCTTCTATATCTGTTGAATTGACAATGGACGAGTAGACATGGCAGTTTACCTGCATTAAAGAAACTCGATTTCCTAACACAGCAGTTTCCCCAATTACTACTCCTGTTCCATGGTCCAAAAGAATTCCTTCTCCAAGTTTGGCAGCTAAAGAAATGAACAAGAATGAAAAGAACTATTACCACACTTACAAAGCAGCAGACGTTTTTCATAATATAAACTGAATTCAAACACATAGAGTGGCAAATTTTTGCCGCCTGTAGTAGTGGTGAAAATGTTCTCACTGACAAAACAACAATGCTGAATACATGCGCGTATATATCTTAACAAATTAGTACCTGGGTGTATGTCAACTCCAAAAACCTGGAGGCAACGAAAACATTGTAAACCATTTGAATTCAGATCATCAGATGAAAATACAGCTATGAAACACTACCTCACTTATACGACTTTGTAACGCTGATGCCAAGACTTTCCGACCTTCATTCCATAATGCATGTGCAACTCGATGTGCTTGTAATGAATGGTAACCCTGTACAAATTAGTCTCATTTGGATACAAAGTGCAGATGTACAATAATAATGACGACAAAGCATAGAGAACATTTGTTTGAATAGAGAACAATGAAGTACAGTGATAACAAAGAAATACCTTGAGGTACAGGAGGGCAGAACAATATGATAAGCAAGAAGGATCCCGATCTTTGCATGCCTATAACCAAAATAGTGCAAACAAGGTAAAAAAGCCAACAGAATCACATTGCGAAAAGGAAACCAATCAAATTTCTAGTTGCAAATGTTAAGACCTGTATATCAAGGCGAATGCAACGTTGGATAATTCGATCTCGCATTATGACATCGGAGAATATATCTAAAAGTTGTGTCGCCAAAAGCGTAGGATTTTGCAGACGATTGGCTAGAACAAAGGCCAGAGCTTGCTCTAAGCAGTGGTGTGATATTATGCTTGCATACAAGAAACTGCTCAAAATGGGCTCCTTCTCTGCCTGAAATTTGCATTTATCAGTGACATAACCTAAAAACTCAGCTAGAATTAAAACTGTCACCCAGAAATCTTATACCAATAAATGAAACTAAAATGTTAGATCAAATTAGGTCCCACAGCTCATGTTTTGCCATTAGTAGATCTTAATATGTCAGCAGCATTTACTACAACACCCAATTTGATTTTCACCTATTTACCGCCATCAGAAAACACAGTTCTAACCAAAAACACACTGCAGTATCAGATTTACGGTCATTTACTCTTTTCAGTGAGTCATTTTAAATTGTGGATTTGTGGGTCTCGACGATAGTAAATTTCTTCTGTTACTACTGATAGAAGTCTCATTTTACCAAATAGGAATTCATATCAGACTCAATGTCATATGCCCTCGTGTCAGAACATGATCATTGGAGGGCACCCCTGATCAGAGAATGGCCAGGAACAATCTTGTTTTGGCATAGAAATGCCCAAAACAGCCAAACACTATATCAAACAATACAAGCTACCAAGAATAGGTCTCTTCTTACAAACCATTTTCATCATTTTGATCAAATTTAGAAGTAATAATTAGCTCAAGAAAAAGCCATGCAAGCTGTAAATATAACATCTGATTCGAGACCAAAAATTTTTTTACTAAATTAAGAAGTACCTCCAACCTAGCCTCTTCCCTGACAGCATCCCAAATTGGGTCGCCGGGTTTGCAGCCCGACTTGGCAACGGAGGCAACCAGCCTCGGGTCAGGCTCCGAAACACCAACAGCGTAAACAGGGAAGACTTTCTCCAACTTGTACTCAACCGGTTTGGACTCATCAAAATTCTCCGTTGTTTTTCCTTCCTCCTCCAAAACAGTGTGTGTGGATATCATTTGGGCCAAACAAAGCCAACTCCCTGCACGAGCAAAAGCCATTAAATCATGGAAAAGCGTCAAAACAGAGTATTTATGTATCAGTGGTTTTTTTTTTTCTCACAGCGTGAATTTTTGAGCCAGCTGAAGGGCATTTTATAATCTCCTGCGTGGAATCTTTTGGGCCATAGTAAGTGAAGCTGGTGGACCAAAGTAAAAGAAATGAGGGGAAGTAGTGAATTTTGGATGGAGATGGATTATTGGGGGGTTTTCAATTTCTGTTTGCGGTGAGGAATTGGCTGCTGGGGTTACTTGCTGCTCTTTTTTCTTCGTTTTTCGACAAAGATTTTTGGCTTTTCAGCACAAACCCGGGGCCTCCTCAAGCAAATAGACACCCATAAAAAAAGAAGAATTTACGAGGAGCCAGGTGGTCCCTCTGAGTCAGATTCTGACCTCATTATCGCATCATCCAAGCCCTAAATTACCGACCATATCATAATAATAATAATACGGTAAAAAAACAAACTTATTAACCAGGAGGATTAGTTCACACCGTCAAAATTACTACGACGATTGCTTGCTTGTCATTAATTTTTATTTTTTTTTCTTTGTTACAAAGAAAACAAAACCTAGTATCAACTTAGCAAATTATGATATTCCAGCCATTGTTTAACTCTCCCGGTAGAGTTTCAAATAATTGTATTCCACTAGAACGTTATACTGTTAAAGATATCGCATAATTTATTATAAAATTAATTTCGCAAAACACATATTTAATCTCGGCAACTCAAGTTTTCTTCAATATTTCACGTACACATACTATCCCCTGCATTAACTTATTCTTTTCTAACAAAGAAAGGAGGTTGAACGTCAAACTAAAACTACATTTTGGATAAACGCCTCTTACTATAATGAGGGGAGATTTATGTGTGAACTTCATAAAAACATTCGATCTCTTCCATCTTCTGTAACAGTTGGCTGCAATAATCAACGTCAAAATTTACTTTTTCATATCGTTACATGTTGTATTAATTATACTAATATTATTTTTTTTAATTGGTAAATATCTAATGCACGTCCTTTTTAATCTGAATGTTATAGAAAATGTAAATATTGACTTCAGTCTTTTAGTTGAAAGTTTTCTTGAACACATTCCAAGTTTTTAACCGGAGCATCTCCCTGTCTCCATCAATATATTAGGTAAAGTGAAGATATAACCATGCATGTATACTACTACAATCGATTAATTCCCAGTAATTTCAATGGAAATATTCGTTCATCTTTAGGAAAATAAAAATGATTTTGGGATAAGGCAGACACACACATATATATATGATTATGACAGAACTCCACGTTGAGTTTGTGATATAATCGCATGGAGGTTGAGTCGGTCTTCGGGAGGGGAATAAGGCCAAGTTTTGGTGTATCTGCCCTTTAAACGGACTAGGAACATCCCTCCAGTCCTACTCTTTATTTCCAAAGGGATCAAAGCCGGAGGACATAAAATGAAATATAGAGTAATGTAATGCTTTCTGATTAATTTGTTTATTCCCCCCAACTACATAAAGCCAACCTTGATAACTTTTGGCACACTTTTTTATAGAGTAGATTGACTGTATAAAATATATATGCAACATCTGGTTTTGGATTGAGATATGGCTCAAGTTTTTTTTTTTTTTTTAATGGGATAATTTTAAATAGATACATAACTCATTCAGGCAAACATTCTTTCAATCCAGAGTAAATCACTACTTTCAAAGGTAAAATTCATTGTCAGTTAAACACTATAGATGCCTATTCCTGTGATGCGTTATATATAGTCTTTTCTTCCCTCAATTTCAGTATGCATGGTGTTGCCAAGACTCGTGTCATTACTTTCAATTCATTTCTATGTTAGACATAGACATGATTGCACTAAACAAAATTTTGTGCAACCATAAGAGACAGAAATGTGTAGGACATAAACACCAATAATTCAAAAGTGAGATAGCTCTGTGTAGTCATTTTAAGATTGTTGGATGCGTAAATGTAAGTAGATTAGAAGAAGCAAGTGGAAAGACCCCCCAAAAAGGCAAAAAGCTGAAAGCATTTTCAATTTTCCGCGTACTACAATCATTTTCCACCATTCATTCATTCAATTATTAGTGCTTTCAATGTTAAATTAATCATCCCAAAAAAATTACCCACTTTATTGAACTTAAACAGTACTATAATAAAAAAGAATTTTTTACATAGAAAGATTATAACACAACATGCATGGCTTCACTTATTTATTTTGGAGTTTTTTTTTCCTGCAATAACCTCATTTTAAAAACTATTTCCATGAGTAACTGAATCTAAAATTTTATTCCTTTGATGATTTTTTGTTTCCCACGTCAAACCTTTGACCCGTAGAACAAAATAAAAACAATAGTATATGTTAGAGCCATTTAAGTTTTGTTGGGTGATTGCATGAAATTTAGATTCATAACCTTCTTCTCTCTATTCTTTCGATTTTTTTCCCCTTGTGCCTGGATTCTGCCCAAGAACCACACAAGAAAACTAGAAAAAGTAACAAGTGTTTAGTATTGTGGAAGTTTACTTCGGCGGGTCTTGCTCAACTTTTCGATAGCCATGATTAAATATAATATTATAGGAATGTCAATAAAAAAAAATTGATTAAAAAATTAATATCGATGATCTAATTTATATTCACCCACTCAATTGGACAAGAGAGATTCACCCAAAATTTGTTTTAAGACTTCCTGGAATCATCACTAATGAAATATACCAAAAAAAAACTTTAAAAAATAAGAAAACCACAACCACCAATATGAATCAACTGACAATTCCAAAAAGCAACATATTAAATCATTCACAAAGCACCGCAACAAATACTATAATTCGAAATAACTATGCACCCTAGCACATGTAAAGCCGGCATCTTTAATCTGCAAAGCCACATTCAATGTCACCAAAACGCTTAAAATCCAGACAGACGCCAAATTAAACCTCCAAAAATCTATAGGATTCTGTTTGTTATAGCAAAACGATGCTCTAGGGAGTAGAAAAATTTTCAATAATTTTACAATGGAGTTAAATTAACAAAAGAGATGGAGATGAGTGATAGTTTATTTGGATTTTGATAAGAATGATAAAGAAAAAACATAAAAGATAGAGGTGAGGCGGCGTTAAGGAGAAGAGAAGGAAAAAATGGTAAAAATTTAGAAGATGGCAGAATGTTATTGCATCGGTGTACACGATTTTTTTTTTAGAAATAAAATTTATTAATTTACTGGAAAATGTCCAGCAGCGATTGATAAGAAAAGATACATTCAGAAAAACACAACTTACAATTAGCCATAATTATAGTGCCTTTGTTGTGTTTGATATGGATAAACCTATATACGTTTACCCTATCAAACAGTGGTTGTATCACATGCCGAAACAAAGATACAATACTAAAAATCAGTTAAAACTCCCAAATTTTATTATAGATCTAACAACTAAATCTATGGCTGAATCTTTTAGAGCCGTACGAGCGAACTCCAACGTACCCGCCGCCGTACCTACAAACATTACCGACAAAAATGTCGCCATATTAGTGAACATCACCAGGAAAGTCGCCGCCATACCAGTGAATATCCATAGAAAGTCACCGTCATATCTAACTAGTAGAGGAGATTATAATCTCACCTATTGAAAATAAATTAAACAACAATAAAAAGTGTAAAGATCGGGACAGAATTATCTCCCCCATCTTTCCATGGTCGAAAGATGGGAAAAAATGGAGGATTTTTTTGTTTTAGGATTTTAGGGTTGGAGAGGGAGAGAGAGGCGGTATCGGTGTACACGATTAGCCAATGAGATTTTTAGAAGTTAGCGGTAGAATTAAATTTAAATTGTACTACTTAGGGATATAGTTTGATGGATAAAGTTATTTTAGAAAAAAAAACTCTATTTATTTGTCGTGCAAACATCACTTTCTATCATTCATTCGATTATTTATTGTTAAATTGTTTGTATCAGAGCTGTCTCAATGCACGCCGAGACCTAAAGCTAAATTTCAATTTGGGGCCTCCAGTAGTCGGATTAGATAAATAAAATTTTCATTAAAATATTTTAAAATTTTGATGCAAATAATTTTGTGAGATAACTGAAATACAACATATTTTGCATGTCAAAAAAATTATGTTATTATAGCTTTTTTATTATATTTCAAAAATTATAATAAAATAATTCTAAAAAATAATTATAGTAAATAAACTCCTAAAAATGAGGCACTAAATATATGAGACCTAAAGTTAGGGCTTTACTAACCTACCCCCAAGGCCGGCACTGGTTTATATTGGACGATTTTTTTTAACCAAAAGCAAACTACATCGGTTTTGTAAATTGTTATTTTCGTGGAATAATTATTTAGTTTGTTAATTAACAGAAGTTACAAATCAAATTAGGTAAAGTGGAGATGAAAATCGCTATTGATCTCGAAACAAAAAATAAGTGTGACTTTGGATGAAATGGTCAATATAACCATGTGAAATGCTTGAGTCTAAAGGCTCTAATAAACTACCAATATTGTCATTGGAAATAGGAGGCATTACTAATTGATGAAGGGGAGGAGAAAGCAAGGCCTTGTGGTTGCATTCATTTCTTGTGAAAGTAAACAGTTTTGATGCGGTGCTCTAGATGTTGTTTAACAAAACAGTAAAAATTACTAAAAACTAAAAAGAAGAGTAAAAGATAACTAACTGGCCTAGAAAGTAACCATCAAAGAGAATTAATGTTTGATTTACTTTAGTAGAAAATACGATTAAAATGTACTACTACAAATTTACAAGCAGAAGAAAGTAATACAGGGCAAATATTATTACAGTTCCACTCACATTCTACTCCATTTTTACTCACACTTGGCCTCGAACCTGAGCCTCCATCAAACTGGCTGATTAAAAACAACAATCCAGCTCCGATCGGAATTGAAGGCTGTAAAAGGAATCAAGATCATAAGGAAGTACTAGAAGGAGATAGCATTGTGGGCCGCTCTTTTGTGACTGGATTACTAAACTTGAAAAAATAAAGGAGATCTATCCCTGGGAGAATGGATCGGGTCACTGCAGCGGTGCTACCTATTTGGATCGATGATGGGTTCCGATTAGATTATGGATCTAGGTTTGATCTACGTCATAACTGCCATCAGTTCCTTGCTAGAGTTAATCCAAGTTGTTGGGTAGTCTTCTCCTTCAGATCTGTTCTAAATGTATGTTTAGAACAAAGTCTTGGGCATCTGATCACATTGCTGAATGTTTGCAAGAATGAACTACTTGCTAAGGAACAACAATGCGAGGCTGCTGAAATGGAACTTAAGGTAAACGTTAATTTGTTTTTTGGCTGTTAGTGTTTGAAAACGATGTAGATTCGTGATGCTAACACATTAAGTTCGTGTAGAGTTTTGGTCATGACTTTGCTGAGCTTGAAAGATTGTATCGCTTGGGTGAGGCTAACTTGCAGTAAACTAAGAGAGTTAAGCTACATGAAAAAATTGCTTGGAGATGAGATCATCCGTAGTGCAGATTTGGAGCACGAAAAGAAAGATGAAGCTGACAAGCCTTGTGGAGGTGAAGAACAATCTCTTGGGGTTGTTGATTCTTCAAATTGAATGTATTGACACTTGAGCTAAAGCTATGAAAATTCTAATTATTTTTTTCCAGTAATTGATCTTTGTTTTGTTTTGTTTTTTTTTTTTGCTAATAAAATCAATTGACTTAGGATTAATTAGTCGAGTAATTATATTGTATACCCAAGTTCACAATGTTTGGTGAATTGGTTCATTATTTACACGCGCTACTACAATTTTGGTTCTTATCTCTCTCTTATCTATTCAATTAGATTTTTTTTCTTTATTCAAAATTCATAACTAACTAATCAAATCAAAATAAACTACAATTCAAATTCTATTCAAATTTCACGGTAAGAAAAATACAATCCTAATAAGAAACAAATTCAATTACAATTAGAGTCACATAAAAATAATACCACACAAAAACACGTAATAAATTGTAAACAAATAGTACAAAGGTAATGTTCAATACTTAAAGTGTAAATATGAAAAATAAAACATATTAAATTTCATGATAGTCATATTAAAAATCCATGACAATTTTGTGTCGAGTACAATAAAAATTAATGGTAATATTTATAAAGTATCATGATTAATGATGTCAATAATCATGAAATTAATGTACAATGTTCATAACAAATATGAACAATATTTATACATGATAATAAAGTACTATACAATATTCATACATCACAAGTGTCATATTCATAATAAATATACAAATATTCATACATTCACAGTAAAATAATACTATTTTTCTCTTAAGATGTTCAAAATTATATAAAGAAAAAATTCACGAATGCTAAATGCGTTTTTCATGGTATAGAAATCTAAAGTTAATAACTAATGACAAAATTGTAGTAATAATAAAATAATGTTCATGATCATATTATGTTATATTCGTGAAAATTTTGGATAATGTACATAAGTACATTCACGACTTATAATATGTTCATGACCATATTATGCAACATTCATGGTAAATATAGTCTATATTCATACGTCGCAAATATCATGTTCATGATAAGTTTGCATCATATTCATACATGGCAATAAAATAAGAACACGAACCAAACTTGAGTGTCTAATATGATAAAATATTTAAACCCATTATAAAAAAGTTCATGAATGATGTTAACTAGATGTTCGAACCGTAACTGTACAGAATGTGATTGGCAGTCTGAAAGTCTTGGAAGCAGCCAACATGACCGTAATTGGAATCTAGTATCGCAACCGGTAATTCTGGAAACACCCAGCATCACAAGAGTAACACCCGCTATCATCCTCAATGCATATCAATTGAAATTGTGGGAAAAAAAACATCTTCAATTGAAACTTATTCTATAACTCACAAGATTTAGGTTGAAAGAATGATATTATGCATCATATTTTCATGTTTTCTTTATTTTATACATGAAAAGTTGTTAATTATACGGCTAAAATGAAAGTGGATAGATTTTTGTTTTGATTTGTATACAAGATAAAATTAAAATGCTGGAGAAAATTATTAATTTGACGTGTGTGATTTTAAAATTATAAAACTTAACCAAAACTTACTTTTTTTTTTTTTAGCGTGTGTGATAATTTTTAAAACCAGTCCACTATTTATTGTGAACCTGGTTTACAATATAAATTGCCTAATTAATCAGTCAGACCAATGACTTCGGACGCTGGTATGCATTTTCCGCACACAAAATCCAAGCTCTGCATTTTCATAAACAAACATAAGCTAAAAAGGAAATGATCCGCAGAAATGACAGAAGTCAGAAAGACTAGCGCAAGTTTCATGAAGTTACGAAACTTTTTGTGGTTGTTCAGCGAAAAGGGATCACACGGTAGAGGAAGATTTACAAAACAAAGGGAAAAGAAAAAAGAAAATGAAAAATCTCAACGGAGTCTTCTTATAATTCGTGGTAAAATGTAGCCGATTATGATTGTCAAATTGTGGAGCTGGCTGCATTTATCGACAAAGATGTACATACATGAGCTCCTTTTATGACTGGCACTACTACTGAGATGCAGGATTCTGTTTGATGTTGAGACGAAGTATGTAAGGTTCATGCACGGAACCAAGGTACAGATGATCACCAATCGGAACAGCAGCAGAAATGAGGCTCAAGTCTTGATCATAATAATGTGAGATCGGCTTGCCTTCCAAATCAACAGCCAAGGCACCTCCATTTTTCTCCATATTTGGCCTGCCTACATACTTTTCTATTATAGCCATAATCTTTCTTATGAAGGGATATCTTTGTGCTAGCCTCCAGGGATATGTGAATTCCTGTTTTTTTTTTTTTTTTTTTTTGCAAATAACAGCAATGGGAAGTTATTAAGTATGACAAAAATTTCAGCACTAACAGTGTTATAGAAACTTTGAATACGCACAAACATACAGAAGCTATAGCAATCCAATATTGGCCGTCTCCACCGTATCGAATGTTGTCAGGCATTCCAGGCATGTTTTCAACAAATATGTCCACTGTTCCTTTATTCTCTCCCTTTATGTAATACCTCTTGCACTTTCGTCTACAGTTAACAGTTGATAGAAAACTCAATTAATTCTACATCAACATTTATTGACGAAATGTTCACAAAATTGGAAAGAAATGAACTTTTTTTTTTTTCTCCGTACTTACAGGGGTGTTTCACAGAAGATAACGAATTGTTGATCAGGGGAGACAGCAACTCCATTGGGGAAGTAAAGGTCTCGGGCTAACACTTTGGTTTCCTTAGTTGAAGGATCATAACTCATGAATCTTCCATAAGGTCTGCCCTCCAAAAAATCCCAAATGTATTCCCAGAAACTGTACTTGTAGGAAGCATCAGTGAAGTATATCACCCCATTCTGGGCAATATCCACACCATCTGTCAGCTTAAATTTCACACCTTCTGCCTCATCTGTCAGCAATTCAACTGTTCCATCTGAAGTCACCTTCAATAATCCCTGTGACAAAAAAAATTATACAAATTCTATCATCAATCTTTATACAAATTATTGGACTTCTTAATTCTTATTTGTTATATCTTGAAGAACGACGAGTGTCCCACAATTGGAAATGAAAGATTGCAAAAGAAAAGTCAAAAGCTATTGGACAAAAGCACAGTCAACAATCATCCAAAAAAGCAAGAAGGAAAAATTAAAAAAATGCATGTTACTGTTTTACTGACCTTATCGACATCGGCAACGATGACTTCGCCGTGAAGGCCGCACACGACTCCGAGAGGCCGGCCACCGGTATTTACCCAATCCTCAACGACCGAGTCAAACGCTGATGACTGGTTAACCGTGACTCGTTTTAACCACCCATCCGTACAACCAGTGTAAATCACTCCGGACTTGGGATCATAAGCTAAATCTTCTGGTGCCAACAGTTTTCCGGCCCCAACCTTCTCGGATCCTTTGAGCAGGTGGCTGTTAATCCTGGGAACCGCCATGGAATCTTTCTGGGCCAGCTCATGGGGCGGGTAAGCAGCCGGGTCAAAGGTGTCCAGCTGGTAGACAACGACCGCTAGAACAACGGGTAAAACCAGAGTTACGAGAAACGTGAAGGGCCATAGGCTTAATCCGGCGGTGCCACGGTGACCGGAAGTTTGGGTTGAAGATGAATCAGAAGCTTGATAAGCTGTTGACTTTGACATATCCGAGGAACATATAGTTTAGGCTCTGTTTTTTTTTTTTTTTTGAAGTCTGAGCAGAGATAATTAACAGGAGCTGGTCCAGTTGGGAAGAATAGGATCTGGTCTTGCTCTTTGACGACTACAACGATTTTGTCCTTTTGCCAAATCGGGCTTTTCTTGGGGCTTTTGTTTGTAAGAACAAACCAAATGGATACTACTGGGCTGTAGTAAGGATGTTAAATAGAGTGGGCCTGATCGCTGGATCAAATGTTATTTGGCATTTCCAAGAATGTTCTAAAGGAATACCAGTATAGTGTTAGAAGCATTATCTTTTGATTGTCCGCCTGACTCGAGGCGAGTTGCATTTGTAATCTAAGCTTCGGCCTATTCAGTATATAAAAAAAAAGAAAAAAAAAAATAACAGTATGCCCCATCGATGCTTTTAATTTTCTCGCAGTATCTTGTACTCTGCTCTACAATTGATTGAAAAGTGATCAATTGATACTTGATCAACAACTGTTGTCAAAACATTATTATAAAAAAAATGTGGACATGGTGAATCTTCCATGACATTAATGCATGTATGATCTACGTCTACCCTCAGGAACTCCCAAATTGAGTGTACGAACAGGGTGCGCTAGTCACGAGTGTCATTTTTTGTTTCTCTTCGGAGAATGGAGATATAGAAGACATGATGATAGTCGTACATCACCATAAATGTGTAGCACATAACTCATAAGTAGTGATAATTCATGAGACATAGTTATGTAATCAGTCACTTTATTATTGGCTTTGTAAATGTTAGGAGTTAGTGACCCAAGAAGGCAAAAACTGAAACCATTTTTCGATCACCGGTTTCTATCTATCTTTCAACCATTTTATCTTTGGTTGAATTGCTAGTAATGGATTCTTGTGACCAAAAGCAACCAATTGGTAATTTTGTCTATTACTTTACACTTGCAAACACTTTTAGACGATAAAGTCCAACATTCTAGTGGTAATTAATGTTGTGTAATATAATACTTTAAATGGGAATCATTGTTGATCCTAGTAAATTATAGTAGAACATACTTTATGCTTTCGATTTAGAGAACTACTAAAACTCATAAGAAAGAATTTTAGAGAGAATATAAAAGAAGACTAAAATTTTAAGAAAATAATATGATACTTTTGAACAAGAAAATTTTTATTTCAACCCCGTCTAGGGGAATACGATACGTAAGAGTCTCATTTATAGGACTCAGACTTCATATAAAAATAACATCAAAATGAATGAACTCGCCTAACATGGCACCACTTACTTGCCTCACACACACACATATATATAGCAAGGGAAGACTTAATAATAGTTAAACAAGACTTAATATTAGTGAGGTAAAACTTTGGGTTTCTCTTATATGACTTAATAGTACCATATACTCCCTTCCTTCCGTCTCATAATTATTGTCTAATTTGAGTTCTCATTTTTAATTTAAATTGTACTTAAAATAAAATCTCAAACTGGACAATAATTTCGGTACAGAGGGAGTAGTACTCTTTTCTATGTCGTGTTTGCTAATCTCCATTGATAGTCGCATCGAAACTGTAAACCTGTAAAAACACACAAATAGTCTTGAGTAAGTTCTTAATTTGACGCTCATGTCAGTATTGACATAATAATAATAATAAGAGAAATAGAAAATTTATAGTGAGTAACCTTATAGTGAGTCGATTGAGTGGCTTCTCAAAACTTATTATTTTATCCTTTTCACCCCTTAAAAAATAAAAAAAGAAACAGAAAACATTGATTGGATGAAGTGTTCAACATAAACGTGTGAAATAAATGAGATGCTCGCGTCTAAAGGCTCGAAGCGATTGATATATGTACTACATTTGGAAAACTATAGGCATTACTAATTCATTCAGGGGAGAAGGTAAGGCCACGAGTTGCCTTTTTTTTTTTTTTTTTGTAAAAACAAACAGTTGTCAAATATACATGTTCCGAGAAGATTTACATTTTACAGCACAAGGTGGAAGAAGAGAGAGTTAAATGTAGCAATAATAATTTTGGATGAGTATAATTCGTGGTAAAATGTTACCCAGGCTGCATTTCTCTAGAAAAAAAATAATAATAATAATAATAAAATTGTCGTACAAAGAAGTGATAAATCAATTGTCCTGCAAAGTAACAATCGAACCATCGTTTACTTTGGTATAAGATCAATAAATTAAAAGTAAACATACAAATTAAATAATTATCTTTGATACACAAATTTACAGGCCCACCTCTGTAATTCGGGACCGGCCGCTTTCTCTGAGCAATCTTCACGAATTTATGAAACTTGTCGATTCTTTACTCTTTAGCGAAAAAATGGAAATAGTAAGAAAACTTGTATTCAAGGTAAAGGCCATATTTAGCCTTTTCTGATGGCCAGCAGTTTTACTCTGTCCACAATGATTTACAACACAAGTGGAAAGAAAAAGCGAGAGGGATTTCCCAATTGCCTCTTGTTACAATTCGCGGTAAAAACAAAATGTTGCCAATTCGGGAGCGGAGCTGCAATTTTTCTTCAGAAAAGGTAGTAATTACTTGAACTCCTGTTTATGCAGTAGTGCTGCTACTGCGGACAGCAGGGTTTTGGCTAATGTTGAGACGAAGTAGGTAAGATTCATGTGCTGAACCAAGGTACAGATGATCTCCAATCGGAAGAGCCCCAGAAATGAGGAACAAATTTCGATCATGATAATGTGATATTGGCTTGCCTTCCAAATCAACAGCCAAAGCCCCTCCATTTTTCTCGATTTTTGGTCTGCCTACGTACTTTTCCATTATAGCTACCATCTTTCGTATGAAGGGATATGTTTGTGCCATCCTCCAAGCAAATGCAACTTCCTGTTTATTTTTGCAAATAACATAAAAGGGATTTCATTTTTCCAGTAAGAAAGAAGGGAAGTCTCAGCACTATTGCTAATTCGGGTTGTGGAAACTTTGAATTTATGTGTACATTACCGAAGCTATGGCAATCCAATATTGGCCGTCTCCACCGTATCGAATGTTGTCAGGCATTCCGGGGATGTTTTCAACAAATGTGTCCACAGTTCCTTTGTTCTCTCCGTTTATGTAATATCTCTTGCACTTTCGTCTACAGTTGATTAATGAAAACTCAATAAATCCTTCATCAAACTGAACCCTTTTTTTTTTCGGTGTGAAATGTGTTGGTTTAGTACTACTACTTACAGGGGTGTTTCACAGAAGATGACGAATTGTTGATCAGGGGAGACAGCAACTCCATTGGGGAAGTAAAGGTCCCGGACCAGCACTTTGGTTTCCTTAGTTGAAGGGTCATAACTAATCAATCTTCCATAAGGTCTGCCCTCCAAAAGATCCAAAACATACTCCCAGGCAGTGTATTTGTAAGAAGAATCAGTGAAGTATATGACGCCATTCTGGGCAATATCAACACCATTTGGTAGTTTAAATTTCACACCTTCAGCCTCATCTGTCAGCAATTGAACTGTGCCATCTGAAGTCACTTTCAATAATCCCTGACAAAAAAAAATTGTAAATCTTTCTGAGTTCTGATATACTCCTCCGTCCCCATAACAAAAACGCCACTTGAATATTAGAAAACTCTTATAATGCCACTTGCCAGTGAAGAAAAAGTCAAACAGAGGAAACAGAGTGCATTTTTGTATATATCCAAAAAAGAAGAAACAGAGTGCATCATGATGTTAATGGTCCTACAGTCTTACTGACCTTATCCAAATCAGCAACGATAACTTCGCCGTGATGGCCGTACACAACTCCGACGGGCCGGCCACCGGTATTCACCCAATTCTCAACGGCCGAATCAGCAGCTGATGACTCGTTGACCGTGACTCGTTTTAACCACCCGTCAGCACAACCGGTGTAAATCACCCCGGACTTGGGGTCATAAGCTATGTCTTCCGGTGCCAGCAGTTTTCCGGCCCCAATTTTCTCTGTTCCTTTAAGCAGCTGGCTGTTAATTCTGGGAATTGCCATGGACTCTTTCTGGGCCAGCTCATGGGGCGGGTAAGCAGCCGGGTCAAATGTGTCCAGCTGGTAAACAACAACCGCTAGAACAAGGGGTAAAACCAGTGTCATGAGAAATGTGAAGGGCCGTAAGGTTAATCCGCCCATTGAGCTGAAGATGAAGCAGAAGGTTGAGGAGTTGTTGAGTGACATATCTGGGGGAAGACAGCTCCGGTGGTTAGCTTTATTTAAAACTTTTGAGCAGAGATAATTAACTGAATTGCGGTACAGCTGGGGAAGAGGCATAGGCAGGCTTAATCCCTTGACTTCTCCATGATTTAACCAATTTGGGTGATGGAATTGTGGTCTTCAATTTTTTGAATTTTTCTTTGACCGAGTAAAATATCCCGCAATTACAATGTGGAACATAAAAGGTGGCAGTGAGTAGGTACTCTATCAAATCGAAGCCCAAAAAACCGTTGCCACAGTTGCACCTGTGATTTGGGCCTGATAATCAATGGATAATTGGTCTGATCAATCTCATTAACCAAAAACTCCCATGTTTTTTTCTCATTTTGTTACCTTTTCTCCCAGAAGAAAAAGTCGTAGTTTTCGTGTGCATAATCAAAGTTGATTCTATTCAATGTACAATTCTTGAAAGATCAATTGATAGTCAAAGTTTTTACAGTGGAGAGTCGTTCCTTTATTTGACACACCCAGAACAGTAAACAAAGATCAGAAAAAATCCACAGGAACAATCTCATGCTGTAGCGTTGACTGCAGGATTCTGCTGAACGTTGACTCCAAGGTTTATCTGTTGAAACCAAATACAATTGATCTCCAACCTTAATAACGCCCGAAGTGAGTGATAATTCTTGATCATCATAATGTGAGGTAGCTTTTCCTTCCAAATCAACAGCCAATACCCCTCCATTTTCCGCCTTATTTGGGAGGCCTACATACTTCTCCATCATCCCTGTTTATTTTTATTTTTTTTTGGTACACACGGCATAAAGTGAAATAAATTTTCAGTCTCATGTCCACATACAATTTTCCAGTGGCCGGCCGCCGGTATTTACCCAATCCTGAACCACTGAATCTGCAGTGGAATCGTTTACCGTCACTCGTTTTATCCACCCATCTCCACAACCAGTGTAGTTCACTCCGGAATGGGGGTCATAAGCTAAGTCTTCAGGAGCCCACAATTTACCAACTCCAATTTGTTCTGATCCTTTGAGCAAATGGGTATTTCGATTGGGAGCTGAAATGATGTTCTCCTTCTGAATCAATAAATGGGGCGGGTAAGGTGCCTGGTTGAAGGAGTCGAGCTGATAGATAAGACCTGCTAGAACAACTGGTAAAAACAGAGTTTTGAGAAAAGTGATCAAGGGCAACCCTAAGGTTTTTCCGGTGGTTTGAGTTGAAGACGAGGAAACCGAAACATCTGAGAAGGAATATGCTAACTATTTTCTTGCAGCTGCAGTTGTCAGGACTTAGAAAAGCTGATGAGCTGGGCAGTTGAAGAAGAAGAAACTAGAAACTTGGAAAATGGAGAAAAATCAGTTCGTCTTTTGTTGAACTTCCGATTCTTTTATTTTGCATTTTGGTTCATCATTGATGACTTTCTTTTGGGCTTTGTCTTAATTAGGATCATGGTTCTACATAGTAGTAACAGTTAGTACGAGGTTCAGTGTTACTTATTGGAAAGCAAACATGCGTAATACTTAGTGTCACATTTTGGGCCTAAGTATTCGTTCACACGAATAAATGTAGATTCGGTGTTACAACATGTCAACACGTCTTGAAGGCTTTATTCATTTCTTATTACTCTATTTGGGCAGTCTAAGATTATAGTAGCAAAAATCTTGCCATTTGGCACGAGTTGGGGTCAAGTCCGAGTGGTAATACCAAGTGTTTGTTGAAGGTCTAACCAGTGGTTCCCAAAGACCTAAACCAAAAAGGAAGACTAGTGGCACCAATGTTTTTTTTTATATTTTACAGGGTGTTTATCATCGGTTATAATAACTAATTTCCGTTGATGAATGATGACATCAATTGTAATTCTAAACTTAAGGAGATGTTTAAGGTTCAATTGGTATGTGTATATGTCACCCCCATTAAGTCGTAGAAGTAGAACATAATCTAGCTCTCTTCAAGATGACCATCTGCCAACATTTGGTGTTATTACTTTCAACAACAAAATGTTGCAATTTCACCGGCTCCGGTAGTGGAAATCTCACGTGGTGAACATGTGCAGGGATTCCTTGTTTGGCTTCTCTCAATGGGAATAGAATAGAACAATCTTTTCTCATATTCTTTTTACTGCAAAGATTTTCTTAGGGATTGTAAAACCCAAATACTAATTCCCACCACAAAAGTCAGACTTGAAGCCATTTTCCAACACTGACGAGCCAGCCCAAATTCGAATTATAAAGCAATTTTCTGGCCGATCACATTTTCGTCGGTACTCGATATTGCTGATGGGAAAACACCACCGACACACGGCCAAAATGCTTGTGCTTTGTGTATGTGACACATTTCCAAGTTGGCCTTTGGCGCCTTAAAAATTTGTGGGGATTGGGATCACATGCTGTCTTTTTCATTTTTTTTCCCCTGACGCGCAGTGGGATATCCGTGCAGCTAAGCCAAAAAGAGTTCACTTAATTATCAAGAAAGGCCCTCATCATTTTAGTTTCTTTGACTTTAAAGTGTTCATTTACTACACAATGTATGGAGGTTCTCGATGAGTAGGGTCTTCTTTTCAAAATGTAAGTCTACTTTCTATTTTTGGTTGTGTTAAATTATAAGTCCATTTTTTTAATGCATAATTTCTCAAACTTTTCCTAAATTACTCGTTCTTAATGCTACTTATACAATCTTTATACACAATTACGTGATTCAAATGAATTTTTTAATTAACTAGGGGCAAAATAGAATTTTTCATTTGTTAATGATTATCCCCCTTTAATTCTTGTGCTACTCAGACTCAACTTATATTTTGAAAAGGAGATAATAATTAATAAAAATGATAATTTTTTTCTAAGTTAATCAATATTCATCTTCCATGCATAATTTTTGCAATGTGGAAAAAGTTGAGGCACCAGTTTTGCAATTAACTCTAGCAAAGATGGCGTAGAACCCACACTCCCGGGATTTCGAGTGGGCGAACGGTTAAATTCATTTGGCTTCAACAGATCTAACTTTCGATCAAATACAAAAGGAATTGCGTAACCTTTTGAAAGCGTCATTGAACCCTTCAAAACAACTCCTTCTTACCCACCCATTACTAATCAATTTCTTGTTTATGTTTTTGTTTTTTTTTTTTTACCATATATAAGTAAACCTTAAATCAAGATTCAAGATCCTGTCTGAATGCTCCTTCCTCATTGTAATACTTTCTATTAGAAAGCTAATCATTTTAGGCTCTCCTTTCTATTTCTGATTACTATAATTCATTTGGGATCCACACTTTTCTTCTCTTAGTGCTTGCTACTTCTTGCAGTCCCCAGGTATGTGGTTTTGCCTTTTCTCTTCATATCTTTCTTGTGATCTAAATTCTAAAGTTCCATTTTCCGGGCATTTGGAAAACCGACAAGTTCTGTAACTTTTTGGTTCTCTTGTATCAATGCAGATCTATGAGCATTTTGGTTATAATATCTGTTTAGGACCCATATTAGTTGATAAGAAAGTTTGTTCTTTGATTGATTTCTCATGCGCATTGTAGTGGGTTTAGCCCAGAATTTGTACGAGAGTTGTGTTCCGGGTTACTTGCTGTGACTGTTTTTAGCTAATTTTTCATCTTGTTATTCCTAGCTTTCATATTTGTGCTGGGTTGAGTTACACCTCTGTTTCTGTTTGTTCTGAAGAAGACAATTACATGTTTCACCAAGTTGTAATCTCTGGAATTCCCCAGTCCATATTGTTTCTGTGATTCAAGAAGTAATGCATTTTAAGGCACTTAAGTTAATTCCTTGTACACCTAAATTTTAATGATCCCTGATGAAACCGATGTCAAAGTCTCAAAGATGCCTTCATTAATGTCAGATTTGCACTTTGGGAAGTGTTTCTTTCCTTTATTTGGTTGCTATAATTAGTCTTTTTGCACGGTGTGTTACAGAGATTGATTGATCTATATTGCTTCCAAAAGGATTAGGAATGACTGTTTTGTGATGCAGCTTTAGGCAAATAGTGTAGGTCTACTGTTTGTAATTATTCAAAGAGGGGTAAACTTTATGATAGCATTTGTTTGCTTTCAGGAACAGTGCCATTCTTGGCAAAGCTTGGTGCTTGAGGGAGGTAGTTGGTCCAAGTAGGCTACAGCAAAGGCCACAATGTTCAGGCTATCCCCTCGTAGGAGTCAGAGGAACAAAGGTTTGAAGGTGAAGCATGCTCTTCAGATTCTTGTTCTTGTTGGTGTTTGCATCTGGTTGGTTTATCAAGTCCAGAATTCCCGAAGCAAGAAGGAGTCATTTGGAGAAAGCGAAAAGATCGCCGGGACTGTACAAAAGCTAGGGAGGAAAGACCTCCAACCAAAAATCGATATGGTTTCTGAAGACGAAAACCAAAGAGAAGATGGTGAAGAAGAAAGCAAACGCTTTGATGATGATGTTAAGCCTGAGGAAAATGATCATAATGGTGATAAACTAGGAGAGGAAGGAAACCGTGAAGCTGGAGAAAAGGAGACAGACACTACCGAGAATGATGTGAAAGATGAAGAGAAGGAAGATAACAAAGGTATGGATGGTGAAAGCAGAAATGAGCCGGAAACTGAAGAGAAGGAGAATGACCACAGTAATGGTGATACAGAGCAAAATGGTGAAGAGAGTGGTGACAATAAAGAGCATGAAAGTGGAGAAGACAATACAGGGAAACACGAGGAAGAGCAAAACGGTGAAGAGAGTGGTGAAAATAAAGAGCATGAAAGTGGAGTAGACAATACGGAGAAACATGAGGAAGAGCAAAACGGTGAAGAGAGTGGAGAAAATAAAGAGAATGAAAGCGTCGAAAAAGAAACTGAACAGAAGGATGGTGATGAAACAGACACGAAAGAAGAGGCTGGACAAAGTGAAGAGCCCAAAGAAAATAAACATGACCTGGATGGAGGTGAAGAGCAGCAAGTTACAGAGATGGCCAAAACTGAAAACAAGGAAACAGAGAACGGAGAAAACAAAGATGTTGACAATCAAGATCACAATGGAGAAAAGCAGGCAGACAGTGAAGAAAAGGAACAAAAAGAAGAGAGTACTAAGGTGGCATCGCAGGATGAGAAGGCCGAGAAGCAGGTAGAGAATGAAGAGAAGGAACAGAAAGACGAGACACCTAAGGAGGAATCGCAGGATGAGAAGGTTAATGAAAATACTGAGACGCAGGTGGAGAATGAAGAAAAGGAACGGAAAAATGAGAATACTAAGCTGGAATCACAGGAAGAGAAGGTTGATGAAAATGCTGACAAGCAGGTTCACAATGAAGAAAAGGAACAAAAAGAAGAGAATTCTAAGGAATCACAGGAAGAGAAGGTAAATGAAAACACTGCAAAACAGGTTGACAATGAAACAGAACAAAATCAAGAAAACAGTCAGGCGGAATCGCATGATGAGAAAGTTCATGACAATACTGAGAAGGTCAATGAGAATATTGAGAAGCAAGCAGACAATGAAGAAAAGCATAAAAAAGAAGAGAATGTTCAGGATTCGCATGATGAGAAAGCTAATGAAAACTCCGAGCAGCAGGGAGAAAATGGTGCAAATGAACAAAAAGAGGAGAACACTAAAGAATCGCAGGATGAAAAGGTTAATGAAAATACCGAGCAGACTCATTCACATGATTCAGGCTCAAATGACAAAGGTGAGACAAATGAACAAAACAGTTCATCGGGTTCATTGAAGGATGAAGGCAATTCCAGTGGTAGCTCAGAGCAGGAACTGACTAATAAACCAAGTTCTACAGAAGGAACAACAGATGCTAATGAACAGCAAAACATTCAAGAAGTCTCCAACAGTAATGCTGATCAACAGAAGGATGATGGCACAGAGGCTACTCAGCAGGAGGTTACAAAGAACACAGAATCAACAGAAGAAAATAACAAATCAGATCAAAAGCATGAGGGTTCAAATGAAGGAACCGGCTCGACTACCTCAAATTCAAATCCAAAGGATGAGAGCTCATCAAACGGTGAAGGCTCAAATGACAAAGATTCTGGTTCTACAAATGGCCAAACTGCTGGTACTGAAAACAATAGCGATAGTTCTTCTGGCAATGAGTATAATGGAAAAACTGAGACACAGAACACTGAGACTCAGTCAGAGACAAATACAGACCAAAAAATCAATCCCTCGAATGACAATGATGGTACTGATTCTGGGGAAAGCAAGTCAGCAGATTCTTCTGGTTCCTCAAATGCTGAGAATACCGAGGCATCTACAAACTCAAATGAGAATGGCAATGCTGGGGAGCAACATAATGAAGTTGACTCATCCAGTTCTTCGGTTACTCAAGAAGAGAAAGATGCTCGTACGGACCTGGGAACTTTGCCAGATACTGGTAGTGAGACAAGCAGTCATCAAGATGCAGTTGCCTAGTGATGACGATGATGTTAATTGTTAGCTTACTGTTGTTCATTTTTTGGTAACCCGTTCTTTTTTCTTTTTCGCCCCCCCTTTTTTTTTGTGTTACAATACAAATTATACGAGAGTAATTGTGATTTCCTATCCACGATACTCATTTTGTATCCGTCATAGTGTGGACTCTGGATTATTGAGCAAATTAGTGTAAGTCATTAGTCGTTCAAATTTGTACCTAAAATGCACGGAAGCTTAGCAAAAAAAAAAATAAAAAATAAAAAAAAATAAATAAATATGGACAAATTTTTTTATTTTTTGGTAGTGGACTTCTGTCAAATTTCCAAAATCCGAGTCTAATTAAATTTAAACGAGGGATTTCCTAAATCCGGAAAACATCAAGAATAAAATCCGAGTATTATTTTTCAAATGCACGGGAGCTTAATTTTTATATTTTTAATTTTTCAAATTGGATTATTTTTTTAAGGACGTAGGTAGTAAAATAAAATAAAATCCCTCTCAACAAAATAAAAATTAAATACTAATAAGAACACTTTAAAATAAAATCCCTCTCAACAAAATAAAAATTAAATACTAATAAGAACACTTTATCTTAGCTTCCTTACGTACCCCACAACTTTATCTTATCATCAAATCGAAGATCAAGAGAAATTCCAGTAAACATTTAAAATCTACCGAAACTGAAATTGAACGGTTCTGTCTGGAGATTTTTTTGTTGATTATTATTAACAAAAACAGGTATTCAGCTACTGCACCAAAGCAAAAGCTCAAAGCAATGCCATTTCCAGTTAGGTGCATCGTCCCATTTCCTGGAGCAAACAAAACGGGACGGTTGACATTATGAAATCCTATTTCTCTAACCCTTAAGTTTAACAAGAGAGGGAAAAAGAGCACCAGCTTTCTTTACTATTTTTGTCGTTCCCAACATCATCACAGTTGCAATAGTGAAATATGCATGTTCAGTCCATTTAGTCCCTCGAATTTTGCATTAGCTCAAACCACTGTGTATTAGTAAAAATTGGTCAGAACCGGTTATTAACATGGGTACCAAACCTTTAAGGAAAAATATACAGGCATCTTTTGATACTCACTTGTCTCAGTAGATCAGCTGGTGTCCTCGGAAGTGCTTCAATGTTCTTCAGTACCACATAGTACGGGAAAGGGAAAGAATCTCTATACTTGGATTTATGACAATTTCCCCCTCTGGAGGAGGAAAGAGGTTTAGACGATATTGAGAAAAAGGGATTGATTAATGTTCCTGACAAAAATACCAGGAAGAACCGAAAGATTTTACCTCCATTTCCATGAATGACTCTTTTGGATTTGGGCTGTCAACTATCAGGAATGCGACCATTCGCTTTTTGCTAAGGGTATCTCTGACATAACGTTTCAGCTTCTCCTGAAAGAAACAAGAAAAGGGCAAAGTAGAGAAGAAAATGAGAAAACAGTGAGAAACGGGACAGCCTATGAAACAGCAAAGGTACCTTCTCATGCAATCGCCCATCTGATATTATCAGAACAAGTTGCTGCAGGGGATTATGCCCCGAAGGCAGCCTTGCATTTACTACTGCGCGCGGCATCCAGCGTATCGTTCAGATATTTCAATAGATCAACCACAGGCTCACCTTCTATCGTATTCTCTTGTTTGAATGTCAAGCTTGACATCATCTAGTCCAGAGAAAAAAAAATCATAATCTCAACCAGGTATCCCAAGTTTCCTTTTTCAATTTTTACTCATATTCCAGGTTGGTTAAAATCTTTCATATTGGCAAGCTAGTCCAAAGAATATCCACATCAATATTTCACAACACCATGTCAAAGCACGACCCCACTCTGTGGGATAAAGGTTAAGTTTCTGTACCTAAAAGCAGAATTTGAGGATTTCCCCAAATGAATATTTAAAAGAGAAGTACAATGAACTAATAAGATGCACCGGAACTCCTTTTATTATTCTTTTCTTTGCTTTGATTGTTTTATATAATAATTATTTCTTTATGGAAATATAAAAGTCAAGAGCTAAAAATCGGTATTTATTTTTTTATTTTTTTGGGAAACATAAAAGTCGAGAGGAGAAATTAAACTTGATACCAGCTTCCCCATTGAAAGGCTGATCAAAATCATGCAGCAGTCTTATGTTGCCCTTCTTCCCAAAGCTAGCAACAGCAAGCTTACCAACCATGTCCAACAAATTGATAAAAGCTCCGCTCTTTTCCCATCTTTTCTATTGAAATTCAAATTCATCCCAGGTAATTTTTGCTCGTGGACTTTTTCGACATTGATTTTTGGGTTCATATTGATCAATCTTGCAGAGTATTTTTCCTGAATTGGTATTCCTAATCATTCGCTCTGTTTGGATTGATTGCTGAGTTGTTAATCATGTTTCAATAATCAGTCCGGGGATTCATGCTCCTTGATAGTTCTTACGGAAAGAGGGTAAGCTTTAATCTGTTTGTTTCAGTTCTCTGGAGGTGCATGTCTCGTTTCAGTTTCATTTAATGTTCTTTTATTTGGCTCCAACTCGTGGTTACATCACGTTTTTGGTTGAAATTGCTCGCTTCTTCCTGTTCCTCACCCTTGGTACTTTCTTCCATTGCAAACCACTTGGCCTCAGTTCCTCCACCGTTTGAAGCCACCAGCACCGCTATATCATTGATTTGATTGTGATGTCAAAATTATGTAGACTACAGTTGACAAATTGCTGAAGAAAATTTTGAATGAGAGGATAGCTTGTCAGGGAAGATGGATATCCTTCGTGTCACTGATTTTATAATTTTATTTAGATTAATTGCATTTGAGCATTTGAAAACTACGTACTCCCTCCCTCCCTTCACAAATAAATGCGCATCTCTTTTAGGGTATGTTTGTTTCGTTTTTTTACTGTGTATTTTTAGGTATTTTTTGTATGAGTAAAAAGGTATACTGAAATGGGACAGTTATTATTAAAATAATAAAAAAAACCTTCCAAAAAACCAAACAAATAGAGCCTAGTGTGTTCCAAATAACATGAAAAGAATTTATCCGAAGAAAGAAAAGGGGAGAAAATATGAGAAATCTTTTATGGGGAGTTTGGGAGGATTGATGATGGCGGGGTAGAAACTGGGAAAAAAAAAATGGCATTGGATTAGGGATTTTTTGGACGGTTTTGTAAAGACTAATGGAGTAATTGGAGCTTTCCGTCTTCTAGAAGAATTCATCAGTTTTTCTGATTCATTCGCCGGAAGTTATGGTTTTTTACTCGCTCTGTGCCAAAATTATTATCTAGATTGAGATTTCACTTTTAATATAATTTAAACTAGAATTGAAAACCCAAACTGGATAATAATTATGGAACGGAGAGAGCAGTCATTTTAAAGCTTACCGACGTTGACCTGAGACTTAACCTCGTACTTAAGAGTGTAAAATTCAAGGGGTAACATATAATTCGCCTTTTTTTTTCTTTTGGGATCACTCTCACCCCCTATTTTAAATGTTATTCAATAGATCTCTCTATAAAATCTACGGCATACATATATTATATTCCCCCGTCTTATAATTATTGTCTAATTTGAGTTTTTATTTTTAGTTCAAATTGTACTAAAAGTAAAATTTTAAACTACACAATAATTATGGGACGGATGGAGTATGAGTTTATAATCCGGTAAGTATTAGTCTTCAGTTTTGCGCATCATTTTGGCTAAATGTAAAATTTGTTCCTACGTTGAAATAGAAAACCTCATATTACTTTTGTTTTAACAATCAAACATTCAATTTAACGTTTATATGTCAACTTGATTGCGAATCACAATTCAAACAAGAAGCATAATTAATTTGTTGTTTAGGAGCCATAGAGATAAGCATCAATTTAAATCCGTACATAAACTAAGGCTCTGTTTGATAATCACTTAATATAGTGATTTAATTTATTTAAATACTTAATGTGTTTGATGATCGCTACTGAAATTAAGTGTGTTTGATGATCGCTACTGAAATGTCTTAATAAATTAAGTTCTGAACTAATTAAATACTTATAAATTTAAGTGTGTTTCATAACTAAAATTTCACTATCTGAAATAATTAAATGCGTCTGAATGACCAGTTCAATTCTGAGCCAGAAAATAAGTGATAGGCCTACCACTTATCACTTATCATTTAGCACTGAATTTCTATAATGATTCTTTTTTTCTTTTTCTTTTTTTTTCCTTTTATTTTGACATTTATTTTTACATTGTTTTACAATTTTTATTTTCTTAAGATAAATTAATTAAGAGTGCTTAAATTTGATTTTATATTATGAGTATAAAAAATCTGAAACTTTCAAACTCAAATTAAACTAATTTTAATACATAAAATCTGCTAAATAACAAAGTATACATATATATATATCAATATATGTAAATAATTTAAATTTAATTATATATTGATTATTTACCAAGTGTAATATCTACCTTCAATAATATATATACCAAAAACTTATTTTAAAATAACTTTAATGATACTATTTAAAGGAATTTTGTTTATAGTCCCATTTTAATGATACTAAAAATTTAAATAACTTTCAAATCTAAATATTTATATTCAGTCTTCGGACTTCGGTCTTCAAACATCAAATTCAGACGGTTTTATCAAACAATGTACATTCAGACTTCAGTATTAAGTGCTCAGATTCAGACTTCAATGATTATCAAATGGAGCCTAATTTTATAAATTTTGAATGAGATAAATTATTCTCACACTTTTGTGGAGTCGTTGCACCGGAAGTGAAGGAGCAATTGGGATTTTGCGTCTGTAATAGTGTGGACTATTGAGCAAAAAAGTGAAGTCGTCTTTTGAATTTGTATCTAGTACTTCACATTCTCATTTCAATTCGGTGTAAGTTGACAAGGATAAAGCAACCAAATATGACACACACTCCAGGGCTATGCACCCAAAACAATCTCAGGAGTACAAGGTGTCATCATGGAACAATTACAGTAATGATATCCAAAACAATATTCTTAGAACAGCTGATTGGAAACAAGTAGACATGAAGGCAAAAGCATTGAGCCCATTTTTTAAAAAAGAAAGCAATATGCCTGTGATATAAAGAAACCAAACATCTGTTTAGTTCTGGAAGTGAACAGAACATGATAGTTGTTCAAAGCCCAAACAATTTTCCGCCAATATAAAATATAATGTTTCCACAGATGGAGAAGAACAACTTATTATTTGTGAACTCTTACTGTGCAGTCATCAAATCAGTGGTGCTTCACCTCGAACAAACCATCTGGTCCTGCAGTCATGAAAAACCGTTCAAGTTAACTAACTACACTGTAGCAAAAGATTGAGACCGTTCAGAAAAGTTTCTGAGCTTGTCGAAATACATACATCCAAAAACCTGCGGCCCGAGTACTGAGTATGTGCATAATCTTGCAGGTTAAAAGAATGTGGAACTAGCTAAACCATACCAACAGGGGCACTTAATGAACAAACATAAACTGCACAATGCAGAGTTAACCATACGCCTCACAATGACAACACACCCTGGAAACCTCTAATTAACCATATTAGCTATAGAGCAGTATCCATCCAAGTACACAATTGGTAATCTGACACCACATATGAAAGTTCTAATATGTTCTTTTGGACCTTGTCAACATACCAGGTACTCAACAAAGTTTTAAAATAGAAAGTTAACTCCAACGAGGTAACTTCTGTAGTAGGGATTCATGGTATAAAGTGAACATAGAAACAGAGATACACAACACAGAATAGTAACCTGCTTTTCAAATAGTCTATATGACAGCTCCGAGTTAATTCAAACATATCATGTCTAAACAATTTACACAACTCCACACCAAGAACCATTCAGCAGAAGCAGATGTTTCAATGTTCCAGAATACACAACAAAATGAGTAAGAATCCCAAGGAGAATATTCTCACATTTTGACACACAGACTTCATAAACCAGCCAGCATCAATTGAATCATTCGGAAAACATACAATCCTATTGATTAACATGATATTAGACCGGCTAAAAGTCAAAGATTATGCTACGCATGATGTAAGAGATGAACTCAAGAGGCAAAGAAGAATTCTTTTTCATGATCCCTGTATTAAAGGATGTGGTTGACTAGTGACTTGAATTCCCAAATTCATGAGTATGTCACTGATTCATGGTAGTTTATAGAGGAAAAATCAGTAAATATAAACAAGCCAGGAAAACAAGACAGTAAACAATTCGACCAAATGCAGGACACATTCAGTCATAGTCAATTAGAATGAAGCAATTCATCCACAATTCATTAACGAACATTAAAACAGGATTGCAAGACACAGAGCGGCTTTTAGCAGCAATTACACGAGCATTATTTTTACTGGAGCCAACAACAAAAGGAATTGGAGGAATGCAAGTTTGATAGCAACTAATATTAAGAGGAAATTGACACGAAGCAGCTTAAAATAAAATAATTGGATTAGAGACATACCCCATGGGAACTCCTTGTTACGGATGTGGAGGTATGGATACGGCTGCAGAATGTGAACACGAGTTACTAAAAAATATGAAATGTGACTTTCAAATATAACAGGATATATAGATTCAATATGATAGTGCCAATAATGTTCTTGAAACCAGTAACACGAAGTGACTCAACATAACCATGTGTGATCAACACCCAGACATACAACAGAAATTTTTTAGATAGTAAACAAGTTTCAACAGAGGGACTAAAAACCAATATAATAAAACCAATAATCATCATAATAAATGCCAACGAAAAGGGGTAAAATGAAATGCTTACAGGGGGCTCGTCGTGGTGGGGATGACCCTTTGAGAGGTTAACAACCGCAAGAATAGTGCATGACACTATGCCCAGATATGTAATCTTCTCCCATTTTGCAGCCTCAGCTACAAGCAAAAGCTTAAACAGTAAATCCACCGGAGACCATTGTAACTTGATGTACTAGCTGTACTAGCTTCCATATCACACAGCAAAAATTAAATATCACATACAATACCACATTAACATAATCAAATCTAACAATTTGACCGCAAAAATAAACCGCAAATGAAGAAAATCCTAGCCACGTTCGACGATTAGACACCCACATCAGATGCGCAAAAAATGAAACAGCGAGTATTACACGAAATTACCGACTAGCAAATTGCAATCAATCTAGAATCGAAGCAATTCACATCAATTTCGTGAACAAACGCAAACAATGAACAAATGAAATGAAAACTTTATTCAACGAGGTACCTGCTTCATCGTGACCGGCTTTGGCGGAGAAAGCTCTCTTGGAAGAGGCGGGAACTTGGCGGGCGGCGCCGCTGCGGAGGGTGGATCGGAGGGCAGATCTGACAATCGCCGATGCCATGACGGAGTCTATTTTTTCTCAAAACGTTCGACACTATACTCTGATTGGGGTGGGTCAACCTCACTCGCGTATAATAGATATCGTTATTTTACCGTCGCATTTTACCGAGGTTGCGCTAATAGCTTTTTTTATTAGTACCACTAAACTGTCTAAATATTTTTATCCCAAGCTAAAATTGTTCTTCTGGTACTATTTGGGTGGTGAAAAGTTACTTCGAAACATAAATTTTCACCCTTTCTTTTGCTTAAAACTTGAATCGTTAAAATATTTTCAAAAAACAAAAAATGAATTATTTGCATCCATTCAAGGTATTAAAAAAGCAAAAAAAATTGTGCTTCATATGGATGTGGTCGCCCTTTCATAATGGTGAAAACATAAAGGTAAATTATTTGGTGATAAATTACAATAAATTTAACTGGCAAAAGATTTCTTAACCATCAGTATGTAGTTAATGCAGGGAAAAAAATATGTAATTAATATACATAATGTATGTATATATATCAAATACGGATAGTTTTCATGTATTTTTGTTATATGTATTATTTGGCTAATATATTGTCAGGATAATCAGTAACGGATCTAGAACGAATTTTTACTGGGGGCCAATAATATATTAGTGAAACGAATTCCATGATATCATTGTATTAGTATTGATCATAATAAATTTTCTTATTTTTATGGAAATTTTAAAACCACTTTCACCTTAAAGTGTGTTCTATAGCTATTACATCAATATGCAAAATCATAACTTTCTTTATCAATTTTTTTAACAAAACACTTATGCCATGTATGTAAAATATAATTCTAGACACTTTCTTTTTATGACCATTTGTTGCAAGAATGTATGCATCATCAGCATAATATAATTCACAATAACTTGTAACTTTATCTCATTTTTTTTCTTTTGTAATATAGTACATATTGATACAATTTATTTCAAATGTTGACCATATTTAATCAATTGAAAGAGCAATTAAGATAATGTAAACTTAACAAAAGAAATTAAAGTATAAATTACATAAAACATCAATTATCTATTTAAAATGATATTATATTAATAAAAATATATATAATCAAAGCTTATGGTGGGGCCTGTTTGGGGCCAAGGCCCCCAATGTAAATCCACCACGGAGGATAACAATTAGCTTCGACGCCGAATTATGTATGAATTTTTCTAAATTGCACTCAATCCATTTTGCTGTCTGCACTCCTTGTTTTGATCTTCCTTAAGCCGTTTTTAATCCTTTTTTCTTGAATCTAAATTAGCTCAAATACTTGGAATCGAAGCATGTCTTCATCCATGAGTTTAACTTCAAAATTTGCACATAGCTAACTATAATTATATTTTCCCATCATCCAAAAAATCTAGTCCAATTCCATTTGAGTTTTGCCCAATCTTGGTTACTAAATTTCAGCAAAACACAATTTTAAAAGCCTAGTGTTTCCAAAGTCTGAAACCACGAAACTGGATAGCATCTTCAAAGCCAATGTGGGTGTTGATAAAATAAAATAAGCTTTTTTCAGTTTGTGTTAATGTTTAGATCGTTTTTTAAGTGTGTATTTTTAGGTGTTTTTTATATTGAAAATATAAAAAGATACATTAGAAATGTAAAAAGTTATGTTGGGATGTAACAGTTATTATTTAATTATTTTGAAAATACCATTAAAAAAACCTTCCAAACAGAGCGAAAAGAAGCTAATAATTTGACGTGACCTAAGAAATGATCCGAGCAAATTAAGTATGATGGAAGTAAATTATTCATTGAAAAACATTCCGAAAGTACTTATAATTATAGTTAGTAAAATTCTGCTGGGTTCATAGCTAGGCCATTCCGGCAGTCTAAATTGAATTTCTGCTTTCGCACATTTGACGATATTGTAACGTTTCAGGAAAATGATATACGTCTTGGTATATATTTATAATTTACCCTTGTGGCTGGACTACTTGATGTGGATTTCACCTCTTTGGGAATGCTATTTGTCAGTTACAATTGGTATATATTTATAATTTACCCTTGGTATATATTTATAATTTACCCTTGTGCTGATACAATTTTTAGCTATCAAACAGAGTATAGCAAAAAAGTGAAAATAGTCTTATCCATTTAAATCATTCTATTTGTTGTTCCAACACTAGTTAAAGTGGTAGAAATAATTTTGAGGTCGGGGTATATTAAATCTTTATAAATCTTTATATTAAATCTTTATAATACTGAGGTCGGGGTATATTAAATCTTCTATGTATGTGTAATTTTTATAAATAAAAGTACTTCTATTTTCTTATTCAATATTTTTATTTAATATTATCAAAAGTTCAGTATCTTTTAAATTCTTTTGTATATAATAATTATATAATAGGGAAACGTGACACTTGATTACATCCGCAAACTCACATTTATAACAAGGATTGAGCAACATGGATGGTGAGCAACAAGGATTTTAAAAAAAAGGGGTGAGGAAGAATTGCACCAGCTTTTCACAGTTGGCGCAAGAGAAACACGCAACCCTTTTGCAGAGTGGCGCGAAATAATCTCGCTTTCCTTTATAAGGAGGCGAGAAAATTTTCGCCCCTGGCGAAGGTGTGGCGCCCGTTTTGGGCGCCACTTTTGTCCGGATTGGCGAGCAAAATGCTCGCCAACTATTCGATGGGTGGCGCCGTTTTGTGCGCCACCCATTTTATTTTTAATTTAATTATTTAATTATTTTTAATGTATTTATTTTCATTTATTTATTTAAATTATTAATTTAATAAATTTATTTAATTCATCTATTTATTTAATTTATTTAATTCGTGTATTTAATTTAATTAATTAATTAATTTTATTTGAGTATTTGTTTTGTAGTTTAATATTTGATTAGAAAATTTATGTTAATTGGTAGTTTATAAATAATTTATCTTAATATTTAGGGTTTATGGTATTGGTAAATAAATAATATTTAACTTAAATATTTAGAGAATATTTTTTAATTACGTATTATGTTCATAAGTTATAGTTGTTATATTAAATAGGTAAATTTTTGGTTAATTATGTGTTTAGTTTGTTATATGTTTAAATTATATTAATTACGTAATATGTTCGTATGAAATAGTTTTTTTTGTTAAACATGTGTTTAATTTGTTGTTAGTTTAGAAAGAAATGGTTAATTAAGTAATATGTTCATAAGTTATAGTTGTTATATTAAAATGGTAAATTTTTGTTAATAATGTATTTAGTTTGTTATTAGTATATATTATGTTAATTAATTATCTTTAAAGTATAACATCATTATATCAGATTATATATTAAAAAAATTAATTATAATAATATTGAGGGTAAAATCTTGGTCCGTGGGGAATGCACAACCATTCTTTGACAGATCCGCCTCGGGTTAGGAGCGGACGGAGTGCAGAAGTGAGAGAGCTCATTGAGGAGTATTCTAAAGTTGGGGCTAAGGCAGTTCACATTTTACAGGCGATATTGACACAATTTCCTGATGAAAATGTTACTTCCAAAAGGGTCTACAACTACATAAATAAATTGCATAGGGAGGAGTTTCCAATTCTAGATGACACGAATTCCACTGGGTTTTTTCTAGTAAAGGTTTTAACGAGCCATTATCCTAAGAAATTTCAACGTATTTTATATTTATTTTATGATAAATATGATATATAAAAATATGAAATTTCAACGTATTTTATATTTATATTTTATATTTTAAATTGTGTCAAAAAAAAATTCTCAGGACGGCTAGATGCACTGATGATAAATAAATATTTTTTTAATTTAAATATTTAGAGAATGATATTTTTTTAGTTGGTAGTAAATGATAATTTTTCATTAATATATAAATAATTAGTGTATTTTTATTAGTTATTTATAAATAATTTTTTTGGTAGTAAATTCAGAAGTTTTAGTTGTTATTAAATGTTAATTTTTTATTTAAGTTTAAATTTTTTTTATAATTAAATAATAAATTTACTATTCAAAATTAAGTAACATTCTCTAAATATTTAAATTAAAAAATTATTTATTTAAGCGCCAAACAAAAAAATAAATATACTTAAATAAATTAATAAAATAAATAAATAATTAAATAAATAAATAAATTTTAAAAGATAAATTAAAAAAAAGGTGGCGGCAGGTTGGACTGCCACCCAATCAGTTTGGCGAGCGGTTTGCTCGCCAAACGGGGGGCTGGCGCATGATTTATCCGCCAGGGTGGCGCATGATTTGTGCTCCATTCCCTTTTTAGGCGTGTTTCTCCTGCGCCAACCGTGAAAGGCTAGCGAAAAAATGCGTCGCCCACTCCCTTTTTCGTAAAAAAACAAATATGTATGCGAGGGGCAAAATAGTCTTTTTAAAATTTTTTAAGGCGTTCAAATGAAAAAATTAAGGCGTTCAGTAACCTCCCATGTTGGGTAACCCACCCTCTGGGATAAGACCGTGATTGGAGTACAATATTATCAGGGTCTGTTATCTACAAAACGTTTTGATTTGATTTCTATCAGGCTTTAACCTCTTTCTTGGAACCAAAAAAATAAAAGAACTTTGTAGTGTATAAGTAGGTTTTGCCAAAACAGGGATTGACCTACGAAGGGGCTTGGATAGGCCCAAGCCCCTCCAAAACTAAAAAATTTTGTTATCAGCAGTTATTGTATTTTTCTAGCTTTTTTTTACATATATTATACAAGCATATAGTTTATTATTACATGTGGGTGAGGAGTACGGGGAAGGGCATAGTATTGTTAGGAGGAAATTCCACGCGCCCTTCGATCTGGTATTTGATAGGCATCCTGGGTGGTGCAAACTGCAAACTTACACAAATCATCACTTTTAAGTATTGTTGGTGGGAGTTGAAACATGGTCTCCCGGAATTGATGCCAAGGCCCTAACTACTGGGCCACTCCATTGTTGGCTTCTAGCTTTCATAAAGCATCTCCAGAGCCAAGAGCTCAGTCCATATCGTTAGTATTTTTTTTATTTAAATAAAATTTTTTATTCCACAATACTTGACTAAGTGGTCAGTTGTCTACATGGACCAAATCCATTCTTATTCCTAATCCTATTACATTTTATCTTTAAAAATAAAAAAATCCTATTACGTTTTTATTTCAAAAGAGGAAAACAATTTAGGTTTTGTTTTCAAAAGAAAACAAAAGATTTAAAAAGCCCTCAAGCCGCCTCCTCAAAAACTTTTCAATTTCAAGAATCAATATTCAATCTTCATCTTTCAAAATCTTGATTCAGGACTCCACTTAGGTAAACTAATAATTCCAATCTTATATATTTCATTAATCCATTATGTTTGTTTCCT